GCAGAAAGGGCCTACAGGACAATCTACGATCGAGTCGGACTAACGCTCGCGTATACAAAACTACCGCCGAAGTTCTGGCCGGAGATTACGCGGACTACGGCCTTCCTCTCGAATCGATTACTATCATCTAAACGTAACATAACTCCGTACTAAGCTTGGTATAGTGACAAGCCTGACCTATCACGGCTGAGAGTCATAGGATCTAAGGGAGAGTATCTCATTCTACCTAGACAAAGAAAGAAGCTAGCAGGACTAAGAACAAGGCTATATCTATTACTGGGATACGAAGGAAATACGAACTATCGTATCCTACTAGAAGACGGCAGGATCATTAGTACGCTAAACGCAGAATTTCATAAAGTCCTCAACACACCCTCTACACAGACTATAGAAGATATAGGAGCTAAACAGCAGAGCTTACCTAGGGCAACGGCTGCTACCGTAGGGGGGAGTAAGACGGTGGGACTGATAAACCAACCGTCGGCAAGTATACAACATATATCTATGCCAGCCTCGGGACGTCAAGTATCCCTAGCGCCGTAAGGGCAAACACAGCCTAGATCATTAGACGACAAAGTGCAAGAGTATATACCTTAGTCGAGTAATAATAACTCGCAGCCCACTGTTACTAGACAAGGAGAAAGGACCTTTTCACTACTAGGGAGTAACGATATCTTCAGGTCTTCATCACCTGCTTTACAGGACTCCGTCCCTAGGATTAACTTACCGTCCGGTAGTGACCAGCAATAAGGCGATACTTAGTAAGGGCGAATTCCACAAGATTAGCTGAATTATTCTAAGGGCCGAGGGGGTAGCGTAGAATATATCGTGCCTCGCGGTACACTTGAACGTTACCCTAAGCTCAAGCTTCGGGATACACAAACCTCTTAGGACATATCTAACTACGACGAAGAAGAACTTGTATTAATAAATGTCCCTGACGAGAATATGATTCCAACTTTCTTGACCGTAGCCGCGGAAGAGACTGAACCCTTTGAACCGAAGTCCCTTCGTTAGGCCAAGAATAATCTACGCTGGCTCGAATAGGAAAAGGGAATAACCGAAGAGATATAATCGCTCAAGCAAAACAAAACTTGGGAAATCGTTAACCCGCCTAACTATCGCCGAGTCCTAAGCGGGAAGTAGATCTTCAAACTAAAAAGAGGAGCTCGCGGAGAGATCGTCCGCTACAAGTGCAGATAGGTGGTTAGAGGTTTTACTTAAGAGGAAGGTGTCGATTATAACGAAACTTTCGCTTCGGTGGTTAAACTAATAAGCTACAAGGCCCTATTCGCAATTACAGCTGCCCTTAATCTCGAGATCGAGCAGATGGATATTAAAATAGCGTTCTTATACGGCGAGGTAGACCACGAGATCTATATCGAACAGCCCTACCATACTACGGATAGTATATCTAGGGTCTATAAGCTCCGTAAAGCACTCTACGGCCTGAAACAAGCACCTCGTATCTGGTACTAGACTCTTACTAACTTCCTTCGGGGCCTTGGCTTTAAGCCTATCAATGCTAATCTTAGCATCTTTGTTCGGAGTAGTATATATATTGTAGTATATGTTGATAACCTCTTGATCATCGGGCTAAGTATTACAGAGATAAAGAAGATCAAACGGAGCCTTAGAAATCGTTTTCACATAACAGATCTAGGCCTATATAGCTACTATCTCGGTATAGCTATTCGGAGAGACCGGCAGAATAGAATCCTCTATCTCAGCTAAGAGGCTTACGTATACAAGGTCCTCTAGCAGTTTAGAATATTAGACTATATACCCGTTAGCACACCTATAGACACTTCACCTCTGCTAGAAAATAGACCTAAATATATCTGTCCCTCGACTCTGAAGAACGAGTATCAGCGTATGATCGGATCGCTGATATATATTATACTTGGAACTAGAGGTGATATTACATATGCAGTCTTAGCGGCGAGCAGATATTTGACAAACCCTGGTCCACAACACGTGAAGCTTGGCTATCGAATTCTTCGGTACCTCAAAGGCACCAAATCTCTTAGTCTCACATACAAAGGCTTGCTCCAGATGCTTCGTGGTTTCACAGATACAGACTAGGCTAGCTGTCGCCAAACAAGACGGTCGACGGCCGGATACCTGTTTAATATTGGAAGTAGAGCGATTAGCTAGCAATCGAAACGGCAGAACACCGTTGCCCTGTTAACCTGCGAAGCAGAATTCATTAGCCAGACACAAGCAACAAAGGAAGCTATCTAGTTAAGGAGACTCCTTTATGAGCTGAACATAAGCCAAGGAAAATGCGCAACAATCATTTGCGGCGACAATCAGGGAGCTATTGCGCTGGCCTCGAACCCTCAATACTATTCGCGTACAAAACATATAGAAATCCAACGAAAGTAGCAAGGAGAAGTTCAAGATGCTAGGATAGTGGAACTGAGATATGTCCCGACAATAGAACAGATTGCTGATGGTTTGACGAAGCCCCTTACACGAATCAGATTTGAATGGTTTCGAAAGGGCCTCGGCATTGAGTGATACTCTCATAGGACACCAGCTTTCAAGCCAAAAACGAAACGGTATATGCAGGCACCCTTTCCTTCTTTTTACCCTAGGGGTTTTTTTGGAGTTTTTAATAGGGCCTAGCAACCGTGATAGTTAATCGCTGACATTCTTCATGGCGAAAGAAATCAGCGAGTGGGAGTGTTGAATATCGCGGTCACTAAGATAGTCACGGGGACGGGAGCACGTACATGTATATATGTCTACCTGGCTACCAGCCTCTTTGTACCTAGAACAACACACAACAATACAATCAACTCCCATCAACTATGCAAACATTGAAGCGTCACTTATAACTCAACAGAGGCAGGGTGAGTGGGCAATAGACAGGGTGAGAAGCTGGGTGAGAGTGGGTGATTCTCACCTTCCGTCTCGCGAACACCGCACTGACCCTCTCTCCCCTTGGTTTAGATACATTCATCTCGGTGTGGCTGAAACTGGGGCCTCTTGGCACTGGCATATATCATCGTATTCACCCCTAGGATTGGCCAAACCAACGGCAAGGCTGACTTCAATTTCGCCTTGGGCCGCAGTAGTGTGCTTGGTGTCCAGGTGCCACCAACAAACATCACGTGGACAAAAATGTGTCGTGAGTCCTCCGGATCTCATCCACTGTGGTACACCTTGATCTGTTGCAATACCGAAGCACTTCTTCCAAGCGTTGTGGTCATTGTTCTCGACTGTCATTACTATGTAACAAGTCAAAGAGCAAAAAGTCAACCTATCATATACCAATTACAGCACCCACTCAAGAGAAATGATGTAATAGCACCTTATACCATTGGCATGTGGAGATCCACGACCGAAATACAGTAGCAGCTCACATTCCAAAGATCTGAAGAAACGTGGTTACCTTGGAGATAACAAATACCCCATAACGACCATTGCCCTATTAGATCACATCATATCACATGCCAACGGCCTCTAATAGGTAGAAGCGAATAGCGTACTAGAGATGTGGGCGTGTGATCTCGATATCTCGAGCTGTATGTCTCGTGCATGACACACCAGCTATGACTCGGAGAGAGAGCTTTATTGACAAATAAAGGACCAGGGAAAGATGCCAGTCTTCTCCGAAAACCCTTCGAAGCTGATGGTACACATGATCAACCCAATTTGATGGACCAAGTACCCTGCACGCGAGACTACGAGATCCGACGATCTTCGAAATTTTCATGTTGACTCTTTTGGCCCATAAGAAAAGATGAAAATGAGAAAGATATACTATGCTACCAAGGGTTTCTATGACTAGACATGTTGTATTTGAGGTCTAATTTCCTCCGCCGCGGTGCCCACTACCAAAGCCCTAACGAGCACTATTTGAAATGAGCAGTCTCACCCGCTCGAACTGTCAACGCTGTAGATAACCTTAGGAAAGTGCGAATCGAGTTACAATTCCCATGATAGACCAGAACCTTGGAAATCATCTGAATACCTCTGGGTGTAACGATATGGGAATGTCTCACACCAACTTCCAAGGAGGGAAGCACTTTGTTAGATGCCACAGTAATGGAATGGAAATCCCACGAATTCGTTTCCTGTTCTCTGGATACTCGTTCATTCTCCATATCAGAATTGCTCCGTGGCCAATGCTCTCAAGTCGAGTAGAATACTAATCATGAAATCAACACGTATTTCAAGTTAGGCGAACTGCAACGACAAGGCAAATGAAATAGGTTCAGCCGTGTCACAAGGGTAATTTGATGTCCTGTACTCCGTATCTGCATCTGGGCTCCTCTCAAGTGGATAGCATCAGAACCCCAGAATAGGGGGGCGATTGAGTCGGGGCAACTCGTCGCGCTCAGTTGGGGCCATTGACGAGGGGAGTTTGACCTCAAATGTGTTCTATCTGCTAGCTAACAAAAAATGCAGTCTCCACTGGGCCCTATTAAACTAGGTCAAAATCAGCGTACCGATAGTAATGTGGATGCCGTCTACGCAGCCACAGTCAACAAGCCTTGGGGTGGCCCCTTTAACCCGGCCCATGGGGGCCAAAAGGTTGGTCCACCTGTTTCCTAAACCCAGCTCAGGATGAGTTGGCGATCGGTCATGTGATCAAACAGGCCATATCTCAATCTCGCACTCTTTCTTCTTCTACCATCCACCAACACAGAAAGTTCCTCTACCTATTTTCGAAGCGCATAATTTCGCGCCTTGTACGTCTTCACGGCTCTCTATGTGCTTGTAGCGCCATCACCCGAGCACGAACAACGGGGCTGGTCAAGATACCTCCACCAATCGTCAGACCCATCGAACCCGTTGCTCATTTTAATTGTTTCTCCGTGAAAGTGAGCTATGCCTCCTAAACCTTGTCTTACTGGGGATCTGACTTATCTAAGAATAAGACAACGACTATTTCCTCGACTCGGGAGTCGCGAGTGTGACGTGACAATCGAGACTCTATTTCAAGTCACTGCGGCGCCCACTTCCAAGGTTGCTCTCACCTGAATAACATGGAGCTTATGCATTTACCAAACGAGCTTCTTGAGCATATCGTTGGATATACCTTGCCAGAGGGCTTCGAGAGTCTTGCATTAACTTGCAAGCGCTTTCATGCTCTATGTACTGCGTTTCTTGCGTACCACAACAGACTGCGCTGGCATTTCCAGAAGTTCCACTACTACAAGACAAAAGAGGTGGTGAAGAGCAGACTTGCTATACTCCAAATCCCTGACGCAATCAGCTCAGCGTTCAACTTGATTGCGAGGATCGCTGTGGAGCCTGTTGTAGCGCGCTACATTCAAGAGGCGGATTTTGTAAAGGACAGTGAAATATCGATGGGCAAACCGCGTCATTTTGTGACTGACGGATCTCATGACGAAGCTATGATGCGACTGCTTGCCGGTTCTCCTTACCTAAAACAAGCAGGTTTAGACTGGAAGGAATACTGGGCTGTAATTCAGGAAGACCTCAACGATGGTCGTTATTCACAACATGCTGCAGCGTTTACTTTGACTCTGCTTCCGAATGTCAAGTTTCTCGGCCTGCCTAAGTGGTGGAAGCCACAAGCTGCACCTGATAAACTTATCGATACCATGATTTCGAAAGCTCGAAATAACCCTAGTTGCAGCACCTGCCTTGCTCAAGTCACGAGCTTGGTAGGCCATGGCTGTGCAGACGGCAGATTCAATCTAGATTGGGCAGCTTCTTTTCTGACCTTGCCACAGGTTCAATATTTTGGAGCCACATGGTGTAAAGGTGGCAGCGATAGAAATGCTGCGCTAAAATACGAAGCGCTTGAATTGGTTTCTTTTGTTCATGCTTCCATTGATGAGATTGAAATTGCGCGTTTTCTTCAGAACACTCCGCGTCTCAAGACGTTCAAGTTTTGGCATTCAGCGGAAGATATTGATCCTACGCAAGGCTGGGATCTTTGCCAGTTCGTCACGGTAATTGAGCACAAAGTCGGAGACCACCTCGTGGACCTTTCTGTACTCCTCGACGACGAGCCTCGTACCACTGTCAGTCCTGGGAGAGCATCGTTATGTGGTTTCAAAAGCCTAGAAAGACTTCAACTTCCCCTCGAAATTGTATCATGCAATCTCATGGCAGCTGCTTCAGACTTGCCCGAATCACTCATCCAGGACCTTATACCGGCGTCGGTCACACATCTCTCTTTTGTGTCCTGTGGGACGGATGAAGAGGCAAAGGCTCTGGCGATCATCTTTCATGACTTTCCCGCTGTGAAGGCTCAGGCACCCTCTCTCAAAGAGATCCACCTGACATTGCCTGCAGAGGCAACTGAACTATATAGGGATCACTTTGCCAAGGTTTCCGCGGAGATCGAAAAGACGGGCGTGGTATTTAAGGAGGAACAGTGGATTCAATCAGTTACTTGGGACGACGAGGAGGACTAGGCCTCACAATTCTGCTCGACCTTACGAATCATGTGGAAACGCTTGATTTTTTTTTTACCAATAGCTTCCGTTCCTCACTGCGCTTAGAGCACCTGGCAGAGGACTCTACCGCAAAACAAGCCAACATTGCCTGGGGATAGGGGAAAATCTATCACCACCCATTCTTTTGTAAGGTAAGTACAATATTGAGGTATTTCTTCGTGTAATTTGAAGAGCTTCAACCTTTGAATAGTCCAGCGCGTATCCGCTCTGATATCTAGATGGGTCAATGGGGGGTTATGGCGATCAACGTATAATTCACTAGGGTCAGTCAGGTAATACAAATGAAGGTTGAGGGGCATATGAAATTAGCACTATCGAGGTATTCCCAATGCGAAGAATCATACACTGAGTGTTTCTCATGATATACTAGTATAGACTCAATTTGGGGTTGGATCATGGACCTTCCAGGTAGTACTCGGACCCTCCAGAAGTTTGTTGAGCCTTGAGCCCAGTGTGAGGACCCCTGGCCCCTAACCCCTGGGGCCAAGGCTTAGTACTTTAACACCCAACTGGGCCCAGTGTGATGATCCACGATTTATTCGAGCAGCCTATCAGCTGTGGAGCCTGATCCTTCTTGATCCTATATTAAGGGAGCTGAGGATAAGCACCCTCAAATACAAGGACATTTACACGCTCATGGATTTGGCGCAAATTCAACTCTGGGCTGATGGAGTATTGATCCTAGACAAAGAAACGATGGAGATCGAAAAGACGGAAGTGGGACTGGTGGAACACTTGGTCTGTATGAACTAAGAGCAACCAGTACGCGCATCATCACGAGGAAAGAAGTCATTTCTTTTGGGGAAAGGAATATGGATGGGATGGGTTGTGTCTCTATCTGGGAGAATTGGATCGAAGAATTTGAAGAATTGGTGGTGGATGGATTAAAGGCAGCTGGAGGAGACAAACCAATCTCCGAGGTTTGGTATGAAACTTCTGATGAGGAGTTAACGGGATAGCTTCATTTGAGCTACAATCCTAGGTCTGCTTCAGAGTAGTGTTAGAACTTATAAACAACAATGATAGCAAGAGGCCCGCAAAACCCGTTTAGGCCGTCAGGTCTTGTTATAAGAAAAGGCATTAGGATTCATTTGGGGGATGAAAGCTTGGAAGTGCGTGCGGATATAGTGACTCTATTACTCTGTAAGTTTTATTCAAACCTCGGAGAGAAATTGAGCAAGTTCAGCTGGGTATTTGCTAGAATCCACCAAACCGTCACGTGATGACTTGGAGCTAACGGAATCAGAGAGGAGTGGATCATACGGGTGCACCAATAGAATCAATGACAGGTCTATGTTGCTAAAAGGCCCCCGACTGGCAATTTGGATGGGCTCTACTACATGACTAATCTTGGCGGGAGATAGTATCTCCGGCCTCTGGGGTTCCACCTACCTGCTGCGTTCCGACAGGAGCACATATAAAAGCAATATCTGGCTCTTTCAGATTAACCACGGAATATAACCGTTCCAGATTGATGGACATAATTTCATAGACGAGGAAGATCGCATTGGTATCAGCCCATGCGTGTATCAGCATCGCAACATTAGAATGTGCTGTTTTCACGAGGTGATGGGTCTTGTCGATGCCGTTCTTCTTGTTCTGCTTAATGGCAACAACCAAACCTCGTGATTTGATACCGTTCGTTAAGCATGTCTTTCCCGGATTACCTGCAGTGAAGAAGACCTGGAATTCCATCCAAGGACTGTAATTCTTGCAGAAAGAAGCCTTTGGTTGTTTGGAACCTTGATGGTCTTCCTGGGAGTTGCGTTTGAGACGAACATCAAAACGATTTTCATCTTTACGCAGCTTCTGAAGGCAACGATTACGACTATTGCTCCCCTCGGTTCTTTCCACAGGGAATGTGGTGTTGGGGAACAATCGCTCCGATGCTGGTGGTGCTGATGGTGCATTGGCATCAGCACATCTCGGGAATATAGTACACCGTGGGTCTGGTTTGGTTGAGTCCATTTTGCAGCAATTTAAGCGGCTTCCTAGAAGTTCGTTTCGCTATTCTATTCGAGACGGAGAACGTATGTTCTTTTATAGTTAAGGACGTCTATTTATAGATGATGAATACAACTACGTAGATGAACAGGACGGAAGATCCACATTACTAGGCGTTTATTGGGTGTTTAGCTCACGTGGGGGCCAAATCTTGAACAGATGCCTTATCTAGTGGAGGTCCACTACACTCATTCTCGAAATCAGCTTGACCAATATACCCTGAGTAACTATTTCCTAGCCCAACCGCCACGGCGTTACCGCAGATAAATTATTAAGCCATCCATCCACCTTGAATTGTGGGACGTCGTAAAATGAAGCTTCCAGTTAAGCACTATACTGGTGCCGGCTCACGTGTTTTTGCTTGATTGACCTCGTGCGTGATTCCAGATGGTGCAAACCCAAGGCTTATTACGTCCACTATGTCAGTCATGTTGGCTGATACTGAGTTAAAAAGCTTATTGCAAATGTCTTCATGCGCCGAAACTATCCAAATTCAGATCCTGGAGCTTAATCTATACCATGGGACTTACTTGTGATCAGGCCCTTTCCTTTCTGATCCCAGAAACCTTCTGGTATCACTTCGTCAACATGAACCCTGCCAGGTATCTTGAAAATCCTCCCGTGCTGACTGTTCCAAGGCTCTAGGTCTCTCAATTTTCCGCTTTCGCAGGGTATATATATACCGAAGCAAAGATTCTGAGCCAATTAGCTAGTTGTAGGCCGTTCCATTTCATACAGCACCCACATATAAACCCTTATCTTGTTTTAGCAATTGGTCCATCCATTCATATGTTACACTCAGGCACGAAGATGTCAAATCAACATGGTAGTATTCAACGAAAGTATCAAGACTGAAGAGAGAAAGAAGAAGGAAAGGAAGACAAATCAGAGAGAGAGGGTTTAAGTACACAAACATCCTCAAAGCAAGTGAACAGACACCTAAGGCAGACACCCGTGAATGGCAACGCATGAGGCTATTCCCATGTCTTCCAATCTCCTTTGTTCTCGCCAGAACGTCATATTCGTCACACTTATAATCGTGCTAGTCGTCGCCGAGAAGACCACGAAGAAGGTAGGCGATGTCCTTTGCTGTAACCATAAAGCGCTCGCGTGGCTTAGTGGGTAGTTTATATTTAACTATAAGATCCTGCCTAATGTACTTTAAGTTGTTAGAAGAAATAATGCAGAGCAGATCTAGGTAGACTTACGTTCAGAACATCATCCTTAACGTGCTTCGGCAGAGATCGATAAGTTTCTCGTTCCCATCTCGAAGTGAAGTTAATTAGATTCTGACAAGCAGACTTCTGTGAGGGTAGAGTTTTCCTTGTTGCAATGTAGTCTTCAGCAAAAGATTTCAGAAGCTGTGGGGTAGGATTAGGTTCATTTTTGGAAATTAGCATTGGTCGCCTCTTTACGAGAAAGTCTCTATCTACTGATGTGAGTGTCACGACTTATACCTATCAATAGCATAACTTACAATGCCCAGTTTACTGCTGCATCCTCGTACTTCTCCAGAGTAGCCGGAGCGAGCTATTTGAGGCATATAGAGTTATCTTCGTTTTCCCGTTCATTCTGATATTCACGGGTGAAGCCACGTGACGCAGCACGTGCAATTCTTTCATTAAGTTTCTTTTGGACGTCCTTCAGGAGCATCTTCTTCGAATGGCTAAGCATGAAGGGAAAAAGAACAGCAGATTGTACATGCGCCCTAGACTCATATTTATGGCTCAGAGTCAAGGGGAAAAGGGAAAGTGGCTGACCTGGGCGACCTGGGTGATCTGGGTGATCTGGGCGATCTATGTGAGAATCCTTGCCTGCTGTTCTCACCCACTCTCACCCCTTTTTCACCTCTACCTGTTGAGTTATAAGTGACGCTTCAATGTTTGTATAGTTAATAGGAGTTGATTATATTGTTGTGTGTTGTTCTAGGTACAAAGAGGCTGGTAGCCAGGTAGACATATATACATGCACGTACTCCCGTCCCCGTGACTATCTCAGTGACCGCGATATTCAACACTCCCACTCGCTGATTTCTTTCGCCATGAAGAATATCAGCGATCAACCATCACGGTTGCTAGGCCCCATTAAAAACTCCAAAAAAACCCCTGGGGTAAAAAGAAGGAAAGGGTGCCTGTATGTACCGTTTCGTTTTTGGCTTGAAAGCTGGTGTCCCATAAGAGTATCACTCAATGCCGAGGCCCTTTCGAAACCATTCAAATCTGATTCGTGCAAGGGGCTTCGTCAAACCATCAGCAATCTGTTCTATTATCGGGACATATCTCAGTTCCACTGTCCTAGCATCTTGAACTTCTCCTTGCCACTTTCGTTGGATTTCTATATGTTTTGTACGCGAATAGTATTGAGGGTTCGAGGCCAGCGCAATAGCTCCCTGATTGTCGCCGTAAATGATTATTGCGCATTTTCCTTGGCTTATGTTTAGCTCATGAAGGAGTCTCCTTAACTAGATAGCTTCCTTCGTTGCTTGTGTCTAGCTAATGAATTCTGCTTCGTAGGTTGACAGGGCAACGGTGTTCTGCCGTTTCGATTGCTAGCTAATCGCTCTACTTCTAATATTAAACAGGTATCCGGCCGTCGACCGTCTTGTTTGGCGATAGCTAGCCTAGTCTGCATCTGTGAAACCACGAAGTATCTAGAGCGAGCCTTTATATATGAGACTAAGAGATTTAGTGCCTTTGAGGTACCGAAGAATTCGATAGCTAAGCTTCACGTGTTGTAGACCAGGGTTTGTCAAATATCTACTCGCCGCTAAGACTGTATATGCAATATCACCTCTAGTTCTAAGCATAATATACATCAGCGATCCGATTATACGCTAATACTCGTTCTTCAGAGTCGAGGGACAGATATATTCGGGTCTATTTTCTAGCAGAGGTGAAGTATCTATAGGTATGCTAACGGGTGTATAGTCTAATATTCTAAACTACTAGAGGACCTTGTATACGTAAGCCTCTTGGCTAAGATAGAGGATTCTATTCTGCCGGTCTCTCCGAATAGCTATACCGAGATAGTAGCTGTATAGGCCTAGATCTGTTATATAAAAACGATTTCTAAGGCTCTATTTGATCTTCTTTATCTCTACAATACTTAGCCCGATGATTAAGAGGTCATCAACATATACTACAATGTATATACTACTCCGAACAAAGATGCTAAGATCAGCGTTGATAGGCTTAAAGCTAAGGCCCCGAAGGAAGTTAGTAAGAGTCTAGTACTAGATACGAGGTACTTGTTTTAGGCCGTAGAGTGCTTTGCGGAGCTTGTAGACCCTAGATATGCTATCCGTAGTGTGGTAGGGCTGTTCGATATAGATCTCGTGGTCTACCTCGCCGTATAAGAACGCTGTTTTAATATCTATCTACTCGATCTCGAGATCAAGAGCAGCTGCAATTACGAATAGGGCCTTGTAGCTTATTAGTTTAACCACCGAAGCGAAAGTTTCGTTATAATCGACACCTTCCTCTTAAGTAAAACCTCTGACTACCCATCTGCACTTATAGCGGACGATCTCTCCGCGAGCTCCTCTTTTCAGTTTGAAGATCTACTTCCCGCTTAGGACTCGGCGATAGTTAGGCGGGTTAACGATTTCCTAAGTTTTGTTTTGCTTGAGCGATTGTATCTCTTCGGTTATTCCCTTTTCCTATTCGAGCTAGCGTAGATTATTCTTGGCCTAATAAAGGGACTTCGGTTCAAAGGGTTCAGTCTCTTCCGCGGCTACAGTCAAGAAAGTTGGAATTATATTCTCGTCAGGGACATTTATTAATACAAGTTCTTCTTCGTCGTAGTTAGATATGTCCTGAGAGGTTTATGTATCCCGAAGCTTGAGCTTAGGGTAACGTTTAAGTGTACCGCGAGGCACGATATATTCTGCGCTACCCCCTCGGCCCTTAGAATAATTCAGCTAATCTTGTGGAATTCGCCCTTGCTGAGCATCGCCTTATTGCTGGTCACTACCGGACGGTGAGTTAATCCTAGGGACGGAGTCCTGTGAAGCAGGTGATGAAGACCCGAAGATATCGTCACTCCCTGGTGGTGAAAAGGTCCTTTCTCCTTATCTAGTAATAGTGGGCTGCGAGTTATTATTACTCGACTGAGGTATATACTCTTGCACTTTGTCGTCCGATGATCTAGGCTGTGTTTGCCCTTACGGCGCCAGGGATACTTGACGTCCCGAGGCTGGCACGGATGCATATCGCATACTTGCCGACGGTTGGTTTGTTAGTCCTACCGTCTCACTCCCCCCTACGGTAGCAGCCGTTGCCCTAGGTAAGCTCTGCTATTTGGCTCCTACATCTTCTATGGTCTATATAGAGGGTATATTGAGGACTTCATGAAATTCTGCGTTTGGCGTACTAATGATCCTGCCGTCTTCTAGTAGGATGCGATAGTTCGTATTTCCTTCGTATCCCAGTAATAGACATAGCCTTGTTCTTAGTCCCGCTAGCTTCTTTCTTTATCTAGGTGGAATAAGATACTCTCCCTTAGATCCTATAACTCTTAGCTGTGATAGGTCAGGCTTGTTACTATACCAAGCTTGGTACGGAGTTATGTTACGTTTAGATGATAGTAATCGATTCGAGAGGAAGGCCGTAGTCCGCGTAATCTCCGGCCAGAACTTCGGCGGTAGTTTTGCATACGCGAGCGTTAGTCTAACTCGATCGTAGATTGTCCTATAGGCCCTTTCTGCCACTCTATTCTGTTAGTGCTGATCGATACCTATAACTTCGGCTTGGATTGCTCTTGAGAAGAGGGTGAACTTTATTTCTTCTTCTACTTGCTTAGGGATCCGGTTAAGACGAATTCGTCTGTATTTGCGCTTGGGGCGCTTATTATAGTCGAGGAAATACCGCAAGGACTCAATAACGAATTCTTAGCGCTATAGTATAGGGATAATCTTAACCTATCTAGTAAAGTCGTCGATAATAGTTATCTAGTAGCGGCTACTATCAAGGCCCTCCTTAAATAGTCCTGCAATATCGATATAGAGGAGTTCTATAGCATATTTAGATCTTTTACTTGCTTCTAAACGACGATAGAGGGTTTCGGTCATTCGTCCCTAGAGGTATAGGTTGCAAGGTTAGCGTAGTGTAACGTCCTGAATGCCGTAGGCTTGCTTTTTGAGTCGTTGAATATTCGTATTACTTATGTAGGCAAGCCTATTATGCTAAAGCGCCGATTGCGGTCTAATATAGTAGGCTAGGAATACGGGTTTCGCCTATAGGTCGAGTGCGTAGACTCCATAATATTAGCTTGTAGTGAATAGGTTCCTCCTATCTAACTTGTTCCGAATCTTTGCACTATTGCTCGAGAAGTCTATCTTTGCCCCCCGATTAAGAAGTTGCAACATAGATATAAGGTTTGTATACGCGGTCGGGACGAATAAGATATTATCTAGAACTAGCTACTTCTTTTTGCCTTGTATATTGCACAGGATATTTGCTACTCCTATACTAGAAGGAGCCGTTAAGGTATCGACGCTCCTTAACGGTAGACTATCATATTTGTCTATCTTGACGAATCTCGAAGTATTGTTGCAGACGTGCTAGGCATACCTACTATCTACGATCCAGGCGTCACGGATCGAGGGAGCTTTTGTGACTATCAAACAAGGAATATAATTAAACGTAGCAAAGTTTCCTTCGATTTCCGCTCCGAATGCTTTATTAATATCTTGTCTCGAGACTCGCGTCGCTATAAAGGTAGGTCTTTTAGGGTCCCTCGGCCCCTCAGAATCGTCGTCCTTATTGTCTGTATTAGCGCGCTTCTTAGATAGCTTACGGGAGTCGGCGGTTATACCGCTAGACCTTGGCTTACGTGTCTTTTTCCGTTTTTCTTAGTCCCTTAGATCGGGATTCTTCTTGAAGCATTCAGGCTCTGTATAATAGGGCCTTCGACAGAAAGCACAGAACGGGATATTATATATCTCGATTCGGTATATTTGCCCGTCTAGGGACGGTATGATCTTTTTGTCCTTAAAGCTTCGGCTTAGTGTAAAGGCGGGAAGCGTATTTATGTCTGCAGGCTTATTACCTAGCTATCCTTTTCGATGCTCCTCCTCGATGGCCTTGTTCTTAATATAGTCAAATGTAGGAGCTACTTTAGTGATATTTCTATCTTTATCTCTATCGTTGACAATATCTATTTGTCTAAAAACATAGTCGCGGAAGCTCTTATATTCCGGACCTAAAGTATGCAAGAAAAAGAAGGTTCGTTCGATTTTAGAAGTGACACAAGCGGGGTTAAGCAAGAGTTTTTCCGCATAGATCTTTCTGATCTCGGCCCCGAGGGCTTATACACTCCTACATTTTGCTCGGGTAAGAGATATATACCTTCGCTAAAGACTAATATATATCCCTGAGCCTTCTAGTTTGAAGTTTTCTTTCACCGCTTTGATCAGTGATTAGACTCGAATGATTTCGAAGGCGTTTATCCGCTAAGCCGTATTATAGGTCAGCTTTGCCGCAATTATTAACGAATAGAATATCTAGCGGTAGGACTAATACTATGCCTCCTCCTCTTCTATAGGTGGGATCGGTCTATCTTGAGCTACTAGAGATATACGAAGAAACTCCTTGACTTTTTGGTTCTACTAAGCCTAGTCGTTAGTATTATCGAGAATTGGTATAGCATTGTAGAATAAGCTTAAGCCTATTTATTCGAATTTATTCGAATCTATCCTAATAAGGGGACTCTTCGGTGCTAAAGAATTCGGCGCTTAAAATAGTACTCGAGCAGATCGAAGGGATAGAAGGCGTGTAGCTTAATAATTCGGGCGATCTTGGCTCCAGACCAAAAAGTTCTAGGCTCGAAGCCTTGCTTGGTTAACTAGAATAAACGGATTAGGAACGCTCTAACGAACTTGGGCTAGGTGTATACGATAGAGGAACGTATTCGCTGTCTAGTAGCTCGTAGGACTTGAGATAACGGCTATAAGATCCGAAGAAGTGAGGAAAACGGACGCGGTCGACTATATATCGTGATTGTTGCTCTGCGAAGGTTATAGGTCTATTTAGTCGGAGATTATACCGGGCTAGGCTGTTGCCGGTCGAGGTCAATAGTGTATCGGTGTTTGTTGAGTTGAGATGACTCGGCCCTTGTTCCGGATTAGGGAGTGCGGGTTAAGCTTAGCGCGGAGAATTGTGCTCTATAGTATTCTAGCAATCGGCGATTATAGAGGCAACAGCGAGCGCCCGGCGTGTACGCTCTTCTAGAGGTAAATTTCTATAGGCTCCTCCGACTGCGTGTCGGGAAAGTGATAGGAAATTCGTCTTCTAGATTTGTGTAAAGCGCTAATAGCGGATGTTTCGAAGATAATACACTAAACTAAGCTCTTCGTTAATCTAGTTGTGTCCCTTCTATGATCCGGGTTTTCTTGTTATAGGGTAGAATAAAACTTCGTCCTTTTTCAAGGAGATCGGAATTTTGAGAGGGAAAAAGTAGTGTATCGGCGTGCTACAGAAGGCAGGTTATTGCATATGTCTCTAGCGATGTGATATGTCTGCAGCGGTGTGACTAGGTATTGTTTGTTGTGCAATATAGCTATAGGGTATCATTAGTCTGACGATTATCTATAGCGGTGTGATAGCTATCGCCTATTTGTAATACAGAGGTGTATCCCAGGATTAGTCTGACGAATGTCCGTAGCGGTGTGGTGGTTCTTTGTGAGATTTGTGTGATAATTTCGCACAATTCGTTTTCCTCTTAGACGTGAGAGACGTGTTTTCTCTGCTGAAGTTCGAAGCAAGCTGTTCTAGTTCGGTTAATAGATAAAGCTATCACTTGGCGGGGAAACTTAGTAGGAAGTATTTTCCAGTTTGATATACGCAGTCTCGGGCTTATAACCTGTTGAGTTATAAGTGACGCTTCAATGTTTGCATAGTTGATAGGAGTTGATTGTATTGTTGTGTGTTGTTCTAGGTACAAAGAGGCTAGTAGCCAGGTAGACATATATACATGCACGTGCTCCCGTCCCCGTGACTATCTCAGTGACCGCGATATTCAACACTACCACCCCAGTCTCCAAAGTTCTCACCTATATCACCCACACTCACCCTAAGATCAAATCTGACGCCATTTTAGAGCTCAGGGCGCATTGAGAATTGCCTGCGTACTATAATGGGCTTAAGTACGGCTGAGCGGACGGGAAGCCCTGTTCTCCACACCCTATGGTCGTATGTATTAGAAACCGACTCAAAACAAAATATATCTAAGATTAGCGAGCCATCTACCTCATAACTTTATGTAGACCATATCTCTATGCAGTAAATTCATTTATTTCATAGACCCAGGGTATATTTAACTGATACAATTACACCGTTCAAACTGAAAGAGAAAACAACAACAGGCATGATACAACTGTCTATCACCAGCTTGCATTCTTCTTCCAACAGCAACAGATCCCCTTGCTCTCGCACCAGTCCCTCACAGCCGCTGTGCCAACCTCACGATCCTCGCCAATAAGGCCAAGTCCTTCAACGTTCAGCCAGGATGTGAAGTCTTCAAGGACGATGGGGTCGTACATGAGGATTTTCTCGTGCCATGTAGGCTGACTTCGGCTGCTGGAGGGCAGAAGCTGGGGTTGGGCACGAACGGCCTTCGTGATCTGAATGGATATGTCCAGCAAGCTAGTGCGATCGGCGGTTAGTGGTTTGTCCGTCTTGGCAGCAGCAGCAGCAGCAGCGGATGAAGATGACTTGATACTGCGCGAGGTCTTAGAGGCGGCAGGTGCTTTGCGCTTGGCGGGAGTTGGTGGCCGGTCCTCCGTCAATATTTCCAAAGAAGGGACTTGGGTTGAAGCAGTGGCGCTGGAAAAGATCTCGGTATAACGCTTTTGCACCTGACTGGGGGATAAGAAAACCTCTTCCTCTGAATCTTGAATTTCTTCAACGTCTACGTTTGAAGAGGGTGGACGGCGTGCGGCTCTTGAGGATGGTTGCTGGTTCCTTTTTGGGCTGGTCATCATGATAGCCTCCGTTCGTGTAGCAGGCTCCGTCGATGTGGCCGTTGACACAGTCTTCCTGGCTTTCGTTTTTGCCCTGGACTTGGGTTTGGGACTCGGTGTCTTTATAGACGACGCGGTGGTCATACTCCTTGCCTGTGACACTGAGGCAGGTTGGGAGGGGACATCAGCAGGGTGGTTGGGCTTGCCATGCTTTGACTCCCAGCACTTTTGAAGCAAGTCAATCATCTTCTTGCGTCCTTTGACAGACTTGAAACCGTATGCAGCAACCTGCCTCGAGAGTTCTGCATCTGTGAAACCACTGTATTGTGGCATTGGCGCCTGCTGCGAAACCTCAGTCGTTTGATGACTTGTTGCTACAGCTAGTTGGGCATCTTGCACTGGCGGTGCAAGTACGGCGGTAGTTGGGGAATCGAGGCCATCTTGTGGCTCCAAAGCTTTCGTGGAGGATGATATCATTTGCTGTGAAGTGCCAGATTTCCCATCGTCAAGGTCGATCCACTCATCATCGGAAAGATCTAGTTTCGGACGTCTTTGAGGTGCATTTTTCTTCATGTTTACATGAGATGCATCTGTCAGATCAACCTTTTCCACAGTCTGAGCCTGAACCAAAGACCCTGCTTTGTCTCGGCCAGCAACGCTCCACAAGTTTCTTGCGCCCGCGAATCGAGACATGGAACCTGATGTGGATTCGCTTCTTGCTGTTTGTCCAAGGCCCGACGGAAAATCTGTTCCTTTCTCCCCAAAGGCCAAGCTCTCCGATTCACGAATGGCGCGCTGCATCTCCCGCAACGTCTCTGGAGAATCGTCTCTCTCGAGCTGGCTGCAAGTACCGAAGACAACATCCTGTTGATCCAGCGCCTTGAAAGCTGCCTCTGGAGAAAGGACGATCAACTCCGGGTCCTTATCGGCTGATTGTTTCTTGCTCCCTCGAGAATTTGACTTTGTGATGTATTGTGTGATGTCGTCTGCCGAAGGATCTTCCTCTAAATCCTCTACATCCTTCGATGTATACTGAGCTGTCACCCGAGCTGTCAGGGTTGTGAGCCGCTTCTGAGTCTTGGGCTTCCGCTTTGGTAGTCGCCCAGATGATGATGATGATGATGTATCTCCTTGGACAGGAATGTCCTCTTCAAAACTTTGGTTGCGCCATGGTTGGCACTGGGGGTCCACGAGCTCAATCCTTCTTCGTTTTGTTGGACCTCCCTCGTTTGTACTGATCTCCCGGGAATCTGAACCCGACCCGGAATAGTTGTAGTCCGTGAGAATACCCCCAAACCCACTCTTCGCACTCGATTCAAGAGTTTCGTCAGGATTGGTCCCGTTATTCTCCATCGTGTTATCGAGTTGAGGACACGTCTCTCTGGGTGGTGTCCAGTCCCTGCGTCTTCTCAGAGCTTCGTCCAGGTGCAAAACCTCATCTTTACCCAGCGCAATAGAGACTGCCTTCAATTCAGAAGTTTCTGTTGAATCGGCAGGAGGCGATTGCACTGCCGCCGTCTTGTGTTCGGCCTTCTTCGCAGTCTTCGTCTGGGTATCGTTACTCTTGTTCGCCTTGGTAACCTTGCCAGCCAATTTTAAATTCCCCGTCTCTTTCTTGGCTTTTTGCTGTGCGCGGCCTTTTTGGGGTATCGCAGTCTTCTTCGCAACGTTCTTGCGAGAATCAATGGATTGGGCCTCTAGGTCTTCCTCAGCGTTGTGCGTTGGGTCCTTCGTAACTTTCTTCTCCTTCTGTTGTAACTTGCTGGGAGCATCCTTCTCCTTCAAATCCGACGAAGCGGGCTTTTTTGTCGTTTGGCGCTTCTTCTTGGGTGCGTCGTCCTTCCTTGTGGGCACGTCGAAGAATCGGGAGCGCGAGGGAGGTAGGAACCGCTGCGACAACAACGGGATAGGCGATGTCGTCGCAGCCTGTGGTGGTATCTCAAGCGCTCTCTCGGTATTGCTGGTGAGTCTCGTGGGAATACGCGGCGAAGTATTTGGAGATGAGGACAGGATAATCACGTCTGCAGAGCTCGTCATTGTGGCGAGCGGCGCGTTTTGCTGCCAACTGGTTGCGTTTGTGGCGTTTCAAGTTAGATTGGCTCATGGCGTTTCAATGATGAAGAATTCCATCACTTCGAATAAGGGTTTGACGCTTAGAGGCTCGCGCCGTGAGCATTGAACGATTCTAGGAGGTCGCGACAAGGTCTGTTGGAGAGATGACGATCGAGGCTTGGCAAAGTTGCAGGATTGCCGTTTTGGGCCAAAGAAAACAGCGTGGCCCAGCAACGCATACCACTGACAAATTTTCAGACCACTAGAAATTTTGAAAAGCAAAAAAATCTTTACCGAGCTACAACATTGATAACTAGCTAATTGGGGCGAGAGATGGACGTTTGAATTGAGATGAACAGCTCGATCTTTGGAGAAGGATGTAGATTTTGCGGCCCGACCTACAATCTACTAAGGCAGTTTTACTGGCGTGTATGTACAGGGTCACAATTTTGGGCAAAAAAATAATCTTGTTTCAAATGATGTTCATGATATCATTATATTATGGCTGGTCTATCGTAGACTTAATCCACAGGATAAGGTAAAGCTCCAGCGAGGGGGTTCCATGCCCTTGTTCTTCTGAGGCCACCTTCTGGTCAAATGGAACCCTCAGACCATTGGATGATGTGATTTCACGAGCGGTACCGCTCCTTTGCGAAAACCATCAATAAGACTTGGCGATACCAGCATGTTGTTTCGCCATCAAATCATGACATGCGTGAGGGAAGGAATCATAGAGGGCGAGACTCGGAGCTTTGGCAAGCCAAATGCTCGTCGATTCACGATGACCACTGGTAGTTTCGACTTCACGACATGGTGATCAATGTCAAATTGATCGCGTTTGATCAGCCCGGGCTGACCCCATCATGATCCCCGTAGAGCAATGGCTCCCAGCATTGAACGCTCCAATCGTCTTCTAGCGTTGTCAGCGTAGGGCTGGCTAGCATCTGCCTTGGTAGCTGGAGACGGTAAGGCACCGAGTTTGTATAATTTCTTGATCTTGTTAATATCGGAAATCTCAGACAATGTCAGGTCATCGAACGGCACAGATGTTCCTTCGACGGAACTTTCCAGATGGGCGGCAACGGAGTCATGTGTTATCTCCGGAGTCACGGAGACTTTAACAACCAGCAAGTCCTTGGTGGAGTCGGCAATGCCGAGCTTGCGGAAGGACTCAGCGATCTAAGCTAGTTAGCTTAGGTACGTGGTGGCGCAGTTGTAAGAGTCACCATACATTGTTAGTGGGGTTGAAGGAGAAGACAATCTCCGAGTGCACATTGTGGGATTTGAGACGATGATTCATGTAATCATTCATTGCACGAAAGATGGCTGCCAGTGCGTGGGCTCTGGATAGTACCTGTATCTCTTGGTTAGAAATCCAATGTCTGTCCACGTAGACTACAAACTCATAGGCTCTCACCAAGCTCGCATCAATCAACGCATATTCAAACTCTGCGTTGCCCGCCAGCAACTGCTGCCGCAACAATGCCGAGTTCTGGACATTGCGGTACAGCGCCACATGGACTGGCAGCGATGCTGGCAGGTGGGGGATATTGATCGTCTCTAGCTTCAGCGCCATCTTCAAAAACGAAAATCGGTTCACGATTAGAGCATGACGTATCTCAAAAGTGCCCGTTGCCTCTGCTCTCTGCGCGCCTCTCACCTCACCCCGCCAGTCACGTGTTGTTCTGGAACATTCGGACTTAAGAGCTGCCGACTTCCGGCGTGAGTAAGCGCCCTGATATCACCGGTCCAGCCGTTCGCATATAAACGTTTCATTGCCATCTCTCTCTGTCCTTCGACATCACCGTCGTCATGGCTTTCTTCCTTCGGCGCCCGTTCGCCGTATCATCGGCCCTCACTCAAGCTCCAAAGCTTTCGAACACTGCTCGCTTCATCCACAACTCTCCATTCAAGCCCTCCCAGGCTGCCAAACCGTTCGCTGCCCAGCCCTCGTTCTTCACCAAGTCTAGTCAGACCTTCCACAATGCCTTCCGCCGCAGCTACATGCAGCAAACCTACAACACTCAGAGTGGCAACTTCACTCAGAAGCTGTTGTACGGAGGTGCCATCGTCGGTGGCACTATTCTGGCCACCAACTTCATCTTCAACCGTGAGACCCGCGAGGATGGCGGCATGCCCGCTTACGAGCGGAGCTTCCTGAATGAGACTTTCATGCACACTGGACTTGGTATTGGTATTATCGCTATTGCTGCCCGCGCTCTGCACACCAGCGGCTGGTCATACCGTCTTATGGCTATGAACCCTTGGCTGGTTATGGGTGTCGGTCTTGTTGGCAGCATTGGCTCGATGTACGCCACCTTTGCTACTCCCCCAGATAAGTAAGTGTTTGCACCGTCTTTTCTTTGCCGCTCATCCTTCAAAATTGAGAATGCTAACCACCTCGATAGCTACGTATTGAAATATGGCTGCTGGACTTTGTTCAACCTGACCCAGGCTGCGCTCCTCTCTCCTCTGATGTTCATGCACCCCGCTATCCTCGCTCGCGCTGGTCTCTACACTGTCGGTATGATGGGCTCCATCGCCTTCGTCGGTGCTACTGCCAAGCAAGAGAAATACCTGTACCTCGGTGGTCCTCTCCTTGCAGGTGTTGCCATCGTCGCTCTTTCTGGTCTTGCTCCCATGGTCCTCCCTGCCACTGCTGCCCGCACCCTGATGTGGTCTGAGCGCGTCTGGCTGTACGGTGGTCTGGCTGTCTTCGGTGGCTTCACTCTCTACGATGTGCAGAAGATCCTGCACCACGCCCGTCTTGCCGAGCGTGGCTACATGAAGCGTGACGTTGTCAACGAGAGTGTCAGCCTCGAGCTCGACTTCATCAACATCTTCATCCGCATGGTCCAGATTCTGGGCATGCGGAGCAACAACCGGAAGTAAAACTTCCTTTCCTCTGGAGAACACACCAAATTCCCTTTCCTTTCGTTGATTCACCACAATACTGTACTCTTAACGACCTGCTCTGCTTTGTTTCCCCTTGATTCCAAATCCTCGTGCTTCTGAACACGAGGTGGCAATTCGCCTAGACTTGTCTCTTCCATACAATATCCGGGGAATAAATCTCCACTCCATAGCCCTTTCTCCGTATTAGAGCAAAATGCAACCTCCTTGCTTTTTCTTCTGAATTCAAATTCCCATCCCATCGGATATTCAATGATAACTCCCGTGTATCCCCAGGTATTCACCCTCCTGTCATGAGCCTTCGAAACAGAGGTTACCGTATTGAAAGAGTGGCAATCCTAGTTCCATCCCTATTGGATTTCACAATATCGGTCTACTCAAGTTCTCCAGCCTTGGGCATTCTTTTTCCTGGAAGGCTTCCGAGCGCCGGGCCGCGAGGAGTTGGCTTTAGCCTGTGGATTCGAGAGGACAGAGTAAGGGCCGTTGCGCAATGGTGCCTGAAGAAGAGTTCATACCTGATAGATATGCAATAAACTACTACTTGAATACGATGGGCGAGTTACTCCTCCCTGTTTCCTTTTCTGGCTGATCTAGATGCTGCAATGATACTCTTGTCCCAAATCCACTTGTCTGTACATTCGTAATGATCTTTTCTGCAAAGGGTGTGAAAAAAAAAGTGAGCAAATTTCGTCTTAAATCTGCATTAACCCCTTGATGGGGAAATTTAGTGTCTTGTTTCTTTCGGCTTTTAGAAAACGCTAAGTACTATGACCACAAGAATTGTGCCAGCCAATATTTGATCGGGCACGGTGTGGATATGTTCAAGAGGACTATGTTGCAAGAACTACACCACCTCTGCGCTAAACAGTTTCCTTCCTAATTGTACTATACACTAGTTCAACAAAGAATGTAGGCCCTCAGATAATCAACCATAAAACAATCCAAGCCCACTATTTCTGTAGTTCATAGCTAATGTTTTCCTGAACCCCAGCAAAGGCGGAGAGGGCGCTAGCCGAAAGGGGCTCTCCAGAGCCAAAGCTTTTCCGAATCCGCGCTCACCTGCACGGACGTCAGTACGCTCTCTCCTCCATTCCTCCCCATCATCGCGCCAATTCGCCTCGTGAACGCAGCAATTCTTCAAGCCTTGTCATAGCTGGCCAAAATGTCTAACGAAATGGAGGTTGACCTGCCCGTCGCCCAAGACGAGGGCTCTGAGCAGTCTGGCCGCGGTGTCGAGCCTCGAACTCAGACTGGCGCCGTCGCAGTGCGCAGTATCGAAGGGTGGATTGTGATGGTATCGAACATTCACGAGGAAGCCTCAGAGGAGGATATCACCGATATCTTTGCGGAGTACGGCGAGATTAAGAACTTCAGTCTAAACCTGGACCGGCGGACAGGTTATGTCAAGGTGCGTCGTGGCTGATCCTGTGGTCTCGAGGGCAGGTTGAGCAGCGGTCTTTCAGCCTGTTTTGCTTGCATTCGGTTGCTGGGTCACTTGGTGGTTGGTAAAGAGCATTCTGCTAACACCTTTTTCACGATAGGGATACGCCTTGATCGAGTACTCGACCCTCCCTGAAGCCTCCGAGGCCATCAAAAACCTGAATGGCACCAAGCTCCTTGACCAGACACTCAGCGTCGACTACGCTTTCGTCCGCCCTCCCCCATCAAGCAAGGGCAAAGGTCCTGGCAAGAGTATTCGTGGCGCCGCTGCCCGGGGCCGCAGCCGTAGTCCTGGTCGCAGTGGCAGCCCAGGAGGTGACCGAGACTAAAGCTGTCGATTGTTTTCTGCGCACAACACCTTCTTGACAGGATGCTGTGCCTATCTTTTCCTCTTTTGATACCTGGTCTGTTTATTCTGGTCGTCTTGATCCCGGGGTATCATCAACTTCTACCACCGATCCCCACATACACATCCGACGTCTCTTGGCGGATGACCGAATCCACGGATATTTCTCGTTCTCGCCGGCTATATCTTCCCCTTGATGCCAATCATGCATCAGTGCCTCTATGAACCAAATAAATTTGGGGAAAGGTATGCGCCGGCGCCATGATACATTGTTCTATTGGGTATGTTAACCTTGACCTCTTACAGCTTATGCCTAACGTCCGCTAACTGAATCTTTAGAACTAAAGAATGCTCATTACACTTCGTCTTGACCTCGGCAAGCCCCGCGAAATTCTCACTTGGCATGACAATCTGCTATCAATCCGTAACGATCTATAATTGCAATTTGGAACTGTCCTGGAAGTTCCATGTTTGAAATGACATCCTGTTGTCTAATGTTTAAAATTTGGTGCTTGTCGATGTGCTTCGTAGGACTCAGTCACGCAAGACAAGTGGGCTGGAAATTGTCAAATGATGGCAAGCCTTTATTGATAGGGTCTTAAAAGTACCCTGGGCTGTTACGAGTAAGAACTGCAATGTAGCGTGACATGATCGGTGCACAATCTAGACTCTCGTAGATAACCACCTCGAGTTTACGCATCCTATCCTGACAGCTTCATACAATTTCATAGTGCTGCAGCTTCTACTCCAGATATTGTCCAAAGATGAAACGAAGATTGTGAATCGAGGAACTCCCGGTATGTATGCAATGGCTGCCTGTCTTATCTAACAACATGCTGATTGCACCGTCCACCGAGAAATCCCGAGCCTCGAATCAAATACCAATGGGCATATCAATCAGAGGGGAGATCATGATGGTATGGTACACGGCAATTGGAGGAGCGCACTCTTCGCTGGGAATGTGGAAGGGCAGAAGAAATTGGCACGTAGTATATCTAGTTCTTGCCAGACTGGTCCTTGGTCAACTTGTCACTAGATGGGAGTTAGCACCAGAGTTTCCTTAAGCACCGAGCGTGCGTGCCTAGACAGGGAAGGGTGTAGACATACATGTGACCCTCGAGCTCATCGAGGTGAGCGCGCTGGTCATTAATCTTCTTCCGAAGTTGAGCGAGCCTGGTACCCGACCACGATTAGTAATGACCCAGAATGGGATGTAGGACTGCAAACATACTTCTCAAGCTCCTTTTCGCGGATATAGAGGGCCTCTTGAGCAGCCTCACGCTTGGTGAACGAGTCACTGTTGTTCAACCTGTGTCAGTAATTGATGATGTCATACGGCAAGCCAAGGCAGACACGCAAATGCACAGTCGCTATTCAAGGCTTGAGGGCACAGGCACAGCTGACCGTAGCATGGTAGAGGATGCAGGGGAGGGGGAAGAGGGGGATTACGAACCCAGCAGCAGCGCCTCCAGTGCGAGGCGCGCCAGTGTCACCTTCGCCCAGTCGGGGCGCAGCAACAGAGAAGGACCGGGTCAGCAGAGCCCGGTTGGCTGTGACAGCAGGTCGGATGATGGTTTGGCGGAGCATTGTGTGTAGAGGGTTAGAGAGATGATTGGAGATATGGGAAGAAGGGAGTTTAAAGCTTAAGTGGCAGGGGAATAATGGTCGAGGGAAGCTGATGGGGGAGTATGGCATGACGACAGGCGCCAAGACCACATCATGTGATCTGGGTCGGGCTCGGGGGAATAAGACGGGAGTCAAGTCACGGGGTCTGGTAGATTAGGTAACCTAAGTGCAGCCCCATTATGTCAGCGGGTCGAAATCTCTGCGATAAGTCGACGCGTTCTCATTCGACTTGGGACGGAGATCATGAGGGGAGGAGGCACCTCGGATCATTGGGTCTGGATACTAACCCAGCGATTAGCTGGATGTGGCTACGGGGATTGGGCTTGCCTGTGCTCGGACAGCCTCCTCCTCATCATCATGTGGGAGAGCAGCCTATCGACTATACAATAGTACAGTACAACATGCAGAAGTAGCCTTGATACTGCTAATAGTCCTTTGTAGTACATTCAGTGGTCTAGACTAGCAAAAGGGAGGGGGGTTCTACTGTAACCAGCGAACAGCCGTGGATATATGGATCTGTTTCGAAGAAACGAGCCAGAAAGGCTAGTCTGCCTTGGAACCGGTGGACCGAGAGGGCTTCCAACGTGAGGCGCAAAGAAGGGGAAACGTTCCAGGGCGATTGGCGGGCGCAGGATGGGGGATGACGCTGGGCAGGCCCACCGAACCACACAGAAAGACCAAGTTGGACACAGGAAGAGAGGGAGAAGGAGGGGGGGAAATAGTCTAGGATCACCAGAAAGAGCACAGTAGGAGGTGAATATAGCCTCTCATTTTCAGTCCAGTCCAATTTAAATACTCTGTACATTATTACTCTGGAACTATAGTCGTAGGAGTAGTATTGTTCGTAGATCACCTGCTCCCGAGAGTTGCCAGTTTGTGACTTGCCCGGTAAATCCCAACAACACCGCCTTCTCTGTTTCCCTCCTTTCCCCCTCCTTCTCTCCTCCTTCAACCTCAAACCTTCCACTCCCCTTCACTTTCCACTCTCCATCCATTTAAATCCTCCCCTTTTCAGCTCCTTTCCCCTTTCTCTCCAAATTTCAGGTGAGTTCGCCTCGTTTCATCCAATTTCCCCTTGGCCTTCCCTGCTCGCGCTCTCCTGCCATCCCACACACACATACAACATATACGGGTCGACCGGGGATCCATTGAAGTTGGGGAAATTTGGAGCAATCTTCTGCTTCCTTTCCCTTTCCAAAAAAAACATCACGTTGCTTCTCGCACCGCCTCCTCCTCGAGATCGCATATCTGCCATGGATATCATCGTCTCTCGCTGCCTTGTTTACCTGGCGGGGCCGTTGCCGCGACCGCTTCGCTGCGATCGACCCCCCTCAAAACACGTTCGGCCGGGAGGATCGAGAATTCGGCGCCATCATTATCAACCATCGTCATTCGTTCCCACCTTCAGGCGATGGCCACGTTAAGAAAAAAAAACAAAACAATACTTGTGATGTCAAATGGAATGCTTGCCGTTCAGCCAAGTGGCTACATTTGTCGCGCTGCTACCCCTCCCGGTCGCTGGCGATGATGTCGATGGCGTGATTCCCACTTGCTTTCTCCATATTCCACGGACATTCAAATTTCGATTTGCTGCGTGACATAAACTAATCCGCGATTTTATTGATTTCTATAGAACATTTCACAATGGGTCACGAAGACGCTGTTTACCTCGCCAAGCTCGCTGAGCAGGCTGAGCGCTATGAAGGTTCGCTGCCCCTCTCAATATCACAAATCATTCCTGTTCCAGAAAAAAATGGATTGGGGAACATGTATCGAGAGTCTCAAATGTTAACATGCGCCCACAGAGATGGTCGAGAACATGAAGGTCGTTGCCTCGGCCGACGTTGAGCTCACCGTTGAGGAGCGGAATCTCCTGTCCGTCGCCTACAAGAACGTCATTGGTGCCCGCCGTGCCTCGTGGCGTATTGTCACCTCGATCGAGCAGAAGGAGGAGTCCAAGGGCAACGAGGGCCAGGTTACCCTGATCAAGGAGTACCGCCAGAAGATCGAGGCCGAGCTTGCCAAGATCTGCGACGACATCTTGGAGGTCCTGGACCAGCACCTCATCAAGTCCGCCCAGTCCGGCGAGTCCAAGGTCTTTTACCACAAGATGAAGGGTGACTACCACCGTTACCTGGCGGAGTTCGCCATTGGCGACCGCCGCAAGGATGCTGCCGACCAGTCCCTGGAGGCCTACAAGGCCGCCACCGAGATTGCTCAGACCGACCTTGCCCCTACCCACCCTATCCGCCTCGGCCTGGCCCTCAACTTCTCGGTCTTCTACTACGAAATCCTGAACTCCCCCGACCAGGCCTGCCACCTCGCCAAGCTGGCCTTTGACGACGCCATTGCCGGTTAGTTTCTTTTGCGCGCTACTTTTTTTTAGCCCGGTCTGTAAATCTCTGCCAACCTGACGCTAATATCATGTGCAGAGCTCGACACCCTCAGCGAGGAGAGCTACAAGGACTCTACCCTGATCATGCAGCTCCTCCGTGACAACTTGGTAAGTTTGGGGATTCCCTTTGCTTGATGTCTGCATACACCAAAATTTGCACATTCTAATCACGTCTTTGTTTACAGACCCTGTGGACTTCCTCCGAGGCTGAGCCCTCCGCTGAGGCCGCCCCGGCCGAGAAGAAGGAGGAGGCTCCGGCTGCTGAAGAGAAGCAGGCCGAGTAAAGAATGAAATTTAAAAAGATCTTGATGATGGACTCACGTCCTCGGGAGACGGATGGGATAATGGAGAGAGATTTGCACGACTGTCATCCCAGAGCAAAAGGAAAAGTCTGAGCAAGGAAATCGCTGAAGGATACGAGTAAGAACTGGGGGACGAGTTGCATTGATATGAGCAAGATTGCTTTCGGTTCCACCGTCTGGGGGCCTCACGGCCTAAGGATAGCACAGGAACCGTCTCTTATTTGTGATGTCGATGCTTTGCTCCTGGAGCGAATCTCTTTCTGCTTCGAGCTATCTCCCTGCTTGGATATTTGTGGCACCTGCTTTGGTGCATTTTGCCTTGCCTGCTGCTTTGGTTTTGGACTGGACCGGTCAAATCTCCCGTCTTTGTTTTTCTCTTTCATTCTCCTTGTTTTTTTGTCTACTTGCCTCTTAACTACCCCTTAAAGAGTCCCCTTTGCGCGCACTCTCCAAATTTCCCCCCACAACCCACAACACATACACACGGACAGAGAATCCCTTTTTTAAATCAGCTTTCTTATCAGGAACTTCAATGAGGGCCTCGTACTGATCCCCGATCTGGCTTTTTTTCTTCTCTGGCCTTTCTTCCATGATTCTTGATATTCTTTTCCGTTTCCTCCTTATGACCTTTTTATCTCTCCCCTCGTATGTGTGCGTGTGGCTTCTTATGCTCGCTAGATGTTCTTTTTTCTCATAAAGATCAACTACCCCAGTACATCGACCAGTTGGTAAAATGGTACATTGGTAGAAAGGTATGATATTTCCTTGTTTCGAAACCATCATCCTGGTGATAGCCCTCTTGTTCCAACCATTAGGACAAAGCCCGGGTTGACCCTCGTAGTCTCAACACTTGGGCAGATCCCATCCTCGGATTCTTTATGGCTTTGTGTGTACTTAGTCCCTGGGTCTGGCTATGCCCAAGTCCATGAATAGTAACCCAACTTGGCATGTTCCGCGGACGCCTAACTTTTGATGATACAATACAGTAAATACTCTCCAGAGAGCAATATTTCTATATTGATAATTCAAGGAGAATCACAATCACTGCATTCTTAACCTGACGCTTCAATCCTCGGGCTGCGCTGTGAATATACCCAACTTGACACCCAGCTTCGATACCCAAGCTGCTAACCTTGAAAAGAGAAATGGTAAACATGTGAGAAATTAGCACAGCTCGTGAAACGAGTTGGTGACTCTTTGAGCGCCTTTCCAAATATCCAGAAGAGCGAGTTCGCTCGCCTAACATTTCGTTTACGGAACACTTGGCCTGCATACCTTTGTAATGGATATAACATGAGACATGGAGTCTTCATTATGAGGTGTAGGGTGCCAAGCTGGACGCTTGTCACGATGTGGAGGTGACATGTTCTTGGGCGCGGACTAGCAGTGTTTTCTTTTTCCCTGTCAAAGAAGGTTGGTTACTCGAGGAAGCTGATGGGAACCACCAAACTCGTGACGATTTTTGGCATACGTTCTTCGACGTCGAAATTATGAAACACGAGCTTCCAGCTGATTGGAGACCCGGCGATGGGATATCGTAGAGCTATAAAATTGGGAATGATATACGAACTCGTTTAATGCTGCGGGCTTAGCGTATAACAAGCTTCACCTACTTCCTCCAACTAACAATCTACATAATGCCATTGATGCTCGAAGAAACTTGTATTCTGCAATGCTATCTGCAGGAAACGTAATGTGCTCTCGCAGAATCCCAATAACCTATTCTGCTCGATTTCAATTAAGCACCTCCCAGGACATACTATGAGACTGCGGTTCGATATTGGGATTGTATTCCGCATCTCGTCGAGCCTATTATGCCAAATACTTGGTGGAGATGACGACGCAAACAGTATAATTCCCATTGGATGTGCATTCGAAGGAGTGTTAATGACTTATGACATTGTCTAGAAGCGATAAATCTACTATGTATTAAGATAAAAGGCCCTCCTCTGTCTGACTGTCCGTTCTAAAGCGACAGGTCCAGTTCAAGTATTTGGAGTTTACCGGACAGCTTGAAGCTCACCTCAAGCTCATTATCTGATTCGGCTCCCGGAGAACTAAGTACGATTCCGGCTAGAAATCAGCTGCGAGGAAGGGTATATCTACCCAGATAGTCGAAAGCGAGAGCGATAGAAGACTTCAACCTATCGATCTTACACTATCACTGTTTCTTCATCGAGCTGATCAGTAGTTTTCCGGGCTATCTTCCGAGTTGACATCGGTATACGTTACAGCAGCTTTGATATAATGTGGTGGTCCAAGCCCATAGATCACACAGCCCAGCCAAAATCTATCCATATTACAATTCCGACTACCCCGTGTTGCTTCTTCCCGTTATACTTACCTCTACAACTGAAATTAGACATCTACTTTGAAACAACCCAACCACGACCCACTCATGTCCAAGACTTAAGTGATAGGTTCTGCCGAAGACAGCCAGAGTAAACAACAATAGAAGCATAAAGAAGGGCAATTGCCGACAGCCGATCCAAGGTTCCACATGACGTTGATGACACAGAGAGCAATCAAACAGATCCGATCCCATCATTCCATGTGGTGGGCTACATCGATAGCTCAATTCATTGATTACAGTAGTCCTTTGTCCAACGTTATCGAATACTTACTTGGGCAGCCGCTGACGAACAGGGCCTGTCGGATTCGTCGACAAGATACCCGGAGTCCCGAAACCGTAGAAGACAAATAAGAAATAAGACATGGCTCAAACCACCCCACTGGCTCTTCAAGGGACCTACTTGTTTGCTTACATTGTGCTACACAATAGAACTAACTTCTCGCTCGTACAAAGAGAGTACCTAATCATTTGAAATGATATCCCATTGCTATGGATTACTCTGAAAAAAAACCACCACCATGCGACCAGCCATGCAAGACTAGACAAGGAAGTGTGGGTATGATATGACGAGCATCAGAGAAAAAAAAAGTTGGAAAGGAAAAGGAAAAAAGAAAACATGAGGATGGGGACTTGAGACATGCACAGGGGGGTTTCGTGGATATGGCAAGACGAAGCAGTAACAGAGCCGCAATGATAAACAAAAAGAAGATAAAAATAGATGGAGAGGTAACAATGCAGGCTTGATGAAGACTGTACTTGATAGAGCCACAAAGAAGGGGGGTGTATGCAAATGGTGACGCGAAACAGATCATTGGCTTGGCTTGGCTTTTTTTTTTGGTATGACACGTTTCTCCGGGGAAAGTCAGTCCATTGCTTGGTAGAAGAATGCAAGTTTGCGCAAAAAAAACAGGCTGGAAGATGTACATGGGTTTGCGAATTTTCCCTCTCGAGAAGCCCCCGGTTTATGTTGTGCTCCATTTTTAGAGAAACATAAACAAGGGTCTCAAGATTCGAGGAAAAAGGCAAAAGATGGTCGGAATGAAAGGGAGAAGAAGATAAAAAATAAAGAAAGAATTCTGAAATCAAAAAGGAAATAACAATGGACTGCTCCGAAAAGAGAACCTCCCTCCCAGGTAAAAGATGCTTTCCACTTTCCGCGCCGTCCTGCTGTTGACCATGCAATGCCATGCCATATGACGATGAAAACATAATCCAGGTGCAGGCTCCGGTAAAGAGTCATTCAATCAAATCGAGTCTAGTCCCAGTCCCCGAAACGCCCAAGGTGCTATGCATCCGATAATAAAAAAAAAGTACAGGTGAAACCATTGTTCACAAAGAGCCGCCGTGAGAGTCAGATAAAGGAAAAGTTGAGAATGGGAGTGAAAAGAAAAACAACGCCGAATGATATCACACGAAGAGAAGGAAACGGAGGGAGAGTAGGGTCACAGTGATGGTGGTATTGTGGAGGGATAGGGATAGGAGCGTGGGGAGCGAAAAAGGGGGAGCCCAGGTGGAACAGGTATCGACAACCGTAAGAATGAAGAGGACCGATCTGCCAGCCGAAATGAAGATCACATCGTATCAGAGTGAGATTCGCGTCGCACAAACAACCAAAGGCTGAAATTGTGTTTTGGTGGAAGATCCTTGAACGACAAGGTTGCCAAGACGCAAGTGGCGGACCACTTGACGAACCCCAAGTATGCGATGATGTCACCGAACATCCGTTGTCGCCCTTGGGTAAACAAGCACTTGCGTTGACAACCCGTCGTGGAAGGCTTCAGACGGTCGGCCCCGCATCAAAATGGCGGTGGAGACCGGTGGCAAGATTCTGTGGTGAGAGTGGTCATGAGAATGGGTGTTGGTGTAGATGTTGAGTAGGTGGCCAGTCGATCCAGTCGGGTGGCCGAAAGTCATTATCGGAAAGAGTGAATGAGTGGCGGGAACGATCGGGGGGGGAAGATGTACAAGCCCCTGGTACCATACAGCTGCCTAGTAAGAAAGCCCGTAATACGAGGAGCCTCGTACGCGCCGTCGTCCCGTGGGGGGCGCGTATGCGAAACAGCTGTGCAGATCGGAATCCGGTGACCAGGTGTGGTTTGACATCGTGAAATCGGGCGTGTTAGATTTTGAGGGAGGTGATGGTCGTCGTAGAATGGGCTTAGGAGGAAAGGTATTCAAGTAGTTATCGGCATGGGAAAGTCGTGATATGTGGCAGCTCCCCAAGAACACCCTCAGGTCAGAGGAGGAAAAGAACGCAATCTTCATATCCGAGTCGTCGGATCGTAGTGAGAGCTCCAGATTGGCCTGCGACTCCTCCAACCACTCCGACCCTCGTTATTCTGGTGGAGTTATTTCTGGGCTTTTCGAGCCTTCGTACTGCGGGTCATTTCGCTCTTGGTCATGTTGCGGGTAAGACCACCGATGTAATCCTGTAGGATCTTGTTCTCGTTCTCCAGCTTATCGTGGTCAGACTTGACGGCGTCAATGCGCTCGGCGAGAGCCTGAAGAGAGGACTGGAGAGCCTTGGCTTGCCTGTGGTGATCATGCAAAGTTAGTTTTCAGTTCAGTCAAAGATCGGCGAAAGAGCAGTCCATTTCTTCCAAGATTCCAAAGGTCACTCACTCCTGAAGCGTCTGGCGGGCCTCCTTGCCCAATCGTTCCAAATCGGCGGAATTACGACGGGGACTCATAGCGCGAGCGTCGTCGGGAGGAAACTCTTCCTCTTCAATTTCAATTTCGGGATGGTCTCGGGGAACCAGAATGGATGCAGAAGGCTTACGACTCGCCATGCGCGGACGTTCAGAGCGGCCTCGGCGTTCAGTTTCGGCGTCAGATATGGATGAAGATGAGGACAGGGATGACATATGCATACGGCCACCGTCGTGGGGATGCGGTAGAGTAGGCACAGGTGAGGCGTCATGCATGTCTATGTCAGAGGCCATAGAGGTGGTTGCTCGCAACAGACACAGTCGAACAGGATGGATTTGGCGAGGTCCAGCGTGGCGACTTGATCTTGCGAACCTCGGAGGTTGGGTATGGTCGTTGGAGGGGGGAAGTGAGAGATAGGAGTGGAAGAAGAAGAGGAGTCAATAGGGAGTCCCGATTTTCTCTCTTTTCTTCTGAATTCACTGGTCGGAGCGAACGGTGAACGACCACGGTCTACCCCTAGCGATGTACCCCAGACGAGAAATCTGTGTTACGCTTGAGGTAGCTACCGGGGTCGGTGGGGGAATCGGAACGAGGGAGGATGGGCGTGTGAGAATCGGACCGCGAGCCAGTTGAACGGGTAGTTGTTTGGACGCGCAGAGGATTTTGGGAGGACAAGTCAAGATGGAAACCGTTCTCAGCGTTTGTTGGCGAAGTTGACTGGGGGGGTTGGTTGGTGATTTATGGTGGGAGAGGGGGGAGGACGCCTGGTGGAGATGGTTGTAACGTTTGCGGTGTATCGGGATTTTTTTAGAGTTGGAGATAGGAACAGGAGGTGAAGTGCGGTCGGAAATGCACAATTCCAGGCGAGTCGAGAGAAGAGAAAGTCGAGAAAGTCGGGAGGAAGGGATTAGGGAAATCGAGGTTGGCGATGAATGGCAGTTTGGGAAGAGAAGAAGGGGAAAAAGCGAGCAGTTTGAAGAGGACGGAGTTTGGGTGCTGGGAGTGTATGGCCAGTACCACCGATACCGGTAATTTTGACGAAGGTTGGGGGAGCAGTTGTGGATTCCGCCTCAGGGACTCCTCCAGGACCACGTAAAGTTACCAACTTAAAGGGGAGGTTTGTTTGGGGGATGGTAAGCTGGTGACACTACGGGGTCCAGGGTACAAGTCTACAAGTCTACAAGTCGCCCAGCATCTGGTATTATGATGATTTAATTCCAGGAAGCCCGTAAGAGTCCTCCTCCGTCACTACTCTCTCTCTCTCTCACTCAAAACCCTGGAGTCTTGTATCCTGGACGAAAGTACGAGAACTCCACTCCTTCACGACCATTTGGAGGCCCTGCTATGGAGTCCTGTATGGTGACCTGCACCTGCGGATGATTGGCGCAGTCATGACTATCTTAGCACCTTTTCAGTAGGTGGAGGGGGGCAGGTCCCTTTAGCTGATCGTCTCCCCCCCCTCCCTCCGAAATGAACCCGTGAGGCGCGTGGCAGCCACACACTTGGTCTCCCTGGAGTTTGGTACGCTCATATTAATGCGATGGGGCATGAGGATTTAATTTACGTGCCAGAGTATGGAGTCTGGAGGAAAGAATCAATTGGAGGTAATAACAATACGGCATACTTTTATCGGTCGGGACCTCTACTTTCTACCATAGTACTATAGTAGTGTATGAGTGACATACTACTTACTATATACGGAGTACTTAACACTAATCATATCAACAAAAGCTCAATTATAATAGTCACATACCGTAGTAACCATTATCGAGAAAGAGCCACGGGGATATCCTAAGTCGTCAGTTTATTCCCGTATCCATGAATTAAATATTCGATAGTCTCTATCCTCCACTATGTCCACTATGGAGAAACTCAACCCGCTTACACGGTGGCTAAGGGGCGAAAGGAAGAGAACCAGCATTCAGGAAAAGGCACTAAGGACAGATCCACTCGGGTGGAGATGGACTCCATCAGAAAAGGCACCAAACAATCACCTTCGATCCCTTTCCGGGTTAGCAGAAGAACCAACGAGTTCCATGGAAGCGACACCGAAAAGAGGGTCGAACCGGTGTTGAGCGGGGAAAGGTATCCGCGGGTCTGCCTATGAGCAGCAAGGAACCTTCCGAACTAACTAACAAACGGGTTTAGCTCCGAGTGGAGAGCAAAAGGGAACTTTGTGGATATGACTGGTTGCTGTCGAGTGGGCCGTGGGCACGGAGGAGTCAGGACGGAGGAGAGAGTAGCGGTGGTGGGTTGATATTAATTTGACCTCGTGGATATGAGCAAGGTTAGCGACTCTCGTCACTGTGTCGATACAGTACGGAGGACTCCTGTAGGAAATCATCATGATAGTCGAACAAAAAAGACGGAGTATATACTCAAATTCATCCTTTGGAGTTGGTCACGGTATATCCTCCCGTGGCGCATTATTCACCGCTGCTCTGCTCCTCCTCCTCCACCTCCACCTCCACTGGCTACCCTGCAGGGTTGGCCGAAAATCAATCATCCGCGACTGCTCCTGCTCCTGCTGCTGTTATTGCCGTTATTGCTGCTCCTGCTGCCAGGAACTGACTGCTCATCAATTCCAGTACTCGAAATGGGTCCCACCCCCCTGGATGTACGGAGTACAGTACGACGACTACCAACCAACGAGCATGGACTGATCGCACAACTCCACCGCCAGACTGGCAGAAATTGGATAGCTTGAGTTTTTACCGAACCTTGATGAACACGTATTCCTCTTCTGGTCCATCCCCCTTACCCAGCTTGGTCTCTTCCCGCCAAACTGACGCGGTTAGGATAAGCTGACCTGACGGAGGTGCTCTTCTGACTCCGACGAAATCGTCTCCTCCGAGGCTCCAGTTTGGTGATTAATCTATTTTACCCATTTGTCCTCGAGACAGAATTACCTTGTTCTTCTTAACTCTCGGAAGAGCCGCGCATTTCAGCCCCCCCATGTCTCGCTTGCCTCCATCTTGGATCTGGGGATTTCGTGCCGACCGTAGACTCCATCCGGTCTACGGACCAAACTGGTAACGCTCCGTACACATCGCAATATTGACATTCATTGACAGTACGGAGGACTCCGTCACCTACGGAGAGATACTGTACATACTCTACAGTTCATTATTTGGACATACCAACCCTCCCCTTCCCTCCCTTCCCCCAAAAATCAAAACCGGAAACGGCGCTGACGCGCTGGTGGGCATCGGGGGACACGGAAACTGGGGGGAGGGGAATAAGAAAATGGTACTTTTGACCACGACGTCCTGAAACACAAGTGAGGCATCATAATTGGTAGCTCTCTTGCAGAACAGAAAGAGAGAAACGCGTGGTATGTATGGGTACATATGATGACATATGATGACGGGAAGGAGGAGGGGGGGCGAACAGCTTGCATCCTCGGAGCAGGAGACACTTGGGAAGCGTCATCATAAGCAATCCCTCTCCACCTCTCAGCGTTCAGAACCTCCAGGGGGGTCCACGAAGAGAGGGGGCGCGCTATGCAATGTCGATCGAGCCGCAATGAGTGGGAATGACGCCATTTGACTGGCTCCGATCACCTCGGGAGTTTATACGGAGACAACCAAGCCCTCCTCCCCTGGCTGGTAACCGCTGTACCGCGCCACAACACGGGAAGAAACGTCGCTTTGATGACATCGCTGGTGGTGCTGGTATGGTGGCGATGTCAGATCAGTACATCAGCGCTGTACTGTACTCCGTATGAAAGAGACATATCGACAAAAGTCACTGTTGGAGGTGTGGTCTGTAATCTGTAGATCTTGTACAAAAACTTGGGGCAAGGGATACGCGGAATCAGGAGCCGATGGAAGGATTTTTCTTCGCCTTCCTCGGAAAAAGATGGACATCTGAATTTTTTCCTCTGTTGATCAATACAGAACGGAGTCATGTTTTTTCTTGAACCCTTTTGTTCTCGTCCTCTTTTGCGGTGAACGGAAGTCGTGACTTTCATTTCTTCGGTTCTACCAAATTTCGACGGACGACGATCCTGACGCCCCGTGGACCCAAGGAGCCCAGTTCCGGGATCACATTCTGCCTGTTGGATACCGTAATAATAATAAACAAATACAGTTTACGCAGATAACTACATAATAAAACAATAATATACATCAGATAGGGTAGGGCGCGGACACATACTCCGTTGGAGTTGGGGGATCCTCGATCCTCCTAAACGAGGAATCAATCGATGTTGATTTGATTGATAGGGTGACGACTAAGTGTAGACAGCGGGTAGTCTACATAGTAGAAGCGTATACAATACTACCCTCATTATTCCATAGAGAAGACCATGGATTACCGTCTACTCTCCCATATTTTCCAATTTCCTTCCCTCCATAATTCTCCATCCATCCTCGCAATACGTGCACCATCTCAGCTGAACCACCCCATCGACAAATCACCCAATCCAGTCAGTCACCCGTCCGATAGACTCAAATCCCGCGTCCAGTGACCCTAGCGGAGCAGTTCGCACCAATCACACGCCCAACATTTCAGGCGAGTGAGCGATAGAGGCACGCTTGGGCGAAGGGTCAGGACGATCCATTCCCGTAGGTTCGATGGCGGGAGAGGGGGCCATGGCATCCATACTAACTCTGATAGAGACGATGATGGTGATGATCATTTAAATACGTGGTTATTATTTGGAGGATCGGTGGCCGCCTTACCGTAATGGGAGGTGAAACCAGGCAGGGTCATCGTATGTGCCGATCCCCAGAGTTTCTCATCGCTCTACTTATCAGTGCTACTGTAGGTTGGGTTGAAGAAAGGTCCTAACGGCTGTCCCGCTAGGAGTGGGAGGGATCGGAGGGAAGGGTCTACGAGGGAGGATGGTATGTTGATTGGTCGTAATCAATATTGTACAGACTCACAAGTAAAGTACATATAGGATAGACCATATTTAGTTGGATCGAGGATAAACTTCCTACATCCAATTAAACGGTTTAGAACACACCGATAAACTGCCTGGGAGTATAAACGCATCCGCTGGGAAACTGGTCACGGGGCCGGTCAAGTTCAGGTTCAGATTCAGGTTCACCCATCGGCAGTTAGCGAGAACGAACCCACTAAATTCAACCTTGTCGTCATTCCATATCTTCTGGTTATTTGGGTACCCAACCATTTCCCTTTTTCTCCCTCCACTCAGAAATGAATTGAAGAACTGGATGAAAATACGTCTCTTCCACAGTCGATGTCGTTCTGTCGAGTCCCTCATCCACCGTCCACTCTCATGGGTCCCAATCGCCGGCAGTGGCTTGTCGGTGGCTGCAGCGTTTCGAATCAAAACTGCCGACGCCACTCCATCAGTTTGACTCTATGCACAAGTTTCGTATTAGTTTTTCCGGGCAGACCGTTCCGCCGCACGAAGACAAGCCATGGGAAAAAAGATTACTGAAAAAGAAAAAAGGAAAAAGAAGGGACAAGCGCCAAAGTCCTCGATGACGACATCTATCCATGGCACACTGATATTGTAGTACATAGTGAACTATATCTCATCGGCATCGCCCCGATCTCGTCTAGCAGACACCACTCGCTGATAGCCGAGCGTGCCTCGCTTTAGCCTTTTTCCGCCACTACTCTTTTGCTTCGGTCGGTGTCTAAACCTTCTAGGGCGATTCACGAGATAGTGAAATACTCCCAGAAGTACCATTGCCATCGTCATCGTTAAGCGCCCGGGATAAATCATGGAGCCAAATCGTCACGAGTAGGACAATAGGGAATTAAATGTGACCGATCGGAAAATTCTCACTCCAACCAGAATCCAAACGGAAGCGCTGAAGAGTCAACCGGAGTTTGGCAATCCACCTGGTCAGGGGAAGAAAAAAGGAAAGAGACCCATAGGGCCAGTAGCCAGGACGTATACATAGTCATACTACAGTAAAGTGTTTTGTGCGATGAAGAAACCTACGGTAGCTTGGATGCTTGGATGGTGGTGCAGTGAATTGCTGAATACGCTTGACTAGTCCTTCGATTAATCAATCTTTACTTTTCAGCAGACTCTACGAGGTGTTAACTATTCCTATAACTAACTACCAGATAATTACTTTTCAAAAAAACAGTGATCGAGTGCCCCTCCCCCTCCTCGCAATTGCCGTAGCTCAACGCCCGAAAGCAGCCAGTGGCAGTCGTTCCTGGATCCCCGCAACCCCTCGAGTCAGATGGTCTACCAAGCGTACAAAGCTACTTCTGTACGGAGTACTTACAAGAGTAAGACTAAGACTATCCGTACGAGAGGGCGACGCTCAGGCCCGGCATTTTCCAAAGAGGGGGCGTGTGACTGCGTTGGTGTGGTTGTGGTGGTTCCACCAGACGAGGACCAACGATGCGCTGCCTCACTCAACTCTATCTTTCATGGCGTATTCTTCCGAAGTCGACCGACCAAGGGACTGTGCTGGTGAAGTCCCCATCAGCCAGGAGTGGGCATTGGTGGTTCCAGTGCACTGGGCTCGAGGACACGCCCTGCATGAAGTCGTTGAATTTCTGCGTGCTTTGTATCGTGTGAGGCGAACAAAGTACTTGACTTGTCCTTGGTAGATTTGCCATCAGTCGGCTAGCGCATATTACTGGATTGCGAGTTCGTGACTCGTGAGTGCGAATGGACAGTACGTGGACTTTTAGGGTTCGGGGGCAACTGAAAACTACATCATGAGGCGCTTGCTTATTGACGATGAGACATCCACGTAACGCGCCAACGGCTGTCATTGTCCCTGCTAGCTTCATCGTCTAGTCGCTAATAGTACAGTAGTCACAAAGAGCTAACCTCTCTGTCCAATTACTGCTACGCAGAACCCCCCGTTTTTTGTCTGTCCGGTCGCTCTCTTTAACGATCCTGTAAACATCCCTCTCATCGTCCCTTCTGATGTGCACCAAATCCACCAACCCTGCCGATCTGCATGTCGCCCACCGCCAATGATTCGCTTCTCTGCCCACCCCCACCCTGAACAAATCCCTGCCCGAAGCAGAAAGGGGGAGGGGCTTCTACCTGAGAGACAGTCCACTACTACTGAGCCCAACAGGGCAGGGCAAAAGAAAAGAGGGCCTTAAAACCACGCTAAGCCCGGATCGCGCGCGATGAAAGAGTGGCGGTGGGTTTATTTCTCTCGTTGGCGCCGTCTCACTGGTTGACCCTTTTCGCGCTGCCGCGGGATATTTTGCTCTTCTTCCATGGCCAATGAGAGCTTTGGGAATTGGGTCTACTCCTTGACCTTGGAAGAGTGGGACGATTTAGTGAGGGTGTTAGGCTCCGTTTAGAACTAACTACTCCGTACTTACTGTGGGTTTTTTTGGGTTGTATGCTCAGATCCCCCCTGGACGTTGTCCGAGATCCATTTTGGAACTTTAGATATTACAGTAGCTGAACAGCTAAGTACATACGACGATAGTAGTACAACATGTTGTTGAGAGATGTTGGTGTCTTGGCCTTGATGTGTGCCTGAAAGTGGGGGTACTTTTTCGTTCCGTTTTTTTATCGGCGTACAGTAGCTTGTTTTTGTGATGCGAGTCAAGCAACAAAGCATTGGACTATTTGGCGGTAATAATTCATAGAGCTATCGCAAGGGAATCTTTTGTAATATAGACAGCATATTTGGCATTTTAGAATTTGTAGTATTTCCTGGGTGTCGGAGAAGCTGATCGCCCCTGCAGGTCCCCTCTATGAAGAACATGCCAGACTACAGGTGCATGGAACGCCGCTTGCAGAACATGATTGCCATTATGTCTGCGACAGCTCTGGCATGTTACCATTTCCTCCTGGGTTTCATCATGAACTCCCTTTCTTGGTACATTTCAGCCAGCCAAGCTATTAAATCTCGTCATCACATATACAAGACTGTCAAATGTAGGTGGGTCAATTAGTTCGGACATACTGTAAACATCATCCAGACAAAGCTATATACAACTCCCCGATTACAGTGTCGCCCGACAGTGACAACCATCCCAGGTCAAAATAACTACTAGATCTGGTGCTACAAACACATAGATACCTAATCATCACCAGATCCCCAATAGTCAAACCATGAATCAAGCAACCAACACCCCAAACCTAACCCCCAGCCTCAAAATACATACCAAACCAGACCTAACCAAGAAGCTCAAGACGTCACCAAAAATACCCAAAAGCGCGAAGATCGGTGTCCCGCTAATGCAGATCTACCGATCGAATAATCCTGTTTTCAGATCTGAATCCTTGTTTTTGGCTTAGACGGGCGCCCCGGGTATTTGGTGGTGGTGTTCCATAGCTTCTGTGGAGCTCAGGGGAGGCGCGGAATATGGTAGCTCGGCTCCGCTGTGGTCGATCTATTGGAAGGTTCCTGGTTTTGAAGTAAATGGGCTTGGGCGTTTGCACCAGGGCGGATTAAGGTAAGGAATGTTGCTTTTGGGATGATGGAGACATGTTCCGCGTGCAGGGCCCGTTGTCAGTGGGTGGATGACTTGTGATATGCCTAGGAAGGAGTAGTTTGGTCGGGCCTCGGCTTTGGGGTTAGAGATTAATTAGTTTGATGTGAAAACTAGCTCATGTCGGTCATTTAGATATTCATGGGTATGATAGGTACATGGTTCGGTCGATTCTATAGATGTATTATCTCGTGTTGCAAGCTGTACCTAGGCTGAGGGTATGATGGCGATCATGATTGAAGGAATATTCATGATGGGTACTAAGAATGGATATATACATGGAAAACGCCAACAGAGCCCAAAACCAACAGTGAGAAGGACATGCAATCGCCCACCTACAACCCGGCAGAAGTCATTGTAATCATAAAAGGGCATCGCTGGTCTGCCATTGCAACAACGCTCTCAGGACAGCGATACCACCAGCTTGTGTCTCAACCGTGCGCCCACGGCCCCGATCATTAAAGTCTCGAGGAATGCCACCAATCGCAGGATCTGTGTCAAACCCATCATTGCGGTAGTCCACCGCTCCAGGAGGGAGAGTGCTACTATTCACAAGATCACTCGAGACCACAAGCTGTCTGAATGGTAGACCCCACCACTGGCCGAACTTGCCGTCATCGTCACGAGTCATCAACGCAGCGCGTGCATTGTGCTCTACCCAGGGCCCGTAGGCACGGCACCGCCGTAGATGCCGGTCATACACCTCGTCCCAATCATCCTCAGCCGCCGGCTGCTGTTTCTCGTTCTCCAAGAAGCTCACCTCCTGTTGTCGTAGGGGCCGGCAGAACTCCGCTAGATGGTGGAAGAAGATGCTCTTGAAGGTCTGCCCGTCCTGCGAGCAACTCGCATGCGAGTCGCATGTATCTTCCAGCACGCCGCCGCGACCGAGTCCGGCCCATTTCACAGAGTATATATGTGGCCATCCGGTAGCGTGCAGCACCTTATGGATCAGTTCGTGGCCATCACGAAGATAGTCCTGATCGCCGGTGGCGAGCCAGAGACCTCTCAACCCGCTGAGAATGACGCCTTGATTGTAGGTGTACACCATTGTGTTGAGGACGTCGCATTTACGTGATCCTGGCTGTGCCGAGCTGCGCCAGCCACTGATGTGGAAGCCGTCGGCGTAGAGACCACCGAGGCCGGTCATGTTGGAATTCTTGAGCCATGCATAGGCATCGATGGCAGCATTGAGATGGGTAGGATTGTGTGGGTATCGCTCCGTGGGTCCCGCGCCCTGCGAATTGGCGACGAAGGGCGCATCGATAGGATCTCCAGGGAAGTAGAGATACATTGAAATGCTGGCAGAAATAAAAAGCTCGTTCGTGATGGCGTTCTTGTACGGAATCAAGGCGGGATTCCAAATCATCCCACCGTTACAGAGGGTCTTGTCCCACCCAGCCGAGGCAAGCTCATAAAAGATCCGAGCTCGATGTGCGGCCGCATCGCGGAATTGCGTGCCATGCCAGCCCCGCGACGAAGTATTTGTCGAGGAGGAGTTGGATGTGGAGTAGTAGAGGTTCGAGTGCAGGTCCTGGAACTTGATATTCTCCAGCCAGTCCAGCACCACCCAGAGCATGTCATCGTAGGCCTGATTCCGCAGACTGAAAGCATTCTCACCAAAGTAGAATGTACTAGTCTGACTGAAGAAGTAATTGACGGTATTTTCAAATGCAGAGAAGGAACACTCGTGCGAGTCATCGTCATCCACAATGCCGAGCGCACAGGATGAGAAAGATGACAGTGTCGCCGCGACATGTGTACCCAAGACAGCGGCAGTCCAATCGATGCTCGATGGCCACGTGCCTAGCCATAACACAAAGTACTCGTCCTGCATGACGTTCAACGCATCGAGCAAATCCTGCAGCGTCTCAGCAGGACGCGCCCAGCTCAACCGTCCCGTCACCTCGCTATCTCCGAGATCGGCCTCCGTGAATAGGTCGTCAAGCGTGGAAGAAGAACTCTCCGGTGGTACCTCGGTCTCGGCAAGAGGTTTCTGCAGCTCATATGCCAGCGCATTGGCCACGGTCACAAAGGAGAGCAGGAACAGTGACACAATGATATAGAGCGAAGACCACGATAGCCCGGCTCGGGCGTGGGACGCTGACGAGGGGACCATCGTGTCTGTAGAGAGGGAGAATTGGCCTGCCGCACAACTCAGCGCCACCCCTCCTCTATAAGAATATGCGGACACCACAATGGGCACACCGAAAAGGAGCGACAAAACGGGCACAGGTCAGATTAGATGCGGGGAAAATGGGGATTACTTGACGGGTTGCGCCTCCAGTGGACGGGCCATCCTGGCAGGGCTTAGTCACCTTGGAAGGACCCACACCCAGCCCACTGGAAATGCAAGATTGGACCTCATCCTACTGAGGAAGTGGGCTCCATTGGTCCGCAGATGAACCTCGTAAGCCTCAGGGAAGGTTTATTAACATAGCTTCAAAGGACGTCACGCGTCGTGGTGCGTTGCCCAGCGTGCGCCACATGGTCGTCGCGTGATGCGGATCGCAAGGGATTTTTGCTTAAAGACAAAGCGCTGCACGCTCGGACTAGCATCGATCGAGGTCATTTACGCAGACTTGAGCATACTGTAGGATGAACATCAAACACTAAAAGTTACGGACTAATACTCATTCATGCTAGAATCGAACTACAAAATGCGGGGAAATACAGGGACAGATCTGATAACTTTTATTCAAGAGTAATACTGTATAGAATATTGAAAACCAGGACAGATGAAACCGTATTTTCCACCAAAAGACCAGGACAATGAACTGTGTGAGTACTCTGACCATTAGCGAGGATCCATGATGTTGAATATCGGAGAATGACGACCCCTGATCTGCGGAAACATTTGGAGGTAGATCAGTAGAGAGACTGTTGCGCCAGGTAGTATGGGAGTTTGTGATCCACCAGTGGTTTTATAATGACCAAGGGTGAATTTGATATTGTTGTGTTGGGGTTGGGCTTGGTCTAACGACCTCTTGGATTTGTCCTGACACGCAAACTGGTTTCACAGCTACGTAACGCCTGTCCAAGAGGAAATTGAGCCAAGAGCTGGGAGGGGAATGATAGGACGGTAATTGAAGATCAGTGTGTCAAGTTACATCGTTGTGGTGGTATTTGTTTCAGCGAAAGGATGGATGCGTGGATGACTGGCTTGACCCAATACCTTCTTGAATTTGTCCTGACACGCAAACTGAATTCACAGCTACGTGACGCCTGTTCAAGAGGATGACGAGTTAAAGCCAGGGCATCGATATCGAAAGGCAAGCGGAACTCGGAGGCAATGGATAACGGTATAGAGGATCAATGCGTCAAGATGTTGTAATTGTTGTCATTTCGTTGGGTATTGGCTTGATCCGAAGTCCTCTTGAATTTGTCCTGACCCGCAAACTGAATAAACAGCTACGTGACGCCTGTTCAGGAGGAACCCGAGTCAAGGTCAGAGAGTGTAATTTTGTCAAGTTCTCATTGTTGTGGTGGTTGGGTGAGAGGATAAGTGACTGACTTGGCCGACGACTTCTTGAATTTGTCCTGACACACAAACTGTGTTCACAGCTACGTGACGCCTGTCCAAGAAGAAGGCTAACCAAAGCCAGGAAGGTTGATCAGGGTCTGAAATATCAAGACAGTAATTGAAAGCCGATGTGTATAGTTGTTGATGTGGCTCACGGGTGGTGGGTGGTGGGTGGTAAGGTCTAGAAAGAGTGTGAGGTCCGGAGGGCCCAGAGAGAGGATGGAGACCAGAAAGGTCGAGGACCAGAGAGGCCCAGAGAGGAGATGGAGAGAGGAGATGGAGAGACGGACCAGACAGAGGGCATGTAGAGGGAATCGAGAAAGACTGCACATAAGGCCCAAAAGGCATAATTAGGAAATCCATATTCACTTCTATTTTCACCAGTCGGCGACTACGTACTTATTCCCACGGATCGGAGTCCAATGCTTACCCACTACCTAGTCCCCCTATACTAGAGAAGAGATAGATGATGAGCACTGTAGATAATGGCGCTGAGGGATGCAGGAAACATTTGTAATAACTAGCTAAAGTATCAGTGCAAAATGAACTTGCGGACACTGCCTGTATACAGCCTACCACTCGGTATCAGTCTTCATATAGTCTACTGGAAGATTCATCAATCGTCTCTGGATATTAGATAAACCATGCAGGAGACTTCCAGTCAGGGGGACAAGGCTTTAGCAGGAAGAATATGGAGTGTACACACTTTCATGAGGTTAGATTGTTTTCGAGTCTGGCGGATATGAGTATATGCTATTGTACAATGCTAGTCATAGCCAGGACGGAAGAGTAAAGATATAGAAAGCCGCAGTAGCTGAATTTGTTATGCCCTAAATGCTCTAGATCGAGTCTCCGTACAGAACTTCTCCCTTGCCAAGCTAAGCTACCGTAGCCTCATTTGAGGTCTACTGGTGCTCGACCCCAGGCATGAGCCCATAAAGGGTACGTAGCTGCGCATTCTCGGATTCCAAGGCCGTAATACGCGCCTTCAAAACCTCAATCTCCGCCTTCATCGCCCCCGCTGCACCCCGAACGTAAGTTTCCCCTGTCACACTATCGGTAATCTTGCATTCCAAGCCCTGTTCCGTGCACTTCCCACACCCCTCAGGGCTGGGGTCGCATGCAAACCTGCGGACCTACATGAAAAACACACGACGTTGTTAGTATTTCGCGGAGAGCGGTATAAGCAAGCAGGACGGGGCTCCAGGGACGAAGACTGAGCAAGAATGAGAGGAGATAGAGAGGCATACTGGACAGCGGTCGCAGGCTTGTCCCGTGCGCTTGCGCTTTTTGTTAAGATTGCGGATTTCCTCAGAGTAATCACGCTCCGAGGAGCCTTGGCGTCGACGCCGTGGTTGTCCGCGTGGGAGAGCCTCACCCTCGCCTTCAGGGATGTCCAGTGTTGTAGGAGGATGCAGATTGCTCGTGATCGATGTAGTTAGGGCAGAGGTTGGATTAGCTGGAGCAGAGCTAGAACCGTCTAGCGTGTTTGAATGGCTTGGGTTGCCAGAATACCGGCTAACATCTAGAAGACTGGTAGCATCAGGAGCAGGAGCTGAAGTAGAAACAGTTGTGGCAAATGTTTTTGGAACATGGATGTCGAGGTAGTCATCAGGGTCAAAGGAAGCGAAGCTGTCACAGTGATTTGCAAACGACTTCGGAAAGGCCATAATTGAGGAGGGATCAGAGGGCGAGACGGCTAATGGATATTTCCATGGCTTTTTGTCCATGGTGGCTAAGCGCGAGGATGATGATTTAACATTGCGCTTGGAGAGACGTTAGTCTCACGATCGGCTGAGAGAAATAAACGAGCGGCGTGAGAGTCGAAGCTCTCTGATAGCACTGACGGTTGACGAAGATGTGGGAGAGACTCACCGAGTTAATGTTACTATTGGAAGGTAGATGATCGTGGGCTTTTTCCCTTCAAGTCTTGGAAAGAAAATGTGGTGGATGGAAGAGAGGAACCAAGATGGACGTGGGAATGGTAAGAGAATCTTAAATGGGCGAGGGAGTCAGGAAAAGCTACGAGCAAGGCAGGCGGATATCTATAGCCTTCGTGGGCCTCTGACCGTTGGGAGCCGTGCTAGCAAACAATAGAAACGCTTGTTTCCCTGTCTATTCCAGACAATTCAAATATTGTGTGTTTCTTTCTCGAATTGTAGGATTAAACGAAGCTGCATAATAGCCACATACTCAGCATGAAGGCACTCATGTGTATGTGTTATAAATTTGCCCAGTTGAGGGGACAGTTTCGATCAAATCTATCATAGATCTAGATCTGGAGGACTTCATGCTGAGAGAGTTCTATTTCTAATTGTCCAAGTAACAATGTCATTGTAAGATTCTCATCTCCATCATCTCCTTCTGAAGTAATATGAATCCGGATGTTATGAATCAGTTCGCTCAATTGATTCTTAGAACTAAGCATAGACCCAAGAGGGTCCTCCACTCGCTCTGAATCAATTCAAGAGTCGCTTTGCAGACCAAATAGTTATGGAGAAAAGATAAATCGTCATGAATGTTCCCAGGACATAAAAACCCATCCACCACAAATAACGCCTTTCGAATACCCAGGTCTGAACGCCATGTTCCGTACTGCCGCACAGACGGCACTGCTCAAAAGATGCAGAAGCAGCGGTGCCTAGACAGAATACACCCGAAAGTGATTGGAGAAGGGCCAGTTTGTATTCTGTAGACCGGGTAGGATCGATGGTGTTGTACCTAACTAAACCGCCCAATTGTACTTTGCATTGTACAATTCCACACCCTACGAAATTCTGTAAGCATCTTCTTCGGGCAAAGAGTAAAAAGGTATATGGGATATACATCGGGCAGGCGGAGCATCTCATCCTGCTCCTGGACCCTCTCTCTGAGGGTATGGTTATTGCCGTAGACAATAGCAAGCCGCTGACGCAGTGTGCTATTTTCCGCACGAAGGTTGAGGATCTCCTGTTCCAGCGAAAGAGGCTGTCGTTGATGCTCCTGGTGAGGAATGGTAGTATGCTCAACGATGTAGTGGGGCTTGATGTTGCGCTGGAGCTCTTGGTTCTCTCGCTCTAGGTTAGTGACGCGGGCATTCAGCTCCTCGATCTCGGCGGCCATTCGGCCAGCCGCACGCCGAACATAGGGTTCTCCAGTGACGCAGTCGGTCAGTTTGCATACCATGCCCACTTCTTGGCAATTGATGCAGCCAGTGGGGCTTGGGTCGCATTTGTACCCGCGTACCTAGGGAAAACAGAGTAAGTTGTTAGTGTATCCGTTATTGCGTTCCCAATACGAAGAGAAACACGCAAAGTATTGTATATATCAACATACCTTACACCGGTCACAAGCCTGTCCCGTCCGTTTACGTTTTTTATTGAGTTCCAGAACCATCTGGGAATACTCCAGCTCTGGTGGGTTGCGTCCGCGACGTTTTTTCTTTCCGCGTGGCGACTCCGCACCGTCCTCGATATCAGCGCTGTCTGGCGCTGGATTGGATTCGGTATTACTGTTTGCCACATTCGGATGACTGGTGATTTGTGTGGGTTCGTATTGATCCGGGCTGACAGTAGTGGTGGTAGTCGTAGGCAAGGCATTCTGGTGGGCCCCTGGCAATCCATCAGATTTGACGAACCCGGCAAAGAAGCCTAGTTCCACCTCTGCAGAGTCATCTTGAGGATAGCCCTCGAGTACGTTACCTTTAGACCAGGGTGCAGTTCCACCCCCGTCATCAGGGCAGGGGTTTCGGTTACTCATGGTTTGTAGATGCCAAAATTGAGCAGGAAAGAGGGTAGAGGGTAAGAGCTGCAGGAGAGTGGAAGAGGAAGCTTATAAACTGGAAGCAAACCACGCTTCCTGAAGGCAGCGCAGGCACTTCGTCCCATATACGAACAATTATTTCTTGTCTTATTTATCTACGTGTAAGGAACTGAATACCAGTGTAATCTAGACAGAGAGGAGGTTTCCGATACAAGGTACGAGATACGGAGTTGGTCCTAGAATAGACCGAGACAATGCCGAAATATTTAGGAACGCCTGGAAGACATCTGTTCCCAGGGTCTCCTACTGGACATGATGAAAAGGCTCAATCGATACCAGATGCTAACAAAGTAATCAATGAGACCCAGGCTGACCCATCAAGCCATACGAAGAGCCACCATGCGGAAACCAAGAGCACGCTAGATCGACAATGGAGAATGATAATGGGGATCAAAAATGCCCCCCGATAGACGCCAGTTCACACAATTCTCCAGCAATTTGGTCCAAAGGAAAAGACAACCCTGTTGATGATATGATGCCTCCGTACTGATGAGTAGCTCGTTGAGATCTGGGAATATGGTTGCCTCTTCGTGGGCCCAAAGTCGAAACGCAAGACCTCAAATACTAACCATAGGTATGGGGCTGCTCGGAATCGCGTCTATACAACAATGATCAGACAAAAGAAATTACATCGAAAGGTAATGGGAGTCTGACAGGGCCATAAATTGTAGACTCTCGTCAAGATCTGTCTGGGTTGAGGGGATGATGGTATACCTAGAGATCCCAGTTTCCCTTCTTATTGAACAGCGGGACATCCTGGTCACTTCTGTTAGTATACTCTTCCAAGCAAATGAAAATACAAGGAGCTTACCTCTGTGATGCGTAGCATCTCCTCCTGCTCCTCGATACGCTTCTGCAGCTTCTGTCTTTCTTCGCGTAGCATCCGATCACATTGGCGGATCCGCAAGTTCTCTTGCTGCAGGGCAACGATCTGCTGATGCTGCATGTGTGTATGCTGCTGCAAGCTTACAAAGGCAACTAACGAGTACCCAGAAGTCGCTGGAGAAGTCCTGTCTTGAAGTCCATATTGCGGCTTAGCCTCACGCCGAAGCTGTTCGTTTTCCCGCTCCAGACCGGCAACACGGGCCTTCAGCGCCTCAATTTCAGCGGCCATTCGACCGGCAGCACCTCGGACATATGTTTCTCCAGTTACACAGTCTGTCACTTTGCAGGATACTCCAGTCATGCAACAGTTGAGACAGCCGTTGGGGCTCGGGTCGCACTTGTAACGGCGAACCTATGCGAGAGCCATGTGGTTAGCGTATCCGCTGCGCATGATATACCAAGTAGAAAAAGAGGCTCGTAGCATTGAGGTTAATCAACATACCCGGCATCGATCACAGGCCTGGCCAGTTCGCTTGCGCTTCTTGTTCAACTCCAAGATCATCTGGGAGTAATCTGGCTCAGGCGAATTACGGCTACGGCGCCGTTTCTTGCCGCGCGCCGGTTGGCCACCATCGTCACCTTGAATACTCTCTGGGGCCGGGGTAGACTCAGAGTCATTGATGGCCAAGGTCGGGGCTTCAGTAACCGCCGCAGGCTGATTTCTTCCCTGGTCGACTGGAGGCGTGGTCGAGAATGGGTTGGACGAACGATCTTCAGGCGAGGCACCGGCAGCGTCAACCAGCGAATCTAGCGAATCTCCGTGGTTGAGGGTTGGGAATCCGTCGAATGCGACCAGATCCGCGAATATGTCGGGATCGTCTTCGAAGGGATTCTGTTCACCCATTGTGGTTATCGAGTATGGTATGACCGATCGATGGCTAAGTCAGAGAAGTATTAATGTCAGCTCAGAGGAATTTGATGAGAAATCCAGGAAGTTGACTTCTTAGATGGCTCTGATATTCGTTGAGCCGGTGGGTGAAGAGGGCCTCGTACTTACAAATGGATATGCTTTATGGGATCGTAGGAAGGTGAAAGGGGGATTTTCCCTGAAGAGAGAGGACTGTGTTGAAGGTGGAGAGCGAAAGGGTCAGAGTTCAGAAGGGAGGAAGAAGAAATTTATAAGTTGGACGCAAACAAGACTTGGTGAAGCTAAGGCCATCAATTGCCAGTAAATACAGACTGCAGGATATTGTTTCAAGGCCGGAACAAACATTTGCATATCGGTCAGGAGGACCCTTTCGAGCTCTTTTGTTGCTACTTCTTGTAGACTAGTAAGCTACCGTTGGGTAAGAGTGCAAGACAATGATATTATAGAGAGGCTGAACAGCTATAAGAGACTTATGATAGAGAGTTTTGGGCATAAAAAGATTCCTTTTGTTCTATACGTGATATTGAATGCCTCATCATGGTCTTGTTTACAAAGCCTTTCAACGATCTTTCAATCAATCTGTCATTGATTTGAAACACCTTGTGCAAAGAGTATAATGAAATGATTCAAAGGAGGAACACTTGGAGGGAGTTGATAAATTATACACACCAAGCCCTCACATCTAGCATGAATCAACCGCGGAATTTTCCTCATAGAGTCACTTCAAGTATTCGAAGACATGGACATTGAGTAGACTATCAAAATAGTTAAAGTACAGGGACACCGCAAACCTAACCAAGAACCAAAGAAACCAAACTTAACCATGGACGAGGGTGAAATATTATCTCGTAAGTAAATGGCATCAAAAGAAGACAAATCGCAGTCAAAGACCATCAAACATTACTCAATATCGAACTTTGCCACGCGAAAGGATGCTGTCAGTCTTGAAACTCCTGCCATGCTCGACCAGTCCGAGAAACCAGAGAAATCTGTGACCCAAATTTCAAATCCAAAAACGCGTCAAAAGCCCAATCTATACGGGGCAGAGACAAAAAAGAATGAAAGTATCACAAAAAAGCACTTGAACTCCCACAGTTATGAGAAGACGTTGTTAATAGCTCGATGGCGGTTAAAACAGAAGACTGAAGGATGATACGAGTAAGCCGTGGAACAAAGATATAACGCAATGAGAGAAAGTGCATAAAAGCCGTAGTATATCATATAACATGGCGGGCTAAATGGTAGTGTGGTAGGTGGGAACAAGCACAGTGGGAACAAGCACAGTATACATTGCCGTACGGTCGTCAAGTTGAGGCGGAGTGCTTGGGGGATGGACGCCCGTGGTAGGGATACAAATTAAGAGAGATGACGGTCAGCAACGGCAAGTGCTCTGGTCACCTGAAATTCCGTCCATTTGAAGCGACAGTCTCAAATTCGATGCGTGGTTGGTACCGCATGGGCCCATTATCCTCAAACCAAGGCATTAGGTTCTTACACTGGCTCACATCAAAGGATTGGAGTTGATGGCAGCCTTCTGCGACAGCCTCGACACCAACCCCTGTGACACGGACGCAGCCACGGACTGATAGGTGTTTGAGAGACAAAAGGTGAAGTCCGATGCTTCTTAGGGAGGGATCGGAGATGGCCGAGCCGCAGAATGACATGTTGAGGTATTGGAGTTGGGAGCATTGGAGAGCGAGAACTTCGGTTGCCGTATCGGAGAGGGCACAGCAGAAGGACTATGGAATATTAGTTAGTACATTGGAGGGTATGTGCTTGGAAATGATGGCGAGCTTACCAGGTCCAACTCTTGCAGCTGCTTAGCTGCGTTTGTAAGATGGACAATGGCATTGTCCGTCAGGTATGTGCAATCCGCCAAACAAAGTCTGCGCAGGTTGGTAAAGCGTGCATTGCCCCAATACTGGAAACCTTGATCTGTGATGGTAGTGCAGCGTGTCAAGTCCATTTCCTCAATACGGCTGGCGGCGTGAGAGGCGATGTGGTGCATTGACCGATCCGTGACGTGCTTGCAGTAGGAAAGGGTAAGCTTTTTCAGCTTGGGACAGCCATATACTATGCCGTCGGCTGTTTGAAGAGTTGGCTTGATGGAGGCTGATTTGCCTTCGCTAGGCTTTTGAGTCCCGGGAATGACCCATCCAACTATCCGCGCCATCAGTGTGTCTCCCACTTTTCGGCAATTGCTCAGCTCTACTTCTTCGAGACCAACAGCTTTGCTAGACATCTCGAGGATTGCAGATGCCGTCACATCCCAGACACTTTTCATTCTCCACGTGGTCGAGGTGGGCGCGCAAGTATTGACCAACGCATTGAAACCCTCGTCCGTGATATGGAAACAGTTGTTGATGTTAACAGACCGAGGCCGATTACCAACAAATGGGCAGATTATCTTGACAAGCACGTCGTCCGTCACGCAGCGATTATATAGGCTAAGGTCCAAGTCGCGAACGATCTCGCTTGACGTGTTCAAGATCTCAGACCAGTGAGAGGAAACTCCGCGAAGCTGAAGGAGTTCGTGAAGCTCCATAAACTGGAAGATGTTCAACAGCACACTGTCAGGGAAGATGCTGTGTTGAGCGTCACCGGGTGGACGCGCCTTTTGGTGCGGTTTTGAGAGACCTATGGTCTCAGGCAGAGCGAGGTCGGATGACGAGCCAACAGAACGAGATTCGGTGGGGTATGGACGTTGCTGCTCGCCCGTGATTTCTTCCGGGGTCAATGGCGCCAACGAGCCGCGTCGGCTTCGAAGCCGAACCTTGTCCAGTCCAAGGCTGAGATAAGGGTCCGGGTCGGAAGGTCTCAATACAGCTTCATCCTGATCTTCGACAGGTGACGATTGATGTGGCCCGTCTAGCTCGGTCTCGGTCAAAGTCAACAGGGGCATTGAGCGCCTCCGAGCAGCGGTTATCTTGACACGCTCATCGAGATCGAGATCACCCAAGGGAGACTGCTCATCCGTTGCATCCGTCATAATCACATCGCCATCTGCAGCAGCTTGAAGTCTCTCTTGAGCAGTGTGCTCAACTTGCTCGCGAATATCATGGGGACACATTTCCCAAAACTTCGACAGGACCTCCCCGCTCAGCATGAGGCACTCCACCGACGTAACGGATCGAACGGTAGCTGTCCGACGTGGTGCGAGTGACAGGCTGACCACTTCTCCGAAATATTGACCTTGCCTCAGCCGAGCTTTGATTTCCACCTCTGGACGATCAACGCCATTCACTTGGCCATGATGCGTATGACTTTGTCTGTGTCTTTCCGTGACAACTTCAACTTCACCACGGACAATGAAATACAGCTCTCGGCCTTGAGAATCTTGTTTGATGATATCGGTGAATGGAGGGAATGAGCTTGGCTGGGCATTGAGTCCCAAAAAGTGGAGAATATCGGCCGGCAACCCGTTGAACAGAGGAAGCTCTTTGAGCAAGAGACGGACATTGACCAAGCCATTGGCCAGCGCACTGGAAGGATCCCGCCGCCCTGGGCTCGGCGATTTTCGCTTTTTATGAATCGAGCTGGCATTGAAGTCTTCCTCGGCCACAACCAAGTCTTTAGAGAAGCTTTCTCTCAAGCGTTTGGAACCCCTCCGTACTGGGCTAGGGCTGGGCTCATCCACGACAGGCGCCGAGGTTTCTTTCTTTTTCTTCTCCAAAATCATTAAGCGTTCTTGCGCTTCTTCTCTGATTGCCCGCTCCACTTCTGGGAAGCGTGGCAAAATATTTCGAAAATCTTCTTTTGTGAGCACGACCAGCATGCACCGGGTACGAGCGATGATCGTCGCCGTGCGTGGCCGATCCATCAGTACGCCGATTTCTCCGAAGAACGCTCCCGGGTTGAGCTCGGCATAGATACTCTCGCCATCGCGTGATGTGACTGAGACGGTGCCCCGCACCAACCAATATATCGCCCTTGCATCGTCGCCTTCGGTCAGGATATAGTCGTTGGGGGCATGGAGCTGGGGTCGCAGGTGCTGGCCGACCTCGATCAAGAAGGATTCGGGTGTGGCCTGGAACAACGGAAACGAGCGCAGACGATCGACGAGCTCGAGCGGTAAGGCTTTTATATGGGAGGAGGCCAAGGGCGAAGGTCGTGCCGGTCGGTTGGGGTTGAGGACCGAATCGAAGGAATGGATGAGCGAGACGGTATCGGACAAGGGCGAGACGGCCTTGGTCGGGCCTCCGCTGGCCCTACCATGGCGACGCATGATCTCAAACAGGAGGTAGCACGATCAGATAGAAAGGTTTGTCGGCGAGGGACCAGGTATATAGGGCGTGGGAGCATCAATAGAACGATGACGTCGACGAAAGCAGCACCAGAGTCGAGCTTCCCGTCGGCATTCTTCCACACCCAATGGGTAGATTCGCGACGCTAGCAGAGCGACATCTGCGGGGGGACAAAGATGGGGGAGGGATCTGGAGGGGTCAAAGGATGTGAAGGATGTCAAAGCTCACGGGGAGAGAGGTCCTTCAGGCGTGAAGGTGGGGTGTGGAGGGAGTCGACTCAGCGACGTCAAATGCGGTTGAGCTCCACCGATCTTCTGGCAACCTTCGGAAACTCTGTGGGAGAGCTCCACTCTCTGCTATTTCTCCAAAGCTTCAACTTTTTCATCCAAGCATTCTGGTGCCAGCCTAACCAGGACCATCCCTTCGTCTACAGTAGGATATTCGCATCGCTGGTGGGGGCGGCACAAAGCGGTCAATCATAAATTCGGATCGTCGCATTTTTTTTTCTTTCCTTTTTGTGGCTGCAGAAGCCATTCGATTGGTCCAAGAGTCGATTCTCAAAGAATAATTATTTAGGAGCGAAAGGGCTACGATAGGGATGAAATATGTACCTGGTCACGAGCAACAGAAGAGCGTCGGATAGATGGACTCTCGCTCCTTGGCAGAGTTCAAGAGCTCGGTGATTTCGTTGGCATCCACCGCAGATCCCAATGCGGGTTTCTCGGCGTGCAGGACGGCGGACTATGGGCAACTTGCTCAATTAGCTATCTTTTGACTGGCAGAAGTTTGATTTCGGGCATGATCCTACAATATACCAATTTTTATGAGCTTTGTGGTAAGAATCAATCATTTCAATGAGATTCAAACGTATTGACCAAATCTCATAGCCAATCTCACGGCTAATCCGCTAGCCTTCTCGTGATTGAGAATTAGATTGAATGAATTTGATAGAGAATGGAGACTAGAATCATCCTCCTTCTAGTCCTCCTTCTTATTTGCCTCCCCGTCCCCCTCCCTCATGGAGGAGATCATGGTAGATAGGGATATACGATGAAATCCAGACTTTTCTACGGTTAATTGCACTTTCAAATTCTCATCCCCAAGGCGTAGGGTAGAAAACGCCTTGAACGTACTTATAATCCCCCGTACGTGCAGTGGCCATGTCAACCTACGGAGTCTCCCCACAGTTCCCTACAGACGATAGCCATTATTGATTCAACAGTCGCGATATCCTGTCCATTACCCTTGTAGCAGATGTACCTGATATTCCTATTCTCTCGTATAGCATCGTCACTTTAGGCCTGCGTGCTGCATTACTGGGCGCATATCATCACGTGCCCGCAGATGTCACAACAACCCGCAAGAGTTACGCTGAGAATCCAAGGTCAGTTGTACAATGGTCAGATGGAATGGAGTAGTTGTGAAACGAGAGAGAATAGAAATTTTCCATATTGTAATAGTACAATGGGGTATCAAAATGTAGATGAAAAAATGGTACAGTGCGAGTTGTCCAGACTAGCTCCCACATCTTATTTCCTCGAATGAGAGTCAGCATCAGAGAAAGCAAGAGCTTTATCGATTACTTTCAAGACTCGACCAGTGTCCAATCTGTTTGTCCGTGCCATTCGGTGGCACCGATTGACCAGTGGATCTCATAACAGACATGGTTGGAGGTGTCTTCTCCCAGTTCGGCAGTCTGGGCCGTCGGAGAGGCACCGAAAGTGGACGGGTGTACACCGCCCATGCGATAGATGCCTGCTTAATATGAGCAAGAGTGCATCGCAGTCTAAGTAGCTCGGCTCCGAGGAATGGTGGGGACACCTCCAAAGCTAGCGGACTCTTGCGACCTTGTTCTCAGGAGCTCTCCGTCACGATAAACGATAAACCCGGCTGGTCCAAATCCCAATATAGGGAGCAATTGGAGTACAGGCATGAATGTACTTGTATCAAACCGACCCCTCGATATTTTTGGACCGACGGTTCCCCGTGATGAAATCGATATAGGCAGGGCGATTGCCCTTCATGGTTTCCAGGGTGTCTTGCAATAGCCCGTAGACTAAGCTCATCTTCAACCCGAGCCTGGCGGTTCGCGCAGCAGTATAGACATCGTGACGTGCTGTATAGAAGAGTGTCAAATTAGTATTGAGGTTGGTAATTGTGCAAGAGTTGGGTCTTTAAGCAGGCCTTACCCAGTAGACTGTAGATACCCGAGCAAGACAATCCAGCTGTGACGGTGGACAAAAAGTCCCGCTCATCATGACGAGCATAGTCAACCGTCTCTTCAAACAGACAGAATGCCAATGCTCCTGCTCCCAGCTTCGAACCCATCTTAAACCCATCCTTCACGCCGCCAACCACGGAGATGTAGTTCTTGGTCTTGTGGTACTGGAACCATCCGGACGAGGTCGTTGGGAACCGATGAGCGTTCTCAGCTCGGAACACAAGGCCAGCTTTCTTGCTTCCATGATAGTATCCCAGTGTCATTCCGGTCGTGAAAGCGGACATCAGAGCGTAGGGTATGCGTCGGTCGACATCGATGCCAAGCCGCGGAGGAGTATCGGATTCGAAGAGCTTGTGCCAGTGGAGAAGCTTTAGTAAGAGCGAAGATTCCCTGGCGGAGTCGGACTTTGATTGCTGATTATCCATCCTGGAGGGATACGTGCTAGAGAGGAAGCACTTGGAGCGTAGAGCGGACGGTTCTAATATGTGGTGAACACTGCGTCAGAAAATCGGAGCGCGGCCAAGTCCCGCCCCGACTCTCCGCCTTGGGTCACGTCAATCAGAGCGACCTTCAACCAGACAAGCAACCGCACCGAGTCACATCTGCAACATTGCAAAATGGTATGTGAAAAGTTTAGTTCGCTTGAATACCGACATTTCTTCTTAACTCTTGACGTGCAGCCTCCAAAACAAGCAAAGCCCGACTCGCGGGCGACGACCCTTCTCTTCAAGAAACATAAAAGCACCATCCTCCTCTCCCTCCAACCACACGAACCCCTTACAGCCGTCAAAGAGAAGCTACTCGAAGCCTTAAAGTCGCGCAATATGATTGAAATAAATGGAGAGCCTATTCCCTCGGACTCGGCGCTCATCGATTTTGGCGTGCCCGTGGATCGAAGTGATCTCGAGAAAGGGTGGAAACTCCTACAGACTGACGGAGGAGATACATCGAAGAGCACTGCTGGAAAGAGAGCTTCCTCGGGTACTGTGCTAGCTGCAGGTCTCGACAATGGCCATTTGGTTGCATTCAGCTTCCGCAAACCAGGCGACGTGCCGGCAAACGACGAGGATGATGCAGACATCGACTCGAACGATCCTGGCTGGGACGTGGTGATTCCGACCTTCGATGATGAGGAGGAATAACCTGCTTGAGTATCGAACTTTACGAATGATGGATTGCATACTACTTAAAATGCTGGGGATCGAGAGGGTGGCTTTCGGCGCATGTGGATAAGGGTGGCTTCTTGCTTCAAATCTTTCTCACGGTACGGAGTTTACTTGGGGGTTTCGGATACAGCGCGAACAATGAAAGCAAGGGAATATCCACCTCTAAACTGTACACTGCACAATAGAAATATATCACAATGATGAGACTGTGGATAGGGCGAGGTTACGGCGCTAAGGATGGCGCTAACATTGACAAAAAGACGGAGGAGATCGTGAGAGCCGCCTATATTCGAGTGTGTAGAGCATTTACTGGAATTTTGTGCTTAGCGCTGTTCTCGCGTGCATATAGGTGGGGAGTGTCGCCAACAGCACAAGGAGATACGAAATAGATCTAGCAAGTATAAGCTAACGACTCCTTATTCTAGGTATTGACCATATATACGCCCTGAGCATGTTCTCGATATAGGGCCGGTTTGTCCAATCCGTGCAATCGAACTTGATATGGGGTGGTTTCTCTCCTTTTTCCAATTTGACGCCTCGAAACCGATTGCAACAAGCGCACTCAAAGGTGCAATGCCCCCACCCCTTCAGTCTGTGCTGAACTGGTGGTTTTTTACAACATCGCCAACTTCGGCCACAGCACCCACCTCGCCTAACGCAATCATTTCGAAGCCAGTCGCTTATTAAGTTCCAACCATGCTGGCTGTGTAACCAGTTATAGCCCTTTTTGAGAGAGTCTATAGGACAGTCGTGTTCAAGGATGTATAGATCGCTTTCAAGATACCAGTACCTTGCTCTTAGGCGATTCAACTCGTCGTGTAGATCTTGAATCTCTCCTTTGTCCTCTGGTTCAAGATGCCCTATAAGCTGCTCGACTTGTTCGCTGATGCGTTGTTCGCGCTGAGCGGTCTCGGCAAGCTGGATATGGACGTCGATGACTGATTGTATCCATTTCAGAAGTTTGGACCCATCACCAGGTACTGTTGATTCCAAATAGCGAGCTTTGTGGCGTCCCTGAGCTTATTTCCATTTTTCCAGGGCTGTAAGCTCTTCAGCCTCCATGCCTTTATGGGTTATTGCTGATTTTTCCGAGTTCGTCATTTTGTCTCTTCGGAATCGAGCGAGCATTTTTGTAGGAGTTGCCTAATTATTGCTGTAGATAGATTCCCCTGAATACTTCAGAAACAGAACACTTATAATATAGCCGCATTCAGCCTCGGACGATAGGATGTTGTAGTCATGCATGGACAAATTAGGCTTCGCTTTAGCCATACATAGTATAGAAGAGGCGTCATAGCCGGATCATCATAGCGATATGTCAAACGTGGATTACAGCCTGCGTTGCATTGATGAGACACGGCAGTGCGTGGTAGCAGATAAAGCGCCGTGGCAGACAGCTGAAACACACCTGATGGCGGCAGATTGGTAGTAGCAGTGAGGTGGCTTATTGGCTGCCACGGCATCTGCATGCCAATCGCCACTCTGTAACGGTTGCTCGGAGCAACCAGGAGGGGACAACACGCACCCCCATCAACAAATGAAATCGCACCCAGGAGACTCTCGGAGAATACTGCATCCCGTACCCCATACGCCTTTAGCTCCACACACATTCTTCATCTTTCATCATTACTACTTTCGCCCAATTCGACGCACGCAAACACCATCTGCCCTTGCCGACCGCAGGGTGTCGCCAACTGCCTCGACTACGGCCCCGCAACCTCGCGACTTGGCGAGAATAAACACGCCCTGATTCCATCATGGCCTCCTCCGATGGCGCCTCTTCGATCACTGTTGCGGTCCGTGTGAGGCCCTTTACTATCCGTGAGGCGGCCCAACTCTCTAGAACCGACGATGGTCCTCTGTTCCTTGGTGATGGGTCGCTGGCTGGCGTCCCGACTCCCAAGCTGAACCAGAAAGGACTTCGCTCCATTGTCAAGGTGATTGATGACCGATGCTTGTGAGTACAAACACGCTACATTAAGTTATCCATGGGGTTAGAATATACTAACCAGCTCTAGGGTGTTCGATCCCCCCGAAGACAACCCCGTCCAGAAGTTCTCCAGGAGCGTCGTCCCCAATGGCAAACGCGTCAAGGACCAAACCTTTGCCTTCGATCGTATCTTTGACCAGAATGCCTCCCAGGGAGAGGTCTACGAATCCACCACTCGCGGTCTTCTCGACAATGTCCTCGACGGCTACAACGCAACGGTCTTCGCCTACGGCGCTACGGGCTGCGGAAAGACACACACCATCACCGGAACAGCGCAACAACCGGGAATCATTTTCCTGACAATGCAGGAGCTCTTCGAGAGGATCGATGAGAGATCAGGCGAGAAATCCACGGAGATATCGCTCTCCTATTTGGAAATCTATAACGAAACCATTCGCGACTTGCTCGTCTCAGGCAACCCCAAGGGTGGTCTCATGCTTCGAGAAGATGTCAACCAGTCTGTTTCAGTGGCAGGCCTGTCAAGCCATCACCCCCAAAATGTGGAGCAGGTAATGGATATGATCGTTCGAGGTAACGAATCCCGCACCATGTCACCCACCGAGGCCAATGCCACATCATCCCGATCGCACGCCGTTCTCCAAATCAACATCGCTCAGAAGGATCGAAATGCGGGACAAAACGAGCCTCACACCATGGCAACCCTCAGCATTATTGACTTGGCTGGAAGTGAACGAGCCAGTGCTACGAAAAACCGTGGCGACCGACTGTTCGAGGGTGCTAATATCAACAAGTCTTTGCTAGCACTCGGAAGCTGCATCAACGCGCTCTGTGACCCCCGAAAGCGCAACCACATCCCTTACCGAAACTCGAAGCTGACTCGACTCTTGAAGTTTGCTCTTGGCGGAAACTGCAAGACTGTCATGATTGTCTGCGTCAGTCCCTCGAGCCAACACTTTGACGAGACGCAAAATACTCTACGCTATGCCAACCGCGCCAAGAACATCCAGACCAAGGTGACTCGAAACGTCTTCAATGTCAACCGTCACGTCAAGGATTTCTTGGTCAAGATCGATGAGCAGATGAACTTGATCAACGAGCTCAAGACACAGGCGAAGGATTCTGAAAACCTTGCCTTTGCCAAGTTCAAGAAGCAGACTGAAAAGAAGGACCTTGTTGTCCGCGAGGGCGTTGCACGAATTCGCAGTGCCTACGAACATAGCCTTCCCGAACGACAGGAGAAGGCCAACAACATGCTTAAGCTGAGACAGATTAGTCGCCGCATCGGTATCCTGTCATCATGGATTGCGGCTTTTGACAGTGTCTGCGAGTCGCACGAGAATCAGGAAGGCTTATCTAGCCTTCATGCCGTTCGCAAAACTGCCCAAGGCATTCTACTCGAGCTCGAGGGGAGTCGACACCATTACAACCAACGATTGTCGAAGAACACATGGGATCGAGCCATGGTTTCCGCAGTTGAGAACGCGACAAATCAGCTGCAGGAATTTGACATCAGTGATGCCAGTGACTACGCAAATCTGGACAGAGAAGCTGAGCTTCTGCGCTCCAATGCTGAGCGCGAGGCTTTGTCTGCAGTGGTCGATCAGGACAAGGCCGGCGAGGCCGCCGCAGTACAATTGCTGCTCCAAGCTCACTTTGAGATGATGACCTCCATTGAGGATATCATGCAACTCAATGCTACCGAGGCTATCCAGAAGGGGCGTCTCATTCTCATGAAGATGCTGGAGGGCTGCACCGATGCAGTCACCAGCCTTATCAAGGCCGACGGTAATCTGCCTGCCGTCCCCAGTTTCAACCTGCAAAGCCCTGCCAAGTCTGCCAGTCCTCCAAAGCCGAGAAAGAGATTCAGCTTGGTGGGAGTGCCGGCTCCCAGATTTTCACTCACTCCTTCAGTTCAGCTCGCCCCGGTGGCGGCTGCTTCTCCGATGAAGAGTTCTCCACGTCGTCGCAAGGTTGCTGCTGGCCGTAAGACTGTCAGCTTTACACCCAAGAAGACGCAAGCTAAGGCTTCTAAACGATCTGTCCGCTGGAAGGATGACGAAGAGGATGGTCCCCTCACTGAGTTCCAGAAGACTCCCCAGAAAGCTGCTGCTGAGTCCTCAGACGATACTGGCTCCGAGGCAGAACCCACCGAGCCTACTCTCCCGAGAGGTGTATCTCCTATTCCACGCAACATTCCTCGGAAAGTCAGCCCAGCTTACTCAATTTCCCCTGCTCCGGGTCCGGCTGAGCCGACCCTGAACGTTCAGAAGAACGGTAATCGATTCAAGGCCGGATTCTTGTCCAAGAAGTCTGGCGGCTCTCCCCTAAGCCCACCTCCGTCCACCAGTCTGCCAATTTCTGACAATGAGAAATCTCCCCTTCGCGACATTGAGGGAAGTAGTTTCTTGAATCGTGCTTCGTCAGAAAAGCCATCCCGAATTGCTGTCCGTTCTCCAAGTGGGAACCTGTCGAGCAGCCCGGTGTCTGACAGCAAGGACAACTGGAAGACTGACAAGGATGAGGCTATGAAAATTAACTCCGCCATGCGTCGAATTTCCAGCAGCCACGTTGGCGCAGTCTCCGGTAGCAACTCATTGCGAGTTCACCGTCGTCGCAGCCCAACCTCTGCTACATACAGCAGCTCCCCAAGTGAGGGCACCATGTTCACTGCATCTCAGGCCCGTCGTATGGTCAAGAGTGAGCGCGAAGGTGAGGCCAAGCCCAGTGTCCTCAGTCCCCACACCTTGCCTGTGATGAAGCATACTGGGCGACGGATCACTCTGGGAGGTGACATCCGCCCTCGGCATGCTAGCCTGTCTAGCAGGGATGCACTGCGCCTCAGCGCGATCGCAGCACCCACTGTCAACCACACTCAGGATTTCACATCGAGTGGACTCCGGTAGACGACGAACATCTGTTTTAAATTATTACTGTTATGCTTTGTATGGGCTATTGGAACTCGGCATCCGGCGTTGGCGTACTAGATACCACCCTTCTTTTTTCTTTTTCTACTTTGTGATGCTCCTCTCCAGGGATCTCACGGTGTTTTTCGGTTCCTTGGTCACTTCTCTCCTGTCATTATCTACAATATTCGGTCCCGGTGCTTACTACTCGCTTGTCGGTGTTTCTTTTGTGTATCTCTTTTTCGCTCGACATATTCTTCTTTTTTGTGTACATTAATGACATTGATCTGGTTCATTCCAACATAGTGTTGTCCTTAATCCTCGTTTACCCCTTTAAGCTGGTTTCGACAGGGCTATTCAGTTAGGGGATGGATAAAATGCCCCCCCTTCTGGATAAATGGCTCCCTCCTGCCTGATCTCTGAAAATTCAGGCATAAATCAGGCAGACAGTGATTTTATCAATCCCCTTTAGTTAGGGCTTAGCTTGAAGAATGTGGGGAGCTGCGATTTGTCAGAAACCCGAGATGACTGCGATGACGCCACTCGAGTTTGACAGCTTCCAGATGGTACTCACTACTACTCTTCTCGTAGTTTCTTCTATATTTAGCTTGAAAGCTCGTCAGATTCATTTGTGATCACAATCAAGTCCCAGGTCTAGAGGTCCTCAATCTGCTCGTGCAAAGAATCGATCACGTCAGCTTATCCCATCCATTCCCCACTTCGCATCCACGATATCTCCACTCGAATCCAGAAATAATTCTGGCAGATGTCCTTCGCCGCGCGGGTTGCCTCAACCTTCTTGTCACGTCTCTTCCGCCCTTTCTCGACCAGCTCGCCCATCCTCTCCGTGACCCCGGAGTCGCAAGCGCGCAAGATGTCCACCACCACTGAGAAGGCCACCCTCGCTGCCGGTTGCTTCTGGGGCGTCGAGCACCTGTTCCGGAAGCACTTTGGCAGCGGCAAGGGCCTTTTGGACGCTAAGGTCGGTTACTGCGGTGGCCAGACTTCGTCGCCTTCCTACCGCGCCGTATGCGGTGGTGATACTGGTCGTAAGTTCTACTCCGAAGCTCGCCGACTATCGACGAGGTATGCGCCGCACACGAAGACCTTGCTCACATTTCTTTCCTGTTTCTGTAGACGCCGAAGCTCTCCAAATCTCCTTCGATCCCTCCGTTGTGAGCTACCGCCAGCTTGTCGAGTTCTTCTACCGTATGCACGACGCGACGACAATGAACCGCCAAGGCCCTGATGTCGGCACCCAGTACCGCAGCGCGATTTTCACGCATGGCGAGGAGCAGCAGAAGGTCGCCGAGGAAGTTACAGATAAGGTTAGCAAGGAGTGGTACAAGAAGCCTGTGTCTACTCAGATCGTGCCTGCTGGGCAGTGGTGGGATGCCGAGGAATACCACCAGCTGTACCTGAACAAGAATCCCGCTGGATACGAGTGCCCTGCTCAGTATGTGAACCCTAACCGTCACTGATGATTCCTTTTTCCTGCTATCGGATCAGATTACTGACTAATTGTTCACTTAGCTTCGTGCGCAACTTCCCTCCTCTCTCGGAGTGACTCGGATCCAAGATCTAAGGGCAGAGGGTTGGTCTCTTCGAGAATAGAACACCATGATATAAAGAGCATGGCATGCGACACGACAAATTTGGGCTCGGAGTTGAAAGAAGGGCCCACTCTTTTTTGTTATCCATAATTATGTTCTTGATTCAAATTGTTGTTGCAAATCGAGTCTTATTTGACCCACGTCTGTTGCCTGGAATCTTGTAGTTTCATGATATTTGAACAAGTATGGCGACTTGGTTTTAGAGTATATGCTGATGGCAAAATTACAGTCTCGACAGTCGACATTGTTGTCGCCTAAAGGGAGCTAGTCATTATGGCATCCAGAGTTCCAGATCACTCCTTCTTCAATCTGGAGAAACTGACAAACTCCTCAGCATCCAAGTAGCCTTCCTTCAGCATGACAGCCTCGGAGATGATCGTTTTGCTCCCTATGTCGGCGTGTGCAAAGCATGGCAGGACATGATGGAGTGCAGAACGTTTTCAACACTACGTCTTACGCCTCCTCAACTCCCCGAATTTTGCCGCACATTTGGCATTCAGAGAGCCTTCTCTTAAGTTAGTCCGAGCAACGGCGGCACAAGTTCTCGCGTCCTGTATTTACGGTCGTTCTGCCAATATACGATATCGCTGCCCGAGCCCGTCGCGAAAGTGAAGCAGAGCGCAAGCGAGATAACGAGTTATTCACGAACGCCGTAGAATCCATCTTTAAAGCTCTCAGTGTACGGCGCGAAGGTAGCCAGAACCAAATCCCTCCCTTCCTGTGCTTTGAATCCCCGAGTGATTGCAGAGATGACCCAGACGCAACGGCAAGACAGGTAGAAGCAGATCGCCATATCGGTCGAAGCTTATCATATTCAAATCAACCTACGCCAGTGTAACCCCCCTGGTGACTGGCTCCTTGAAAGAGACCCGCGATGAAGGGAGCAAGGCCGCGATGACAATTCAGTCATTAGCAAAAGGGCACGAGAGGCATTCCTGCCTCAGGTGTCTAGTTAAGTGACGGAAAGGGGGAAAAACGATGGTATTTGGACTAGTGGATACTGTTGGCTAAATATACTGACGGACCGGAACAGCTTTGCTCCGACATTAAGAGAGGCGCAGGTAAGATCGATTTAACTTAGTTAGTTATATATGCTGACTAAGCGTTTGCCGAGCAGGCTGGCCCAGCCATCCATATACGGGTTCCAGCTCACACGTACCCAAAAAAAGTTCACACGGACCCAAAAAATTTCTGACTAATTTTGGGTACCCATGAGGTACCCGACCTCACACGTACCCAAACTATTTTGGGTCCTGATGAGCTCTTATACTTACTTTTATGCATATGATTAATAATTATGTAGGGGTTCAACTTTAGTTGAACCCCTACCTCACTAAAATATACTATCACTCTATACATCTCTTTACAACTCTATATAGAAGATTATACTATACTCTTAAAGACTCTATCTATTTTTTATTCATAATAATATAAAAGAGGTAGTCTTTCTTCTAGTAAATTACACGTGTTGAAAGAAAAATATAGTTTGTTTGGGGTCATGAATCAAAAGTGTCAACAAAGAAATGAGAGATATATCTTCAACACAAACACAACACCATTTTCTTCTTCTTCTTCCCTCACCACCCACTTTGTTTACCAAAGGTCAGAACACCTGTTTACTCTACTCCCTGACGCGTTTCTCCATATGTTTTGCATATGCTGAACACTTCCAGCTCATCAACATGTCGAATCTTGGACTCTTCCCTGGCCTGGGTCCAACCCGGGCTGAATTTGACAACACCACAGTCTTAAACGCGACCAACCCCGACCCTCTCCTGGGATATGCACATGGTATGTTTCCCAGATGCATATGCTGTTGATATGTTGACCATATGTAGGGCCCATTCCAGACAACAATCGTGGCTGGAAGCCAGCTGCGTATACGGCAGCTCTAGCTGCAGGCGCACGCCACTACGACATCAAGGCAGCTGATATCGCGGCGACCCCGCCTCCAAATCCGGCCGAGGTTCTCAACAAAGAGAACATAGGAGTGTACGTGGTGTCTGAATATACTGAGGGCATGGTTATCGTATGCTGACACTGAGAGGAACAGCTGTGATATTGTCGTCAACCCTCCGTCCCAAATGTGCGGTCTAGTCTTCTCAGAGGGACCTGCTCTGCGTCGACACATCCGCAATGAACATTCCGGAGCTGGCAAGTGTCTATTCGTTGGATATGTTGAACATATGCTAACAATATGACTACGATATAGTCGTCAACCCCAGCCGGCGAGCAAAGACCCAGCTGGAGATTATTGCGGGCCAAAACGCCATCAAGCGTTGGGTCCTGCAGGGTGGCTGGCGGGATGCTAGCTACCTCCATGAGCCTGGACGCGGCCCTGACAATGGATGGATTGGACACTGGGCCTCCGCTCTGGAGCGAATTGCGTAAGTACTCTGGGTACTCTACGTTTTGCACAAGATTGATATACTTGTTACATATGACTCTCATATGTTTAGCGTATGCTAACAATCCGTATAGAGCTACCGATGCACAGTTTGCCGCACAATACGGCACTCGTTTCCACCGCTGGCAGGCCCCAGCAACCCCGAGTTCTGGTCATCGCAGCCGCCGGGTAAGTCCCCTTTTTTTAAGAAATGATATGTTAAGCATATGCTAATAGTATGTAGCGTGGACCTGGCGTCCCTGGGAATCCTATTCCCTTCGCGGGTTTTGGCCCCACTGCCGGTAATGGAGACAATAGTGATGGAGGAGGTGGCCCACCTGCTCCCCATATGCAAGACTCGGAGGAGGAGGAGGAGGTAGAGGAGGAGGAGGTAGAGGAGGAGGAGGTAGAGGAGGAGGAGGTAGAGGAGGAGGAGGTAGAGGAGGAGGAGGAGGAGGAGGAGGAGGAGGAGGAGGAGGAGGAGGAGGAGGAGGAGGAGGAGGTAGAGGTAGAGGTAGAGGTAGAGGACTCATCCTCTGATGCTTTTGAGTCCCTTTAGTTAGGCGTAGGTCTCTTTGTATGAATTTTCTGTTATTTGTCTATACGGAACATATGTTAAACTTATGCTCAAAGTAAATTCAAGATATTCTTAACTTATACCAAAGATTCGCCTGACTCTATACTCCGTAATAATTCCTCCTTCTTCCTTCGAAGGGCTAAGATCCTTTGCTTTCTCTCAAGTTCCGCAACTTCTTGCTGTAGCCGTGCCTCTTCATCATCGAATCCCTGAGTATAGCCTAACTGCTGAGAAATACTATCATGCGGCGCTATTCTAGACGATCCGTCAAGAACTGAACTACCCTGAGGGGTAGATAGCGGTGCAGATATAGATTGACCATATACTGAGCTTATGTCAGTTATCTCTGAAGTAGATATCGAAACTATGTCCGAAATATCTGGAAGCCCAGGTGGTTGCATCGTCGGGTTAAGGTCATCGTAAGGATTGATCACGTTCCAGGGCTGGTATGGTTTATTGATACGACGGTTGGCAGATTTTTTGTAGCGCTTGTCTGATATAAGGTTAGTATATGTGTAACATATGTTGAACATATGGAACAAACCCTTCTTGCGAACTTGTTTGGCAATACGATACACAGGGTTTTGAGATCGCCAAGTTGGGAAGAGACCTAGCTCTTCTGCAAGTTTATTCTTTTGGATCATCTCTTGTACATGTTTTTTGCATCTGTAATAAAGAGATTAGTAATATGCTCTATACATGATAAATCGGGTAATATACCGGAGAATTGCTGTTAACAAAGCTTGCTTTCGGCCTACTGCCTCGTTATCGTGAAAGTGACTACTTTCACTAATTCCAGTATGATGTGATGCATTCGTCCACCATTCAATAGGAATCTTAGATGCCTCTGGGGTTATTCCAGCAAGAATCCAATCAACCTTCTTATTCTGAAACCATTTTTCGGTCTCTGGCCACTTTTCTGCAACTTCATCCATAATTCGAATAACCTCTGCCTTTGAATTTGCATTCCAGATCATATCAATAGACGTAGTAGCTTCGTGACCAGGAAACCTTTTCCGAAAGGCTCGCTTAACGTGCGTTTGGCATAGGATCAATATATTTTGCAGATGTTCTGACCATGTCCAACGAGGATCTAGGCCAGCAAGATAATCTCCAAGCCCTAAATGAAAATAGAAAGTGAGTATAATTCAGGCATATGTTAAGCATATGGGAAGCGTACCAGGTGCTTGCTTCTTACACATGTCAACAGTAACCGTCCGAATTCCCTCACAAGAATCATCCCTTCCAAGCTGATACGCCCATCTAATTGGTTTTCGTCCAACATCCCCAAGAATCTTGAAGATTTTCTCAAAAAGAACCCGATAAGCTACTCGAGTTTCGAGATTCATGAAAGCATAGACATAGGTATTTAACCCTGAGAGTCAGCATATGGTTAGCATATGTTTAGCATATATAGAACACCAGAAAATCTTACTCTTTACCTGTTCATTCCACCCTGAAATTGTGAAAAGCTTGGTTGCTCCCTGAACCATCTTGAAAGCAAGATCCATTTCCAGATGTCGTACACTCTGAAAAAGCTTAGCTTGTTCGTATGTGCAGCATATGATCAGATAATGCTCCCGATTCTCGTCAAAGAAATAGACTTCACGAATCCATTGATCATCCACGTGTTTAGTTAGATCAAACTGGTATTCACGCCATACCCCAGCAAGATTCGTCCCTTCTGGATAATATAGTAGTCTCTGCTTATGAATCAAAGCAGTTACTCTATCCTCAATGTGTAAGCTCTTGTGGATATATCGAAGCGCAGAATCACCATGTTGACGTATAATCTTCGCAAAAGTAGGTGAGACCATCAATTTACGTGCAGTTAATCCTAGGATATCCTGCGTGTTGATTGCGTCAATGATTTCTTGACCAATATCATGTGGTAGCTTTGTAGGCGGTGGCGGCGCATGTGAATGAGATCCTCGACAAACGAGAAGGAAAAAAGGAAAACGATCCCATACGCAGGGGATATAAAGGTCAATCTTCACAGAGCAAACACTATATATCAGCTGACCAACACCATCTGCATGAATTGAGTCTAGGACAGGGTTAGCATATGTTCAGCATATCCAGAGCATATCTAGTGTAAAACATACCACAGTGGCGACGTCTAGCTGAACGATGCTCCACGAAGTAACAGTTCTTGGTTCCATATCCAGTATCTCGTAAGCCATCCTTATCGCAAAGAAGCTTTAGAAACGCGGTGTCTATCCTTGCAGCACTTCGTGGAACGTGCTGACAGTAGTGCCAACGCTGGGATCCGACCTGCGCGTTCGGACACCCAATAAAGGTGAACTACTTATAGTTAACAAATATTTAGTACATGATAATAATATGCACTTACTCCATCTCGAAGCCACACTGTTGGCTTTTGACCTCTGCATGTCCGCTCACTAGGTGCATAAATACATGGCCCTTCTATATCCCACGTCTTGAGAAATCCGAAGTAAAATCTATCTTAAGCGTAAGCTTAATAGAGGTTAAAGCTAGGGAGGGATATATCTTACTCTCTAGTTCGCTCCTGGATTTCCTGCGCAATAGTGTGATACACAGGCTTTGCAGCAAGAGCCTGAAGTTCGCGGAAAAGTGTTGGTTTAACACGGTTATAGCTTTCAGACGGGGTAATAAGATCAGGATGAGCTTGGTGGCAATGTTGAATCCCTGTACATTGAAAGGATCGATGCCATGATCTTGATTCTTTGTCTTTAGAGTCTTTCTGGAGGAGTTTCGTGAAGATTTTCTTGGCCGATTTGAGTTGTTTAATCGAGAATTGAACCTAGGATAATTAGTTATCATATATGCTAAGCATATGCTAGACATATGCTAGGATTATATCGAACATACCGACGACATAAGCTGTGAAGTAGCTTGGTTGACAGCAGTAACGGTGTCTTCCACATTTTCAAGTGGATTTTTGGAGGCATGAATGATATGTAAAATACCATTCTTGTCTGTATCAGGATACTCTGGGAGGATAAGGTGCTCCTGAACTTCGTAGGCGATCACAGCATCTCTAGAGCTAATGCTTACTTGGGTCCCGTCTGTTTCTATACCTGTTTGGTTTCGTTCCGTAAAAGGTGTAGAACATAGAGAGCTAGTATTTTCCTCATTATCCTCACAAGAATCGACATCAGATAACTCATATGTATTAGTGCAATCTTGGTACACTGAAGTTTCAGAGGCCGATCGTTGTCGCTGATATAAAATATAAGATTTATGTATGCTCTTATTTATAAAACGATCACTCACAGATGGAAGATTATAAAGAATTTGATTAATCTCTAATGCAGTACTAGTAGTAGATTGCGTAGAGATAAATATGTCAGAATCGGAATCCTCGAATAGCGATGGCGAGAGTAAAGACGCCGACATCTTGTGGAATTCGATACTTGGTAACAATCTTGAAAAGGGGTAAAATAAGGTGTTTAAAAAATTTTCTGCATTAAAAAATATTATATAATCTAGAGGTTTGGGTACGTGCGAGGTCGGGTACCTCATGGGTACCCAAAATTAGTCAGAATTTTTTGGGTCCGTGTGAACTTTTTTTGGGTACGCGTGAGCTGGGTGCCCATCCATATATCCAGTCGTATCTATCATACCTAACTCAAGTCACAAACACAAGCCCTCAATATGTGAAAGATACCCAGCATGTCACTTTCACCAAGGACATGGTTGGTGCCAGTCCTCATCGCTTTGCTGGGTTGGCTCCTTATCTCTCGAGAGAACGACGATCCCGGAGAATTCATTCTGGCTAATAACAGAAGCTCCCTTCTCTTGACCACTACTCCGCAGCGACTACTAGACATCGATGACGCTCTTGTATCAGAGTCCAACCCGGCGCGTACAGATGGCACCTTTGATCATGAGCGCTGTGCAAGACTGCACAACTATCTCGTCGCGTTTGGATGGATGGCCCACCACGAACGGGGAGTGGAAGATCTTCACGAATTGTTGAGCCAGCCTTCCTTTTTTGAATTGGAGCGCTACGAGGGACAAGTCCCCATGAACCGTCTCAATCCTGGATTGATATATTTCCTGCAATCTATTATTCTACCGACTCCTGGAGGAGGATTGTTTTACTGGGTGTCCGACGTGGTTATACACCCAGCAGACGAGTACTTCTACCCGTTTGAAGACAACAACTCAGCCAAGAAAGAGCATTTCGTTATTTTGCATATCTCCTGGTCCGAAATCGGCTCGCATAACATTGGCCTTGTAATTGATCAAAAGCGAAATCAAGTAGCGATGCCCATCGCGATCGAGAATCTTGAAAGCATCGCCCCCATCCACGAGCATCTAGACATGTGGTTCCCCCTCGAAACGATGCTGACCAACTGGATACACATGCTTCGCATTGGCAAGGTCACTGCCAGTTCGCCAGAGAAGGAATATCCACCGTCCAATGCACGGCTTGGATCGTGGGTATGGCAATCCTACAGTCCTGCTCAAGTCGACAGCGCCGTGGAGGCCATGGATCGACTCTCCGCTGCAATTGAGGCCAGGATGCCTCCCGGGTCACATCTCTCGGTCTCCCGAGAACTCCCTCTTCTGACGGATGCAGAGTTGGATGCAGCATCCATTCCAGAGAATTGTTTCATTCGCTCGCTTCTGACCAGGGTGAAAATGCCTCGCTTCAAATTCATTGCACCGGGTTTGGAAGTACCGCACGATGCAGCGGCGTTTGTAGCGCGCCAGAAGTTCACTGGTCTTCCTCGTGACCCTGAATCAGGCACGGTCGTACCCCCGGTGTTGATCTTCGCGAGCGGCAAACGCACGATCAACTTCAATAAAGAGATAAGATGGTTATTCTTTACCGCTCACGACCCAGTTCCCTATACCGATCGTGATCGCGTTCCTGTGGGGCTATACTCCGAATCTTCCTGGCTAGTCGGTTACGAAGTTGCAGAAGAAGGGTTCCGTCTTTTACTGCCTTACAACTTACGCCCAGATAACTGGGATAGCCGAGGGGCCAGGAGAAGCGATGGAAGTTTTGTGTCCCCGGGCTCGGTGTCAGAGCTCTTCCAGCATGGCTGTTACCGCCCGTTTGGGGGTGAATGGCGGGCCCAGAGGTTTGAGAGACTGATGGATCGGTGGCGGGAATTGGTGGAGAGTGGTGTTTGGAAAGTTGGGAAGAATGGTGTGAAGGGAAATATTGATAAATTTCAGGATGCAGACTATGGCGATTGGAAGGATTATTGGATTCCTCCTGGCTGGTGAAGCGTGCAACGAAAAGCATACCATCTACTATCTATACGAAGCACAGAATAATTATGATCAATTCGGGAGCATTTGTTCCTTGAGCTTACGGGATACACGGATTTCTTCCCAATACAGTAGAAGCAGATAGGTAGGAATCATCCGTAGTGATCACCTTTCGGATCAGTTACTTGATCTCAAATGATGTATTAGGTATCCAGCAAAAGCAAATATAGAAATCATCATTCTAGTTTTCTATGAGCATTAAGATAGCGAGATTATGTAGTCTTAGCGGAGGCGTTCCCATAAGTCTCAATTCCATCTCTCCCAATCATTCACGTATCACCAATCCGTAGAACGATACCGCAAATGGGACAGCCATCCCCAGCACGATGGCCTGGTATATACTGGTATCATTCCACCCAGCCATATTGGCGAACATTCTCGCCAGAGTACCACCGACGATGCCCATCCATACAACAAAGAATCCCAGGTCATTCCAGCGTTTCCATGCCTGTCCTCTCTTGGACAATTCGCTAGTTGATCGCATAGACGTACCCCAACCATCTTGGAACACCGTGATCAAGCTCCAAAGATGAATCATAGGGAGGGGGATGTTGTAGAACAAAAGACCTGGTCCAATCCAGAGCCAATAATTGGTCGGTCCTCTATCTGGGTTGCGGAAGAAGTTGTACAGCAATGTGTAGACGATACGAATGCCAACGTCGTACCAGTTGAAATAAGCAAAGCAGCGACCAGTAATGAGGTAGTAGAGGATATAGCCAAAGCCAAGTAAAGGTCCGGCCTCTCGCTTGATGGCAGCCCAGAAGAAGAGCGGGTTATTGAGGACGTAGATCTGAGGTTGCTGGAAGGACTCGATATGACCAGCTCGGCTCCAGCGGACTTGTTGCATGATCCAGCGGCTCAAAGTTGTCGGCGTGTCAGTTGCAGTCAAGGTATCAGACACATACGTAACGGTCCATCCGCGCATGAGAAGATTAGTAGTGAGGTGGCGATCCTCGTTGACGACCATTCGATGTCCCAGGACAGTCTGCGTATACCAGGGATACAAGACGGCTGGGAGAGCGCAGACTCGGAATGCTGTACTGGGACCTGACTGACAGTCACTGGTTCCAGAGGCAGTTGAGGTTGACCGGGTCATGTAAAGCTCAGACCAGTAGACCACACTGCCCAGTTTGGTTGTGGTTGTGTCATTTTCATTGTGCACAATCAAGCCCGAGCTGCCTCCACCGACATGAGGGTCGCCGGCAATGGTTTCAATGGTACTCCGCAGTGAGTCAGGCATGATGATAGTGTCAGAGTCAGAGGACCACAGGTACTCGATGCCGAGCATCTCGGATATCACGATGGAAAAAATGAAAGCCGAGAACATGATTCCCTTCTTGTGTAGATGGGGCTGGAATAGACACAGTCTTGTGACGCCACCGGCTCCACCGAGATCAAGGTCATATTCAGCTAGAATCTCGCGTGCGAGCTGGCAACAGTGGGCAATGGTAGCTTCCATATAGACCTGGGGAGCTTGGGCATTACCATCGACCTTCGAGAGCTTCTCAAAAGTTTTCATGGCAACTTCGCCCAGGGGCTCTTCAATTTGAATGACGGCTGATTTTTCTGGGAATACCTGGATATCATGTCAGTGCAATTCTGTCAGATTATCATGGGTTTGCTTACTTGTTGAAAAACGCGAACCATTTCCATGTCCGGAGTGTCATCGCCATCGACGCCCACAAGGACGAAGCGACATTCAGCTGCAGTTTTGTAGCTGTCTAAAGCACGAGCAAACAGGTCTGGGTCTTCACGATATCCGACAATTGCAGCCATGCATTCTGTAGCTTTTTCGGTGTTCGTAAGCAGGTAGCTGGCTTTCTCCAGGTCTTGAACAGCTTGTGACGGGGACTTCAAGCGCCGCCTCCGGCTCTCATTTGCAAAGCGATTGTATTCCGCCGCGAAGATCGTCAGCAAGATATCTAATGTCAACGGGTGTCGTGTATAACCGGTGATAAACGAGTAAATAGGGATCACAATAATGCAACCTAAAAAGTTAAGAAACTGGCGCAAGCGAGAGACATCGGGACCCCTTTGTTGGAACATGGAGAGCCCGGAATACAGGTTCTTTTCGTTGAATGAGTCCATTATAATGGCACTTACTCAGGGCGAGTAGTAACGAGTGACAAGTGAAGATTAAGAACTAAAGAAGATAATAATAGTCGAAAAAGAAGAAACGAGGGACCTGGGGAAGAAATCTTCAGAAAGAAAATCAGATCAAGAAGAACGAGTGTGGATAAGTTATTTTTTGGAGGCGTCCGCCAACGCCAGTGCCCCGTCCACTTTTTCAGTCCAAAAATAAAACCGCGGAATTGAGGCTCTAAGACGGGGAATTGCTAAAACGACACCCAAAATTACCAATTCGACACCACACTATAATTAGTGTAGCCTTGTAATTGTATTACGACCATCTAATACCCGCCTACCCCCTTTGACGACTGCAAGATTTCTACTACTGTATACCTATCTCCTAGTATACTGCTTATTCGCTATACGGGCATATTCGCTTAGGTTAAATTTACCCTTCCTAGTTATTCGAGGTAGTAGGTTCGTAGCAAAATGCCTCACAATCAACTGCCAAACCAAATGTCAAATCAATAGGAAGATAGATCGATTATATATGGGTATCCCGACGGATATAATATAGATGGTTTACCTAGGTTAGAGGGAGATTCGGCGATTTCTATAGTAAACTCGAATGGTATTAGTTTCCTTATTAGGTTTATTCTCTTAGTAGTGAAAATATAGGATCATTAAAGGGTGCATTAGAAGACATTATACGCGGTATAATAGGAGAGAGGTAGGTAGTAGGAGAAGTCTTGCAATCGTCAAGGGGTATTAGATGAGAGTAATACAATTACGACGCTAAACTGATCACAGGGTGTGTGGTGTCAAATTAGTAGTTTGGGGTGTAATTCCCCTCCACGACCTTGGAGTCTGACTCAAGTCAGACTCGGCGTGCTAGTAGCCTGGTTCAAATTTTCAAGACTTGAACTCGCACTCAATCAGGGGTTTTCCGGCCCTGCCGACGGACTTTGAGACTATCCTCGTAAAGGTTCGTGCCAGCAAATGAAATCTCGCTCTCCGAGCCGCATCTTCGGTAGGAGTCAACGCTATCTCCAAAGAGGCCTAGAAGCCTTCCCAGTTGAGAAACTCTCCAAGACAATGGAGAGTTCAAATTGTGGGCTTAGGTGGAGTTACATCACATGGAGCCTGCGGAAGAAGCCCGGTGGGGCCTTGGCAAGATGACTATCAAATCCAGTCTGGGACGGTCGAGGCTTTGCGGATTTTTTTTAGCTGACCGAAGTTTTTTGGTTAAAAAGGAGAGATGCCGACATTCCGATCAATGTTGGAAAATGTGACTGTGATGGCGGAGCGTCTTCTTCATCTGCAATGATGCGCCAGCCATTCTACAAGGACAACCGCATAGTCCCCGTGGGGATTATGCTGTTGACGTTTTTTATCTTTGTCTATCATTTTGAACTGGATCGCCAGGGCCCATTGGGCGAAATCCCCGCAGCTGCCGTTCCAAATACATTCGTTGAATCTTCACGCACGGAAACTCTAGATGCTAGTGTTATCACCAACTATACGGACGAAGCTGTTGACCAGCCCGTTCACCATATCACCCCCTCTCCCGTTCCTTCCACTAAAACGCCGATTTCATCTTCTCCTTCAAGTCATTCGCTTCACGAGCCGAAAGGCCTTACGACCGACGATGTGATTCTCATGTTCAAGACCGGTGCTACCGTTTTGTGGAAGCGCGTGCCTATTCACATGGCGACCTCGTTCTCGCCTAATCGCATCAACTCGAACAATATTCTCCTTTATTCTGATTATCCAGAGACTATCGGACAATGGGAAATCATCGACATTCTTGCCAACACCTCTGAGAAAGTGCGCAACTCGAAGACTTTCCAGCCATACCTCCAACAGGAAGACTACGAATCGCGTCAGAACTATGCCGAGATGTCCAACATGCCCGGCGACGCAGCTGGGCCTCCTGGAGGATGGAAGCTCGATAAATACAAGTTTTTGCCGATAATTCAGCATGCGGGGCGTAACAAGCCCAATGCCAAATGGTATATCTTTATGGAAGACGACTCCTACATCTTTCTTCCTAATCTCCTCCGTCACTTGGAGAATTTCGAACACAAGGACCCATGGTATCTGGGAAGTCTGGCTTGGATCCATGGTGACTACTTTGCTCACGGTGGCTCTGGTTTTGCGCTATCCCGGGGCGCTTGGGAGAAGAGCTTCGGCAAAGACCCGCGTATCATGGAGAAGTTTGAAGAATTCACCGAAGAGCATGGCTGTGGAGATCACATCCTTGGCCATGTTCTGCATGAATATGGTGTGCAATTTGGAGAGACTACTGACGATGATCGTTTCCGATATGGGTTCAACCCTGAATCTCACTGGTCAACGTGGTATGAGCCCGCCAACTGGTGCAAGCCGGTGTATAGCTGGCACCACACGCACGGAAAGGACGTGGCCAGATTCTACGATCTCGAGCAGTCTTGGGACTTTGAAAAGGTAAGCACTATCGAGCCTCATCGTACTCAGCTGCAGGATCACACCGCTAATCTTCACTAGGGCCCTTTGAGATATCGCGATATCTACGAGGCGCTGGTCGCCCCGTATCTGCACTCTCGTGCAGAGTGGTGGGATAACTGGTCTGGCAAGTATGAGATTAAGTCCAGCATTGCTGCAAGTGCCGAGCCACCAAGCACGGTCAAATCTACTGAGACATGGCGCAGCGCCTGGAAGTCCGTGGACGCATGCGAGGCTGCCTGCATATCGTGGGCTGATTGTGTACAGTGGTCCTTCTACGAGGACCGCTGTAAGATGGACAGCATGGTTCTATTGGGCAACGGCATTCCGGAAGGTGACTCTAGGCGGCAAACTAGCCTGCCTTGGGTCAGCGGATGGTTGCCACGTCGGATTGAAAACTGGGCATGCCAAGAATGACCAAGAGACCAAGTTGGGGGTGTAATAATGTACATAAGAGGATCATCAGAATAATAATAAGCCGCCACAAGCCTCAATCTTGTCAGCCCATTACCATGTCTCAGAGTTTAAATCATGATGACCGTTGGCCCTGAGGCTTGCGTTTGCAGAAGAAAATCGTACTCAGATGCCTAACTACGGTAGCACACATGTAACTCTATACCACGGTTCCATGACTGAAGGATGTGCCGAGTAGTGGGGTCTATTCTGTCGAATTTGTGCGGAATAGGTCCCTGTTTAAGAAAAATTGGGCCCGCTAAGACAACGCTAGCTCGATAGTTAACGGCCCCCAAAATAAGTCTTGTGGATCATCTGACATTGTTACATTCGATCCCGCTATCCATCAAACAATCGATTGGGATGTCCCTTTTTCATCCTTCATCCCAAGGGCCATGGATCGCACCACCTGGCTCGATGGCCTTCGAGGCATCGCTGCGGCGATCGTCGCGACGGATCACTATTTTATGGGCGGCGTCTTGGACAATGCCTTTCTCTCGTTCTGGGCTGATCCACCTGAAGAAAATCGGAGGCTTATTCAACTGCCTCCGATTCGCCTCCTTTTCGCCGCACATGCTATGGTCCCGTTGTTCCTCGTGATCTCGGGCTATGCGATCTCGATTAACCTTCTTCGACTTCGAAATAGCAACGACAGTGATTTCGTGCGGCGTCTGTCTTCTGCAGTGAGCAGACGCATTTTCCGCATCTATTTGCCAGTTTTTGTAATCGCTGTCATCTCGCAATTTCTTTACTTTTGTAACATTTATCAATGGAACTTTGGGGATGAGGTTGTCTGGGGCAGGAAGCCGTGGACTGCACCATGGTTACACATTACCTATGTCTTTCGCTATATGCTCGACATCACGAACATCATCAATTTCCAGGGCAATCCTGGCTTGAATGGCCAACTTTGGACGATGCCTATGGAATTCCGGGGCTCCTGTATCGTCTACATCACGGTCTTGGGACTGGCATTCTGGCGGCCACAGCTCCGACGCATAGCGCTAGGATGTCTAATGAGTTACTGGTTCTACTTTGGTCTCTGGGATGTCTTTGGCTTCTTGGCTGGTCTGTACCTGGCTGAGATGCGACTTATCTCAGGAGCACATGCAACAGACCAAGAATCCAAATTGCCCTATCACTCTCTGAGTGGATGGCCGTCAAACTTGAAGTCCATCAACTTCTCCGCGATCTGGAGTTATACCTGTTTTATTTTCGGGATTTACCTACTATGTCTAAGCGACGACGGTGAATTACCACCCGGTTACCTATTCCTCAAACTGGTCGAATCATCGCGCTGGGAGAATGACTGGGCAGTGCTTAGCAAGTGTTGGAAGACAGCAGGCTCCGTGCTTGTGGTGTATGCCATAAGTCAATTACCCCATCTACAACGGCCTTTAAGCTCAAAGCCGATGCAATATTTGGGCAAAATCTCCTTCTCGCTCTACCTCGTGCACCAATCTGTTTATCACCTTGTGCGTGACCCTGTGAGAAACCTTTTGTGGTACATTGCCACTAGGGAGCCATATCCTGGCACAGAGAATGCCAGTAAATTCACCATACCTTTTGCATTTACGTGGTTGGTTGGATATCTGATCATGTCCGCGATCAATTTGAATGCGGCACACTTGTATACGAGGTATGTCGATGAGCGCTGTGTGGAGATGGCAAAAAGGATGGACAGGTGGCTTACCCGGTAATGAAAATTCATGTACATGTATAATATAATATGGCGTTCTTCTTGATTTCCAAATCAATGTTCCTCCTGAATGATTTGTATTTTTGGACTACAGCTTTTTCGAGACGGATGTACTCGGCGAAGTATTTGCCTTGGATTTCCAATACCCTTTTAAATATTCCATGGCAAAACTGGAGGCTTTAGGCTCTGAATGGCTTTGATAGTCCTATTTATGTTAAATTGACTCTTAAATTCTCTGTATCGCTAATATGTGTCCCTTGTGTTGAGGTTGGTTCACATGTATACTCCCAAATATCACGTGATATATCCCCCAATAGGACGAGTCTCCGCCAATCGTCGCACGATCTTCGATGTGTAATCGCTAGCGTCGCCCCCAAGATCCCTTCATCCCCTTTCAGCACTACTTTCCTCACGTATTCTCTCCCAGAATATGCAGAATACTCTTCTGCTCGACATATCGGTCTTTTCTTTTCCAATTCCGGGACTCATTTCATCCCACTGATCTCGTCATACGGCTTCATGGCCGCAACGGCGACCTTGAAGCCCCGCTAGCATAGGATCTGCCAAAATGCCGGGTCGCTCATCAGCCAATCTCAAGGGCATTACAACTGGGCTTTTACGATCCAAGTCGGGATGCACAACATGCAAGTGAGTTCAAGTCATTCATCTACTACAGCGGTGGTACTAATTTTGTGCTAGAATCCGAAGAGTCAAATGCGGAGAGGAAAAGCCTCACTGTGTCCGATGCACCAGTACAGGCCGCAAATGCGAGTACGATGGTAGAAAGTCCAGTAAATTTTCTACTGTGTCCTCGACGCAGCCAATGATCACCAATGCACTCTCGCTATCGCCAAACACGATGTGGCGAGAACGGCGCGCATTTGCCTATTACTTTCAGAACGCCGCATCAGCAGTTGGAGGTGGGCTGGATGTTGACTTCTGGCGCACCATTGTCCCGCAAGTATGCCGGAGTGAACCAGCCGTATGGGATGCGATCATCTCCGTCAGTGCTCTATTTGAGAGTCCCGAGCCGATTTCAAATCCAGACCGGACTCAAAATCACCGAGACGCGCTAGGCTGGTACTCGCGCTCGGTCTCTGCTGTTCGTCAGCAAATTGAACGCGGCAGTGTGGATACCTTTGTTGGACTGATTAGCTGTGTGCTTTTCATCTGCATTGAAGCCCTTCAAGGTGGCGTGGACGAAGCTATACAACTTTATTGCAGGGTGTACATTTGATTCTCGCTTTACGTGCCCAGATAGCCAGCGGGCTGGTGACAGCGGCCAAAGCAGCCTTGCTGGAAGACACAATTGTCCCTATCTTTATTCGCCTGGGTCTGATTGGATTCACCTTTTCTCGGCCACAGATCGGTCTTCTCTTGCGAGGCCTCAAACGGAAACCGACACAAAAATTCGTTTCCCTAAGGTCTGCTCGGGCGGACATCACCCGGTTAGGCGCGGAGATTCAATTCTTTCAACATGCCTGTGGCGAACATCTCCTGAGCCCTGGTGACCCTCGTATACCCCAGGATCTGTTGGATCTACAAGCCGATCTGTCAGTTCAGTTGAGAGACTGGCATACTGCCTTCATAAACCTGGTGGAATCAATACGTGGCACCGATGCTATGACATCAGATGATGTTGGCACTATCGCGCTTTTCTCTGCCATTTACGAAGCGCTCTTTATCATGCTAGAGGTTTCCGCATCTTCATCAGAAGTCATCACCGACGCGTTTCTACCGAAGTTCCAGACAATCGTGGAGCAGTCTCGTATCGCCCTTGATGCGTCAATGCGGCCAGATGGTACACAGCCACCATTCACATTTGACATTAACCCGGCTGTTGCACTATGGTTCACCTGTCTAAGATGTCGAGATCCTACAATCCGACGCGAGGCACTGGCCCTCATGCTCCGATCCCCGCGAGTACAGGGTTTTTACAGCTGTATGTCTGCCGTCACCTTCGGAGAAAGGATCATGCTGCTGGAAGAAATGAATGGGGAGGTGATGAGCACCAATCCAGAAACGGCGCATTTCTCGACTACGGAATCACTTATTGGCTATCAATACAGTCCGGTCTCTAGCAGTAGCCCAGTCTCGAGCGTATCTCCCGAGTCTACAGAGTTTGGTGCTAATACCCCATTAACTCATTCGATCCCGGAAGAAGCGCGCATTGGACATTTTGATGTTTTCCAACCAGAGAGGGGGCTTCCACCTGACATCACTGAAGAAGTCATGGCGAAATGGAACCTCCGTCCTGATCGGACTTTTTTGGGATTCTGGCGAAACGAGCGAGATGAAAGCACGGATACGTGGCGGATGGTTCGTGAATACATTCCCATGGATCTTAAATATTGATCCTAGCTTCTTGCCCCCCGCTGTGTCTTGAAATGTCTGTTTTCTATCATCATCAGGATGATGCTGCATAGAGAAAACAGCCATTTGTGTACACGTGCACGATAAACTGGTGATTCATGTTTATACCATGGAATTGATCTAAACTCTGTCACCTGGTGCTTGACTACCTCAACCTCCAGAGTATTTTCATGACTATTCCCCACTAGAGCAAGGTCCGAGCCCAAGATCCGAAAGGTCCATGTAGAAGAGGTCTGCATAGGACAGATGGTCTGTACAGTGTCACGTAATTAGCCGGACCGAGCCAACCCCAGCCTCCGCCCAATCTTTGTCGCGCATTCGCGAAATGAAGAACCCCACCCGGAGCCTCGTTCACGGGGCTCGGGGCTTAAGATAAGGGGGGAAATTTGCATGGCTGCTGCTAGTAAGCGTAGCACGAGCCTCAGATCGCTAGTTACTGTTCATATTTACATGTGTATGTACAACCATACCAAAGCATCCCCTGGACAACCCACCAAGTAGAAAAATGAATTCCTTAGTGAAGAGCAAGTAGCCCATTCTTCCACACCCGTCTGTACAGTAGAATGTAGAAACGTGATCCCAAAAAAAAGCAACCTTCGTCCCTTAAACTCGCCTCGCGTAAAGTAATCTCCCAACTGACTCGCCAACACGCGTGGTGGCGGGCTTATTTCGTGGTCAACTGGGGCAGCACTAGTCTGTAAGCGGGAATCGGGCACAGCCCAACGGAGTAAACGGACAAAGGACGGGGAAGCTTCAAGCCATGGGATACATCATGCTTCGGCGCTACCGTGAACGATACAGAGGTACAGACTGTACGTGATACGGCGTCGAGAGTATGCACGTGTGGGACGCCACGCTGGGGGCCTTCATCTGAAAAATAAATCATCGGCGAGGCACGTTGAGAATACCAGATGAAGGCATTGAGTAGGGTATGGATTCCGTGGTGGGGTCACATTTTGGTATTGCACCACGAATATGACTTGATTCAATCTTATCGTATCAACTGAAGACTTGGGAGTATTTGGGGCTCGTCCCCTTGCCTCTGACGTTGCGATGGCGGGGTGACACATTCCTGGACTTAAGAATAAACAAGCCATCCCTAGAAGAGTAAATAGACAATCTTTACTAGATATCCTTGCATTCCTTCTGGAAACATAGCGGTGGTTGCTGGCCAACAGTACGGTTGTTTACCATATCATTAAATCTGGATACTGCCCTCGTGGAGTACACTCCAGTGCTACTGTCGAAGAAAAATGGTTAAACTTCAGGATGTTTTAAACCCCCTGACTGCGTGCTCAGGCGATCAACAAGAAAGTTGCTCCACGGTAGCTCATTCGCTCGCTACGTTAGCTCCGTAGCTCCCTTAGCTTCAAAGTGGATGCCTCTCCCCAGCCGAGCGCCGACTGGCCCAGAGCACGACGTACTGACAGGACAAGGTTCCAGTTGGACTGGATCGACGGATGCTCGTTCCTGAGCGACACTGCTCTTTCCTGGGCTGGGAAGACAGGAAAGGGAGCAACGTTGATGTGCATGTAATCTTTGCAGAACAGGACAATGATGTACACCGTTTGACTTTTTCGAGCATATGTATCCCCCTGTCCATCCATGCCAGGTACGTAACCTACGTATGCTTCTGGGCGTGTTGCTTGGCAGGCACCACTGGGCATCTTGGAAGATTCTTGGGAGATTCTTGGTGCTGAGCAATTTGTTGACTTGGTTACCAGTTACCATTACTGTACTGTACCTGGCCTGTTTGGGGGCCACTTTTAACCGCTTTCAAGCTGGGCAAATCGGGGTTGTGAGATTGGCGCCGAGGCTCACTATTGGACTATTGGGCTTGGGGATGTCCCTGGGAGGGTGATGAGTTTTTCCAGCACACTACTCCTGCAGGCTGGTCGGGGTTAGCCGGTTGTGCGCTCCTGAGCCAGAGGGGGTTAGCTAACTAATTTTACTAGTTAGACGGAGGGTGGTGGCGAGGTTGTACACGAGAATACGGGTCACAAGAGGACGAGTAAGACGAGTATAGAGACGGAGTATAGATGTACACTGGCACAATACGCGCTTGAAGTGACAGATTATATTAAATTGGAATTTAGAAGACAGACGTTGACGTGGGGAACACAGATGAGATCTACGTTCCTTTTCCTTAATGCCCCCATGTCCCACTTGAAGGAGCAATTTGTATATAATCATATAACTGTGTATGGAGTATACTTTGTATACTTGGTAATATACGTTGTAATCAGATTACCCTCCTTATCAAGAGACAAACGCCTGGGGCAGAAAAATGTCTCAGATGGCCCAACGGCTAACTGGCTGGGAGTCCGCTCAATCAATCGCATCCAGTGAAATGAACTCATCCAAACCTTCTAATCTCTGGCAAATGAGGCCCCATGACGAGGCCTGTCTCATTTGTAGTGCACTATATTGGCGTCCAGCCGATAACGTGTCCGGAGCATGTCCTCACTACTGTAATCGCGGGTTGGACCAGTCCGTTTCTGCATATATTGAGTCCCAGATTATGATTTTCAAATAGTCATGTCCTAAGATGACGACAACAACAACATGGAGTTACTCCTGGAGTCGGGATGTTCTTTTGGAGAACCCCCTTGGTATGGAAAAAAAACGAGCACAGACAGAGAGCGACTCCGCCTTTTTTTGTTTTTTTTTTTTTGGGTGGGTGGGGCCAGGGACGACTCCACGAGGCTCCACTTTGATGGAGAACAGCCCCAAGAGACCCCTACCGATCGCTGGATGACGGTATTATTGTGTTGCTGTATCATTCCATACCGAACCCTGTTATTCCGGTCATCTATTCAGCCGATCAGAAGTGTGATCCCTGCCGAGTCTCCACCCAAAAGGGTTAGCACTGGCGTGGTTCCTTGGTTGTTTACCTCTAGTCGTTTATTATGACGCCGCATTACACTCTGGGAGGTGACCGAGAGACCCTGGGAAAGACAAGTTACCCTGATTCTGGTGATTATTCGATGGGCAATTGAGTTGAATCGTTCTGTCAATTGACTGGTGAACCCGTAAGACCCGTGAAATACTCCATACATCCCCCCCTCCACCTCCTCCTTCTCCTCTCCTCTTCTTCTCTCCCTAACTCTCTCTCTAAAGCAGTGAATCTGGTTTCCCCTTCACCTTCACTTGCTGCCTTTCGTTCTATCCTACTTTTCTAATCTTCCCACAATTCGCTCGTTTGTCTGTGGTCTTCTCTCCATCCCCCTTTTATATTTTTTTGTATATTCTGGTTTCGCACATACCCACCGCTCCCTCTCTCTCTCTGCCCCTCCCAAGTACATAATCTGACACACAATGGTCCGTTTCGCGACTCCGCTCCTGGCCCTTTCGGCCCTCTCGGCCACCGCACTTGCGGCTACCACCACGACTTGCAGCACCAGCAGCCAGTGCCCGGAGGACAAACCTTGCTGCTCTCGTGAGTCTTCCCCCTGCCTCTCTTTCCGTCATTGAGTCGCAATCTTGCATGCGACCGAGTCAATGGCTAATCCTTCTGACGTCGCACAACAGAGTATGGCGAGTGTGGTACCGGCGCATACTGTCTCGGTGGTTGCGACATTCAATCCTCCTTCTCGATCGATTCTTGCGCCCCCATGCCCGTCTGTGAGAGCAAGAGCTACACCTGGGACAACCTCGACAACTCCATCTTGAACACCAAGTACCTGGGCAATGCCAGCGCCGCCGACTGGACCTACAGCGGCTTCCCCAAGACGGAGGATGGCAACCTGCTCATGACCATGCCCAAGAACTCGGTCGGTACACTCTTCGCCAACAACCACTACATCTGGTACGGCAAGATCAGCGGCAAGATCAAGTCCTCCCGCGGCAAGGGTGTTGTGACTGCTTTCATCCTGCTCTCCGACGTCAAGGATGAGATCGATTACGAGTGGGTTGGTGCCGACTTGACCGCCGTGCAGACCAACTACTACTGGCAGGGTGTTCTCGACTGGCACAACAGCGCCAACGCTTCCGTCAGTGACCAGGACACCTTTGACAACTGGCACACCTACGAGATCGACTGGCAGCCCGACCAAACTCAGTGGATCATCGACGGTCAGGTCATGCGTACCCTGAAGAAGTCCGACACCTGGAACTCCACTGCCAACCGCTTCCAGTACCCTCAGACCCCCGCTCGCCTGCAGATGTCGCTCTGGCCCGCCGGCCAGCCCAGCAACGCCCAGGGTACCATCGACTGGGCTGGTGGTGAGATTGACTGGGACAGCCAGGATATCAAGGAGAAGGGCTACTACTACGCGACCATCGGCCAGGTTGATGTGACTTGCTACTCTCCCCCCTCGGGCACTCAGCAAACCGGCAACAACTCTTACATCTACACCTCCGATGCGGCCTTGGTCAACAACATCGCCATCACCAACAACTCCACTGTCCTCGGCTCCCTCGGTGCGACTGGTCTGGACATGACCCTTGGTGCCAACAGCAGCAGCAGCAGTGCCACCTCCACTGGCAGCGACAGCGTGCCCACCAACAACGGTGGTGCTGGTGGCATGGCTAGCAACAGCACTACCAGCACTGGCTCTGGCTCTGGCACCTCGAGCGGTACTAGCAGTGCCTCTACTGCCAGTGGCACTGGTTTCAGCCAAGGCACCGACACCACCACCAAGGGTAATGGTGCCCCTGCTCAGGGTGAGCGTGTCCTGCGTGGCTCGCTCTTCGCAGTCCTCGTGGCTGTGGTTGTTCTGGTGACGCTGTAAATGTAACCTTTCATATGGGAAATTGTTTTTGTGTGTATTTGTGTGTCTGAAATACTTGCCATACACTCCAGAATAACTTGACCTTTTTTTTTTATTTTTCCCTTTCTACTGCTCATTCATGAGTAAATCCTATGCTTTTTAGGATATCTGATCCTGTTGTTCGCTTCTCGACTGTCTCTGACTGACCCCTTGATCCCCACAATGAAGAAAACACATCTTTGTATCTTTTGTACTGGTTTCCCTGTTACGTGCTCTGTTCTGTTTTCTACATCCTCACGGATCTCTTGATTTATTGATTCCCTTTTTAACGCCGTCCACATGTCTGAATCACCCTGCTTCTGTACCTGCTTCTACTCTCCTGCTCGGCGTTTCCCTTTACATCATAATGGTTGATCACGCTGTTCGTCTTTCACCTTTTCATTGCCATCGGCTTTGTTGATGTCTTTCTCTCTGTATGCCACCGTTTGCCACTGCAACATGTCTTTGCCTGCACATGTTTGGAAAATACCTAGCTTTGCTCTAGGTACAGGTTTGATGGGAGCCTGTGTGATAATGGGTGGTCTATAGGCTCTCTTAATCTATCCCTCTAGTCTTTTCTCTCTTTTTAACTTGAAGAGTATACAGTAGTATCCTTGTAGCCATAGTCAGATCCACATCTATATCTGGCCCTCTATTTCCAATACCATATCTCTTGGCAAGACGTCCACACAAGCTCACAAGCTCTCGTATTCATGCAGGGTTTTCCGTTGATCCAATTCGGTTGGTGGATTCTGCATCGGACGGCCCGTGACGGGTAGACAAAACCCCCTGTCGGACCCCCAAGTTACCTGCCATGTCTCCACTACTCCTGTCTCACTATTTCTCCGGGGGGGGGGGGGGGGGGGGTTTAATCTTTCCACGTGGAAAATGGGCCTGGCTTAGAGGGGGAGGGGCTTTAGAATGTGGTGAATACTGGGAGGTGGAGGTTGTGTGGGGAATAGTGGAGGGCGTGTTCTAGATCGAGCCGCCACTGCCGTGGTATGCGTAGATTTGTCTAAGGTTATCTGATATTGTTTTTTCTATGAGGCAACAATCTCTTTCCATGTAGTTCCGGAAATATGAGAATGAAATATAAATATCCTTTTGTGTCCCTGGGCATGTACATTGGTACACTGATAAAGGGGATGTCGTGAAGGGTACATGAATCCAGTGGCTTTTTGTATACCATCAAAACCCGGGGTAGATATGACCATACACGATAAGAAAAATGGGTCCCTTTTCTCCCAGATTCGCCCAAGAGCTATGGATATCGATAACCACGGGGTTCTCTCGCTATTCGCTGGCCGGAAAAGTGAATTGCAAGAGCAGCGCGTCTCATTCTGATGTCTCACCTTCTTCACCTTCCATCACCGCGTCTCCCACCACCATCATCACAGCAGAAGGCGGCGACGACTCTTCGTTTTCATTCATACAAAACAAGGTAAGACGAGACTTATCTCACCCCCTCTCTCTACGTCTGCCCTCTATCTATTCATCCACACATCTACAATCCACCACCCACCAACCCCATTCAACACACCACCATCATGGCAACCCCTGGGCTAACCAGATCACTCACATCACCAAACAGACCCTCCACCCCCTCACCATGTGCCAGTACATCGGCATCTTCTACGAAGAATGCAACCACGTCCGGTTCAAGCTCCATAACTTCTGCCTCGACCTCTTTCACGAACTACAACGCATCAACAACCCGGAGGAGCGTGAGACCCACGCTCTCCCATTTGACCCCGACACCCCGGGTTGTGAGCCGTATGCCCTGTTCGACGAGAACGGGCTCCCAGAGACGAGAGACGCGCCTGGGACCGGCAATGTGTTGTGGTGGGTGATTAATCTTTCGGAGGTGTGCCCAGGCTGTGAGGTTGTCCGGGTGGGCTGAGGAGGGCCATGACCAGGGGATGGAGATGGGATGGGGATGCAGATTGTGGAGGAGGAGTGTGGAGAAAGGAGGACTGGGATCGGGGTTCTGGGAGTTTGGGCGTTTGGCGGCTGGTTTTCTGGGAGGCTGCAATGTTTGAGTATGCTATATTCCTTTTATGATGCTTTGGATTCTTAGAATAGAGTGGTCGCTCAACAAGTTTTTTGTTTCTTTTGACACGTTCAAGTCCTCTGGTATACTTTGGTCGCTGAGAATATTTTGGTTGGTTAGGACATGCTGGTTATAAGGTACACTTTAGTCGTCGAGCACGCTTCGGTTGTCCTGCCGGCTTAGGTCTCTTGCCAGGGGTTCAGAAATATGATTGATTGTTGGTGTATAGACTATCTGTTTGATGTACAGAATGCCACAACCATAAGGATTCCAACGGATATGAAATGAATATATAAAGTAATTGAGAGATAGCACCAGTCAGCCATAACGCCAGAATGATACAAGATGAAGAAGAACATGAAAGATAATAACCCCGGAGGCAAGTCAAGAAGACTTGCATGATATGCAACATAGATCAATTGACTTAGTGGACTGCCCCACAGCCACAATCATCAAGGGATCGCTTCTTGAAATCGCCATGGTACGTGTCAAGGCCCTCGGTCCGGACGGTCGAGCCGACCGGATCACCCATCCAGTTATACTTTTCCTGGGTGGTGGACTCCTCGCCAGATGCAGTCCAGTAGGCGGCGGACTTGAGGCGCTTGGTGACGGCATCGACGTCCAGGTCCAGATAGTTGGCCAGGAAGGCGCCCACGTCGGTGTTCTCGTTGTTACCGACCAATGGCCAAGCATCCTTGCTGGATGATGCGTAGATGTTGACATCGGCAGCTGCATGACAGTGTTAGTATGATTTGACAGTATAAACTAGGGTTGCCAAGGATTGAACATACCAGAGTGTCCGTGAGTGGACCAGCCAATCTGCGCACGGCGGCTAATCATGTCCGCAAAGAGGTACTGACGAGAGACGCCTTCCTCAGGGTGGAGCAAAGCATTGACCTCCTCGTCAGTAGCATCACTGATCCCAAGGTCTTTCTCCAGCAAGGTCTTGCGAATATACGCCTTCTTCTTCGAGTCATCATCGTGCTTGCCAGCCTCCAAGAGATGATTGCTCAGCTTGGCAGCGACATACTCGCTGGAGTGTTCAGCATTTGCCAAGATACGGGGCAACCACAGATACTCGGGATATGAGGTGTGGAGCTGGCGAGCAGCAGCAAGACCACCAGTTTCATGGTCGGATGTGCTAACGAGCACGCCGGGCGTGTCATCTTTCTCGAGGAACTCAAGTACTGCTGCAAATGCCTTGTCGAACGCAATGACTTCGTGAACCTGCGCGGCAGGGTCATTGCCATGGCCAGCATGGTCAATGCGGGAACCCTCAATCATAAGGAAGAAGCCCTGCTCGCTGTCCCGAGTGGCCTCGCTAAGCGTAGTCAAAGCAGTGCGAGCCATCTCTTCCAAAGAAGGATAAACGTCATTCTGCGAGCGGCGATCGATTTCAAAAGGAATGTCCTTCTCGGCAAAGAGACCCATCAGAGGGAGTTTAGCCTTGGCACCACCGTTGAGTGCATCAAAAGCAGTCCGGTCCTGCAAGTAATGGAATCCATTCTGAGACGCGAGTTCGACAATATCTCGGTCATCGGCACGGCAGCTACCCTCTGTCGAGTTGGGCAGGAAATGGCATCGTCCACCACCCAGAATTAGGTCAACCACCCGGCCCAGCGGGTGTTCACCAGCTTCCTGCTCCGCAATGCTATCCTCGTACTGACGCAGATTGGCATGCGAAGCAAAGCAGGCCGGAGTCGCGTCTGTGATGCGAGTCGTGACAACCAGGCCAGTGTGATATCCCGCCAGCTTAGCGGCCTCGAGCACAGTGCCGCAAGGGGAGTGGTCTGGGAGCACGGAAATGGCTCCATTGTAACTCTTATTGGCGCAGGTGAACGCCGTCGCACCAGCCGCCGAGTCCGTCACCAGGCTGTTGCTAGACCGTGTTCGGGACTGACCAATGTAGTGCTTATCCAAGACCAAGATATCATCAATCGGTAGACTCTCTGTCAACTGTCGGAAGCTTCTCGTCATCGATAAACTGGTAGGTCCCATGCCATCAGACACCATGAAGATCAGGTTTCGCTTGCCTGTCGGCTTGCCGCCAGGACCCCAGACTTCGTGGGAAGGAGCACGTCGATTCTTAGCAGCCTCATGTTGGTATACCACCGCGAGCACGATCACCAAGATGGTTGCGATAGCCGCCCAAGCAAATGTCCCAACTTGTCCCCAAAAGCCCAATCCTCGGCGTGGTTCGTTACGGCGAGTCGTTCGCTCGCCGGTCAGGAGGGCATCTTCTTCTTCGGCGTTTCGGATGGAGGAGAGTTCAGAGGAGGGGCGCGGAGCTAGGAGGGACTCGTTTCCTGTCATGGCTAGTGTTTGATGTGAATGTAATCAAGTTGAGCTCAGATACCCTAACTGAGCTTCCCCGAAGCTGAAGTGGTTGGTGGAGTCGGAACCGGACGAGGGGACGGGGCTGGGCTGAGGTACGATAAGATAGGGCGTTCACATGACCCAAACCTTGGGAGATGTCCAAAAACAGTAATCGTACATTAGAGTAAGGTAAATGGTAATGTTAGAGAAAATGATAATGTACACTCAGAGAAGCCTTGATTTCCATTCGCATCATCTGAATTCCCACCTAGTAGCACTGCCATTTGAACTCAAGACCGTCCCTTCCACCCGATGGGAATTAGCGCTGCCGCAATCTCGGAGACTCCGCGCTCTGTCGCCAGTAGGTTAAACTGTGCCGCTGCATTCCGAGTATCCTGAATGTCAACACGGATGCCTAGCGAGTTGATATGACGCTTCGTCTCTGGTGAAAGAGGATACATGCCGCCACCCAGACCGAGAATGAGCATATCTAGCCGAGACAACCATCAGCAATGAACCGAACCCAATTTTGCCTCCCAAAACAAGTAGTTCTAGCACAAATGACCAGATGACCAATGACCCCCCCCCCTCTCCAGTCCACAAGGGCTCATGACCACTGCACGGAAAAGGGAAAAAAAAAAAGACAGGAGAAACAAGCAAAAAGCGGGAGAGAATGAGAAACAAATTACGTACCGGGTCGGGGCCACACCACGCTCAGCAATCCCCAGGCCTCCTCGTCCAGTTCAAATTGGCCCTTGGCGTTAATCATAGACGCCTTGGCCGCGCGGTCATTCTCAGCGCCCTCGAAGGCTTTCCACGGCCGCCAGGAGAACGCTTCTCCACCGACGAGCAGCAGGGCATCGCCACCGGTTATTTTTACACCGGAGTTCAGGTGGAACCCGGAGTCCAGGCAGGCGTCGATGGCTGTGCTAGGTACCGGGGTGTTCCCGAGCACATCCAGGGCGCCAAAGTCCGTCTGGGTATCTTCCTTTGATTCTGGGCCACGGTCATGGCTGGTAGGCTTGTGCGTGTGGGAGCGAGGGATCATGCGCGCGGGGCGAATTGGAGAGCTGTAACTTCGCTGCGTTGATGGGATGTTGAGGGCTGTAAGGGCGTGAGGGAAGCGGGTGGCGTTGCGCAGAGTGCGGGGAGCCGATGCTCTCAGGAGAGAGGAGCGCATGGCGCGGAGAAGTTGGGGCGATGGTGAATGCATTGTAGGCGAAGAGGATGTCTCTGATCCAATTGTGGTGAGTTGGCGCGATCGAGTGGGCGATGAAAGAAGGATTCGGAGAGGTGTTGATAGTCGATAAGCTTGCCGTGGTCTTGGCACATCTGCATCATCGTACTCCCCGACAGTACGATTACCTCAAGACCACAACTTAGATCAGACGGAATTTGGGCCCATACCGAGAAGTGGAAGTGCTCAATTTTATTGATCCAGTTGCAAATATTCTACTGAGAGGTTTACTCCAGCCGTTTTCAGCAAGTCTACACACCAATCTAAGCGACCTCCTCTACCATACACACACAGTTCAATTGAAACAAAAGTCCTTTTATATTGACTATAATCCGTCTCGGCGGCCCTAGTGATTAATCTAGTGTTTTATTTCCAGGAAACCCAACCGCGTCCAAGTGCACCTTGGGTTCAATATGAAACAAGGACAAGGCAAAATGACTTCACTCGTGCGCATCGTAAAGGCCCGAACTCCGGTAAACGCAATGGAAAGAATTCGATAAAAGAAAAGAATGCTGAAAAAAGTGAAAGAAAGAAAGAAAGAAAGAAAGAAAAAAGCAGACCCTGCACCAGTAAGGATTCAAAAGGAAAGCAGAAAAAAGGGACCCGAAAGAGATAAAAGAGAGGGGAGACAACAGAAAAACAAAAGAACGCAAAAGGTAAAAAACCCACAATCTCATGCCGTCCCTGCCTGTTCTCCGGTCACATTACTCCCCCCACCTGCTTTTGGCGTCGGTGTTGAAGAAGAAAAAAGGTATGAGATGACTTATGCACACGTCGAGAGATGAAAATCGGGAAAAGAATAGTGCTTGCTGGCGAGAATTAAAGGTGCCTGTACAGGGCGTCCAAGTCTGAAAACGGGTTTAGTGAGTGGGACGACGAGTGCCTTTGCGGTCCTCGTCGGATTGGCTGGAGCTGTCATCGCTATGAGTGGCGTTGCGAATACGCTCGGCGCGGTCTTGCAAAACTTGAGCTTCGGCTGCGGCCTTTTGGGCTCGGATCTGTTTGCGCCACATGCTAGCATAGCGGCCCTTCATAGCCAGTAGTTCCTCGTGGGTGCCGCTCTCGGCCACCTGACCGTCTGCCAGGACTAGGATACGGTCAGCAGTAGTGATGGTGCTGAGGCGATGGGCGATCACGAGCATAGTACGGCCGTGTGAGAGGGTCGAAAGAGCCCGCTGAATGTGCTCTTCGGTGTCAGTATCCAGAGCGGCGGTAGCCTCGTCCAGAAGTATGATTCGAGGGTTCTTCAGGATCGTACGAGCGATTGCGACACGCTGTTTCTCACCGCCACTCAGCCGTAAGCCACGCTCGCCAACCTTCGTGCTGTACCCGTCAGGGAAGGCCAGAATCTTGTCATGGATACTTGCAGCCCGGCAAGCCTCATAGACGTCTTCATCGCTTGCTGCCTGGTTGGCGTACTTCAAGTTGTACATTAGAGTCTCATTGAAGAGTACGGTATCTTGAGGCACCACACCAATGTGCCTTCGCAGAGAGTCAATTGTAATGTCTTGAACGTCGTGACCATCAACGGTAAGGCGTCCCTTCTCGGTATTGTAGAACCGGAAGAGAAGTCGGAAGACTGTCGATTTGCCACCGCCAGATTCACCAACCAAGGCAGTTGTGGTGCCTGGTTCGCAGCGGAATGTGAGGCCGTTCAAGGCTGGCTTCCGTTTGTCATACGAGAACTCCACGTCCTGGAACTTGATGTCGCCGTTACACATCGCTAGGGGAGTGGCATAGGGGCTGTCGACCACCGTAGGCTGCTCCCGGAACAATTCCAGCATACGCTCGGCATTTATCAGTGCGGACTGAATAGAACGATAGAAAGTACCGAAGAAGTTCAACGGGCCCTGAAGCTGGGCCATGTAAGTCAACAAAGTAACAAACTGACCGACCTCGCGCTGGCCGGTGGAAACTTGGTATGCGGCGATGAAACAGGTGAGCAGCAGGCCGAGCATAAATACTGTATTCTGACAGGTGTTGAGAAGCGTCAAAGAGAAGAGAACATGGTACTCGGCCTTTTGGAACTCGCCCACGGCATCGCGGTAGCGTTGGAACTCGTACTGTTCGGCGTTGAAATACTTGACTGTCTCATACGAGACCATTGAGTCGTTCCTGGGGAATTCTTTGGTTAATCATGGTGTTCCCAGCACATAGCAAAAAATCATTTTCTTCAATCCACTTACTTCACGGCATCTTCTTGGCGCGATGCATTGACCATCTGCCTTCTGATCTCCGCCCTCCACTGAGCCATACGAATAGTAACGTAGAGATAGCCGAAGGTCGAGATACCCACAACGAGCGCATAGTATGCATCGAATGCAACAAGGAAGTATCCAAATGCAATAACCAGATCAATCAACATCGGTACCACCTGGAACGTCACCTGCTCTAAGAATGTGTTGATAGAGCTACCCTTGCTCAGAGCAGACAGCACTTCACCAGTCTTCTTTCCGAGGTGGAAATCCAAGCTGAGACCGTGCACATGCTCAAAGGCAGCATTAGAAAGCTCCATGTAAGAATACTGACTGACTGGAATCCACAAGCTAGAGCGCATGGAACTCAGCAGGCCCTGACCACCTTGCAGCCACCGGAGGATCACATACAGCAGAATCTCGATCCAAGGGACGCGAAATTCCTTCCCTTCCTCGTTGGCCAAGATAGTGATGATGTCTCCCACCTTGCTGGGTACCATTACATTCACGACTCGCTGGAGAACGAGCAAAATGAAGCAAAGGACCACAATAATCTGCAAGCGACGGGACTTGGATGGCCACAGATATGGGAAAAAGAGCGAGTAGCCGCTCAGGTACTCCCACCAGCTCGTAGAAGGCATGGTCGTGGGGCGAACCCAGGGATCTGGCTGCGGCTTGGCACTTTCAGCACCCGCAGCACCATTCGTAGCGCCATAGGCATGGCCATTGGCATTTCCATTCCCGTTCTCTGCAGCTGCAGGATCCAGAAGTCCAGTGGATTCGCTGACATTGCCGTTTGTACCGTGCCCGTGCTTCTTCTCCTGGCTCTTCCAGGTGATTGACTTGGTCGCATACAAGACGACAAGAGCCAGCAGAATCATTGCGCGGAGGCTGTTCGAGGCCACCTCAAAGTATTCCCAAGGAGTGATGGTTTTTCGGAGCTTGCCGCCTTCGGGATCGCCCACGACCGGCTCATGGTGAGGCGAGGTGTAAAGAGAGAGGGAGGTGCTAAGAATAACGAGTTCGAGAGGAATGGCGGCGAGCCAACACACGAATTGAGCGGCTGTCGGAGACGGGCTAGTGTCGAGTAGAGTCATCAACAAGACGGCGTAGAAGAAGAATGAACCGACGATATAGATCTACACGAGGCCCCACTGGTTAGCTTGTTTCCTTTTCTTTTTACTTGGGGCTTTGGCAACAGGCATCGCTTGACAGGTCGAACTTCACGGTTTGCCTAGGAATACGTACAACTGCAGACTGACCTCGCCACCAATGCTCGGATCGGGCCATCATGACATGGAGAATGTAGAGTGTTGCATCCATCAGGTACGTGAGGAGCACGCCCACCGAAAACCAATTGAAGAAGCGTTTGACGGTGGGAGAGAACTCCTTGGCCTTCCGAGCGGGAGCTGTACTGCGGCATCGATTCGGGAGTGGTCGTCCACCCGGACCCATGCGAACAGATTCATTGTTGCTGGCCCTGCTGGCGGTGACCATTGTGTTGACTACAAAGGCCACCGCAAAGAGGGACAGCAGGAAGATCGGGTAGCATGTGCGCAGGTACTCCAGCAGCTCGAGAGCTGCGTGGGGATCCATGATGAACCAAGTCCTCCCACGAATATCCGACCAAGAGGGAGAAAATCAATCAAATTTCCATGACACGGCGGTGTGTCCCCGACGATCCGAAAAAGAAGCAGGGAAGAAAGCGAGAGCGAGAGGTTGGCAGCGGCTGAGCGAGGAGAGAAGGAGGAGGAGGAGGAGAGAGAGATCGGCCGAGAACTGGAGGAAGTGCGGAAACGACAGTCGACGGGTGTGGCCAAGGATCGACGTTGAGGAATGAATCGCGCAGCCGGACGCGGGGGGCAATAATACAATGCGAGCTGCCCGTCCACGAGGATCGGAGTTTTCGGATATAATGGATTCTAAGGGATGATAGAGAGATCTAAACTTTGGACAAATCAACACCCCGCAGGATAAATTGCTTTTTTGTTCTCTCTTTTCAGAGGGGGGGGAGGGGGGGGTGGGTTTTTGATGCTCCGATCGAGAGGCGATCGGGAGGAGGCAAAAAACACGCAGCGGAGAAGGTTTTTGGGAAAATCCACAGCCCCAACTGACCTGCCCGTGGCAAATCATGCGCCCTAATAAAGTCATAACGAGGATAGGGCATGACCTACGAACCAGATTCGGGTACCCCGACGAATTTCAGCTGCCTCTGGAGCTGGCAATGGGAAGAATCAGACTGGACGAGGCAAAATGCTGGCCAGCATGAAATGTTGGAATGACGGTGTGGTCGTCAGTAGTAGTGTGGATGCACGCGCTGCAGCTAAGATGGGGATCCACTGCGCTCGGAGGAGTTGGCTGGGAACCGTAACGGATCCTCAAGGAGACTAGTCGATTTAGTGCCGGTGGGAATAGACCAGAACTGCTCTCATCCTGGGTCAGCGAGAGAGAGTGGAATTGGGTCAAATGGTGATGGGCGCTGGGCGATGGGCCTGGGAGCTATTTCAATATTCGTGATAGCTTGCTAGCAATCTTAATCATCTCTTAGTCTGCCGAGATAATCGTGAGGTTTGCCTTGGCTTGGATCGAGGCACAAACCGGCGATGCAGAGCAGAAGTCCCCGATAAACAGTGGTTCGTGCCCGACCAGGGTGCGCAGGTGAGAAAGGGGCCAAAGCAAAGGGGGGGAGGGGGGTTCAGGCCTAGGACGAGGGTTTAGAATTTCAATGCATTTGACCTTTGGCCTTTCCAGCTTCCAGTTATATAGACATACAGACATGGAGAGGCGACAGAAGACAGATACTCCGTTGCTATAAAGACATATGTACTTGGTTAGGCTGGTCCCACTTGCGTGGTGATGATACTAGGTTCAGCCAAGCCCAACCTCGATTAGACTGACAGATCGAAAACACAAAAAGTACCTGTGGTTCAGAAGCTAATCATGACAGGTATGAGATGTGGCCGTCAAGTTTTGTGGTTTGACACAAGAGGAGTGGAGACGCGAGTCTCGTCATATATATATAGAAACTCCGACCCAACAGACGAATAAGAACATGTACGGAGTACTACGGATGGAGTGATGTTATATCACTCTATTAATATCATTACAATTCTGTTTATTCTATCATTCTTCACAAGGTGATAGGGTATGTATCACATATTGTATGTCAATCATCTTCTATCTTGTACTATAACTAGTTCCGTCAAATCAATCATTGTCATTGTCATCGTCATCCGCCCCATTCGAGTCCCAAAGAGACTGACAACCTATTTACAATCACAATTACAATTACAATAACGGTAGTGTCAGACTACGATAATTTACCTCATATCTCATAACTAGAACAACACCTGTAGACATATCATATATGTATATCGGAAATACATGACCATCGAGAGTGTCTCCGACCGATTGGGGTCCTTTTCATTTCAACTTCCAAGGCAGCTCCTCGGCGATCAGATGGTGTTCCATGGGTGCGCGGACCCTCGCAATCAACGATCTAGATTGCCATCGATTCTCTTTAGACTGCCCGAGAACGCTAAGACGTCCGGGATCATGATGTGCGACCCTTTCCCCCCCCCCTTCTTTTTTAGCGACCATCCTGGAGCCGCGACGAGATTACTTGATTAGCTGCGCCCGACCCCCAAGCTGCTCTGTTAGCTTTGACGCTTGTGAACCTCAGGGGGCGCATCCGCACAATCGCTTGGGCCGAGCTTGGAGTCGAGACCTTTTTCCAGTCTTCCAAGTCCTGGTTCCCCCCGGCGCCGTTCCAGGCTCGCGACTTGTAGATCAGTTTTGAGTTCTTTATTCGGCAATCAGCCTGTGGGCAGAGTCGTAATCATTCGATTGGACTCCCGCCTTTCCGGGCAGAGGTGAGACATGGCCTCTTTTTTGGTTTCCTCTGGTGGAGGGTGGGCCAATTCTTCTTCAATTTTTATGCCTCACTATATGACCCTTCGCTGCGTTGCTTGCCCTTCCATCCTCCAGCCTCCAGCCTTTCAGCGACCGGTGAGGATGGGATGAATCCCATTCGGAGAGCCAGGAAGTCAATCTGCAGTGGACGGTGCGATTGTGAAATCTGAGCTCTCATGGTGTGTTGGCGTCTAGACCGCTCTTGACATGTGGACAAGTCGGGTTCTTTCAAGATGTGGACGATGGAGGAGACCTGTCCTCAGGACAAAGTACATAGTTCGGGGGTGGGGGGTCGCTCGAGGTCGACCGAAGGCGCAATGGGGGAGGAATTCCCAGTAGGCTACCGAGTATCTACTTGTTAGGTCTTGCATACTTCCGAGCCCTATAAGGTTGTCTGATCGATATGCACCAGCTTACACCTGCCAACATAGTAATTTCAGGTCGGGTCGAGAAGACGAGACAACGGACAGGACTCACTTACCAGTCGATACTATAGCCAACCTATTCTTTAGGTAACCGATTACCATCTGGACCACTATCACCATGTCTATAATTTCCTATACTTGATCTGTTCAGTCTCCTACTTGAGATTCCCATATGACTTACTCTGCATACCAACTCCTGTACTTTCAAACTTTGTATAGAAGCTGCAACCCCAGTGGATGCCTCAGGAACCAAACCCTCCACATGGGAAGCTTCACCGCTTGCGCAACCCAACCTTACTCCGGACCAACAGCACCTCACAAGCAACCCACAGCGACACGCGCAACTCTCCACCCCCCCCCCCACCACCACCACCACCATCACCATTCGGTCAACTGGTCGTGTGCTCGCAATGGAGTGAGAAACCATGTCGGACCTCTCTGGGTCACGCTCTCCCATCCCTCCTCCCCCGCCGCCACCCACCAAGTACTCTCATCGGGCTGCCAACGCGTTCGCCCGTTTCGCCCAGCCCTTCTTCTCCGGGTCGAGACCCCCCAGTCCGCAAAATAGCCGGGTCGATGGCCCCCGGCCGATCAGGTCCAAATCACTGTACGTACTGCATATTCTCTCACACCGCTTCGCTTTGAAATAGTCAAAAAGGCATCAGAGGTGGAAAAATTGAAGGAAGCCAGACCCTTTGGAATATCCCACTACCTTTCTCCCCTCCACTTGAACTCCTCCTACCCCCCTTGCCCATTCCCCCAGATCGGTCGATAATTCCAGATCGGGCCCAAATGACACACCTTCCTCTAACATCACCAGGCCTGGTGAACCGCAGACCGTCACCCACCGGACCGGTATTCCTATCAACGCTCTAGATATCTCGCCGCAGAGAACACACGCGGTCATCGGAGGCAAAGAGATCCTCAAAACCATCCGGGTTTCACCAGATCATTCCTCGGAGGAATTCAATATTCGCAATGCAGTCATCAGTTACGCGTCCACTCATCATGAGTCCGGCGCAGCGATGCCGCACAAGGACCAGTTGAACGTGAGGGATGTCAAGTGGTCACATGGCAATTATGACCGGATAATCGCGACTGCGGTCGCCAATGGCCGGATTGTCGTCTACGACCTGCAGCGGCCCGGCCTCCAATTATGTCGCTTCCAGGGCCACAACCGCCAGGTTCACAGACTTGCCTTCAACCCTCATCTCGCATCATGGCTGTTGTCCGGCAGTCAAGATGGCTCGATTCGAATGTGGGATCTACGGTCTGCTTCTGCGAATCGGAGTCTTTCCACGTGCGGCAGCAAGCATGTATACCAGAGCAACAGCGATGCGATCCGGGATGTCCGGTGGTCTCCCACCGACGGGGTCGTGTTTGCGACCGCCTCGGACAGCGGCGCCATTCAGATGTGGGATTCGCGCAAGACGAATGCCCCCCTGTTGCGTCTTGCGGCTCATGAGCGGCCTTGTTTCGCAGTCGACTGGCACCCTGACGGGAAACACATTGTGAGTGGAGGCACGGACCGGCTGGTCAAGGTCTGGGATTTCTCGCCTTCTGCAGAACGACGACAGAAACCTGCGTTCCAGTTCCGGACTCCCCAGGCCATCACCAATGTTCGGTGGCGGCCGCCGTTATGGGTGGGTGACTCCCCCAGTTCGGGCCAGTGGCAGTCATCCCAGGTTGTGACCACCTATGACAAGGAAGATCCTCGGATTCACCTCTGGGACCTTCGGCGGCCGCATGTCCCCTTCCGCGAGTTTGATCGGTACGATGTGCCGGCGACCGATCTGCTTTGGCATTCGAAGGATCTGCTCTGGACGGTCGGGGAAGCTGGGGCGTTCACGCAGACCGATGTCCGCTATGCTCCAGCTGTGAGTAACCGCCGGCCGATGTGCTCCGTCGCTTGGAGCCCTAATGGAGAATTTGTAGCATTCGCTCAGCCTCGACCTAGGCGACGCGCATTGGGCCCGAATGCACCAGAGTTCCTTCGTGTTGACGAGGACCGGAGTAGTACTGGCGAAAAATCACTTAGCCAGAGTCCAGCCGATGATATCCTCGATGAAGTGGTCCTAGCCTCATCGTTCCGGCCGCGACAGACCAAGTCGTCCACCATTAGGCCATCAAAATCTTTAGGCAGCTCCCCACCTGGTGCAATTGATATCATTCCCGTTTTACCCCTGGATGAGGCTCTTGCCAAGAGCGCTCTCCCTGCCCCAAGTCAGCTGGGGGCAATCGGGACCATCCCTGGTGCCACCAATGATGCATCCGTGTTTCGGTTCTTGGCAAGCCATTACTCACCTCTGATGAATGAACATGCTCAACCCCAAAGCCATGCCGAAGTTCTGAATTCCTTGATCGACTCGCTCGATCAGAATGCTGAATGTGCAGATAATTTGGCATTGACAAAGTTGGCACAGACTTGGCGGATCGTCAAGTTCGCTATCCTTCAAGAGCTCCAACGAAGGTCAAGGGAGAATCTATCTGGAAAGGATGGGGTGAAAGGCAAAACCTCCAAGGATGGCCTGTTGACAGACAAATTGCGCGCAGCGGATGATAGCCGCCCGGGCAAGATGAAGAGCCGGTTGTTCAAGGGAGTCATGGAGACCGAGGGTCAAAGAGGTCTGATCCATGAAGCCGAGAGCACGTCGAATATGACCACGCCACTTGCGCAGCCATTGCCTGATTCCCCTCAGGAGTCCTGGGGAAGTAGCACAGACTCGCAGATCCCCTCCGTTAACGAGAATGCGATTGATCTTGATCCCCTTCCACCCTCAGTTCTGAGCTCGCAAAATGGCTGGAGTATGTCATCAGATACCGATGTTCGTTCCATTCACCATCCCTTGCGCCTGACCTACGAGCAATCACTATCGAGCAATGAAACCGGTCTGTCTCCGGCTGCTCTACCCCAGCGTTTGCGGGATCCATTGCAGCCTGATTTGGACGATGAGCAGAGGTCAGCACCACGGGCGATTGCGGGCCGATCTGACTGGCGCACTCAGAGTCACCCAGACTTCCCTGCAGGGGCTTCTGAGGATGATTACGACCAGAAACTGGAAGAAAAGAGGGCTGCTATTAGTAACTACAAACAGTACCCAAAGAAAGTCTTGACGTTGGAGTCTACAATGGAGCCCAATCGTCCCCCAATTGACCGATACAATCGGCGCGACTCGACCGAAAGCTTTCCCATGTTCTCTGCATCCACCGACAGTTCTCATCCTTCCAAGTCAGTCGCCGCTTCTTACTCGTCGAATGGGCGGCTTTCAGATGTTCGGATATCGGATGGTGGCCAGGCTGGTTCATATCCCGCGGGTCGACCTGCCGCAGTTGTGCGGCGTGAATCTAATTTAGAACCCTCGCCAGAGGAACCAGAGGATGACTTGGATATTGAAGAGTCGATTCTTGAATCTGAGCAAGAAGTCCATCTCGAGCGACCCTCCACCCCACCTCCATTGTTAACCGAATCAACCCCGCTTGAGCAGCCAGGCTCCGAAAATGGGGCGAACGCCTCGTCTTCGGCCAACGGTGTTCCCCATCTCTCATCTTACCCAGGGATAACAGGTATCTATGAAGACCTATCTCAAGTCAAGATCCCTCTTATTCCAGATGCAACGGATCTCACACCATGGAGCATTGAGGCTCTCATGAAAGAGGCAGTTCGGTACTACCACAGCACAAGCAGCTCTGTCGACATTCAAACAGCGGCACACCTGTTACAGAAACTCCATATTCTCTTTCAGGAATGCGAGGATATTCTCCCATATGAGGAGTGTGAATTAGTTTTCAAAACATACAACGAACATCTCATTAGACACTCGATGGACCTGGAAGCCGCAGAGCTCCGTCTATCTTGCGTTCCGACCTATCCCGGCGTCTACGATTACGCCCAAGCAGACACCTTCATCAACGTCTTTTGCTACACATGCCAACGACCCTTTGAAAATCCTCGCCGGGATAACACCCGCTGTCACCGCTGCAACACTCCTCAAGCACCCTGCTCAATATGCATGAGCCTCGACCCACCTCCAGAATGGGTCGCTGCATATCGCGACGCATCCTCCTCCTCTGGCCACACAAGCCCGGACCTGGACGCCGAAACTGAATCCCGGCTCTCAGACCAAACCGCTGCAACCGAGCCCGTTCCAACATCCGAGCTCGATACCTTCACAGCACCCAGACCAAAAGGTTCCTCGCTATGGGCCTGGTGCCAAGGCTGCGGCCACGGCGGCCATGTAGCCTGCATCTCAAGGTGGCTGGGCGATCTGTCCATGAGCGAAGGTGGCTGTGCTACACCCGGCTGTTCGCACGACTGTGGCCCAGGTCCGCGCCGCGAACTCAACCGACAGATGCTCATGGCCGAGAGCAAGCGTCGCGACTCGGCCAGTCGCTCCGCGGGAGTGGGCGTCGTGAAGCACGATCCCTGGACCAAGGGCGAGAGCAAAGCCGTTCAGAAGGTGCGTGGGATGCTTGGTGCTGCAGGTGTCGCGGCTGCGACTGGCGGTGGCGGGGCTAGCGCTGGACAGGGAGGTCAGGCATCTGGTGCAGTGTCGCCGAAGAAGGTGCGGCTTGTTACTCCTGTTGAGCAGGGTAGGCGAAAGGGTGCAAGTGGTCGATCTGGTACTGCGCCGGGGTAGATTAAAACCTTGTTCTTATCGAGTAGCGGTTCTGTAGAACGTCTTGCTTGCTCAGCCATGTACAATTCTTTCTATATTCTTATTGAGCGGCTCCTGATGTCATTTACATGTATGTGTTTCTTAGGGGATGTTTTTTGATACCCAGACACATGAATTATTCTAATGATGAATCAATCTATTTGTCACATCTCGTAACATGTTACCATATAACTAGAGCATAGTATTTAACAGGTATGCACCAGATAAATCTTCAAAACCTCCGTTTCTTCTTCGTGGGCGCCTTACTCTTCGCTTCCAGCTGCCGTTTCAGCTCCTCCCGCTTACGGTCAGCTCTTTGCGCCTCAGTTTCTTCCGGGGCCGGTGCTGCACTCGGTGCTTTCGCTGGTAGTGAAGGCTCCAAAGATTCCCTTTTCGGCGACACCCGGTCTATGGCCCGTTGTTTGGGCGCTGGAGACTGTTCACGGGGCTTTCGCTCAGGCGAAGTGACTATAGTCTCCTGATGGATAGGGGCTGTCTCCGTGGGAGGCGCTGCTTTTGCCTTCGCCTTGCCGCCTATCATCCCCAGTCTTGTGGGCTTTTTGACTTTAGCTGGTGGTACTGTGGATGCTATATGCTCTTCTGGTTGTATGGGAGGTTGTTCGAGTGGCTGAGTTAGTTCAGCTGCTGGTGATGTTGCACGCTCTGGCTCTGGCTCTGGGATCTTCTTCTTGCCTCCGATCACGCCAAGTCCCTTCTTAGGCTTCTTGAGGGGCTCTTTTGGTGGCGTAGCTGGTACGGTGGGTTTCGGGGAGGGGGAAGCTGTGGGCGTCGGTGTACGTTTTCGTCGATGTGGAGGTGAAAGCTTGGGCTCAGGTTCGGCCTCGGATTCAGTTGCCGTCGCTTCATTTGTATCCACTGCCTGAGGCTGTGGTGATAAACTCTTCTCCTTGGCCTTTGCTTTGGCTGGAGATACAATTGATTTAGCTTCTTGAGCCCTTTGCCGAGGAACGACTTCTTGTTGCTGGAGATTCAGTCAGTTAGATTGAGGCACTCTTATGCTAGAGATGGAAAGGTAGTTTTTTTTTTGGAACAAACCTCGAACTCGTCGACTTCACTTCCCGACGTCATCTCCTCGTCAAGATCCAAATCACCCTGTGTATCAATAGCCTTGATCCTGGTCTGAGATGTGGAGGCTTTCGTAGGTTCCTCTTCTTGAAAAGAAGTGGTCTCGGAGCGCCTTTGGAGACCGCTCCACCACTTGTCTTGGGATGGGCGAAGTCTTTCAAGGCCAAGGCTGCCGCGGGATCCCGCAAGCTCATGAATGAGGTTGGACACTATCTTGGAGCTGGGCGAGGAGACCTCAGATTCGGCGAGCCAGTTCTCCTCATCAAACGGCGCGATGCCTTTGATGACCCTGGCGGCCTCGGTTCTCGAGCTGCCTTTTCGAGCCATCCGTAGACCAGCTGCACCAGGAAACACACTTCCCAGATCTGCTCCCAGGGATTCAAACCTGTCAAGCAGCTTCCCTAGCACCCAGTCCTTCTGCTTGAGCTGATCCAACAAGGATCGCTGTCGGGACTCCCAGGATGCTTCGCCTCGTAATAGCGGCAAAACTAGATGGCTAGTCGTAGAGGAAGCAGGCTCCCTAGATAGCTGTAGAGTCCACTTGAGTGGTCTCAGAGGAGCAGGCAATTTGGTGCTCGTGTTGAGTTCAAGAGAATCTGTTGAAGCACCGCTGTGTAGTTTTATAGTAGTGCCCCCGTCTCCACGGAAAGCGTCTCCGATCTTGGTGAGGAGAAGATCAAGCTGGTCCAGATCCTCGCTAGGATCAATCGTGGTGGCACTTTCATCCGCTCGTTTCAATATCTCTTTACGAGATAGTTGTTCAGACCAGATGGAGGTGAGGTCTGTCACGAACAGCTCGTAACCTTGGCGGCTCCAGGAGTACTGACAGAGCAGCGGAGGTAGATCTTCTTGCGATAGACGTAGTCTGTGCCATTCTGAGGACATGGCTTGGAGAGCTGTTTTGTTTTGTTGCAGCTCACTTCAGTATTACACCTTTTTGTTATGAGGAGGAGCTCGTGTGGATGCGGAGAGCTGCCTGGTCTGGAGCTGCAAAGGAAAGTTAGCCGCACGCTTGACTTTCCGCCAATCTCCCGAATCACTTTTCATCCACGCGACGTCAACCCAACCACCGCCGTACTCCGCACGCCGCTACCTACCCTAGTTTCTTTGATTCTCGAACGGTCGCCCTTTTGGAAAACATATAGAATGTCCTCGCGAATCCCGGACCGATCGGGTTCGCGGCGCAGCCGGTCGCGCTCCCCATCGTCCTGGCGTCAACTCCAGGATCGCCCCCGCAATGAACGAGACAATCGCGACCGACAAGAACCAAATCGCCGATGGGATAATGGAAATTCACGTGGCTCAGGTCCCTCCCGGGATATGCGCGACCAAGTCAGACTCAACCAGCTTCAAGAGGACGAACAAGCGCGTGCGTGGGTTGCGCAGGAGGACATCTTTGTGCTCAAGCAGGCCAAGAAAAAGGCAGAAATTCGAGTCAAGGAAGGGCGTGCAAAGCCTATTGACTGGCTGACAGTCACACTGCGTGTTATCGACCCGACACGCGATCCCTTGGACGACGAGATCGCCGATTCCGAACTCGATGTGGTGGACCCTGATGGTGTCTTCGAGGGACTGTCGCAGTCACAGTTGGAGGATCTGGAGCATGATATTGATACCTTCCTGAAGCTGGAGTCAAACCCGCAGAATCGGGACTTTTGGAAGGTACGTGTCTTCTCTGGGATTGACTTTTAAATGTGGAACTCTACTGACATTGATTTCATTTGTACAGACCATGAAGATTATCTGCCGTGATCGCCAGAAAACCTCTGCACCTCAAGGACGAGCTCTCAGCTCCGTGGCCGCCGATATCAACCGACTACTCAGCCCGAAAACTTACGAACAACTTCAGACGCTAGAGGTCCAAGTCAAGCGGAAACTGAACTCCAACGAACCTATCGATACAGACTACTGGGAAGAGCTTTTACGTAGCTTGACAGTGTGGAAAGCCCGAGCAAGACTGCGGAATGTATACCAAGATGTGATCGACGAACGAGTGCGCGATCTCAGGAAACAACAGAAGGCAGAGGCGGAATCTATGCGGGAGAAGCTTGCGCCTCTCGCGCCCACTGTGTCTGGAGTGGACCAGTCCCAGACTGTGGATTCCGATGAATTCAAGGGCTTGGATCCTGATCCATTGTTGCATGTGCGCCAGGAAGATAAAGGACTGGAAATTATGGACGAGACTGTATTCCTTCGCCAAGTGGTGAGTCCTCCCCCTGGTCACTCTAGCGTAAACCCTGTCATTAACCCGGGATACAGGCTCGAGAACGCCAAAAGATCCTTCGTATGGGGTATGTCCCACTCCGACAACGAGGTGCCGAAAGGCCGACCGCTGTCGCTACTAGCACTGTCTCCACCACCACAGCTACGTCAGGGGTGCCCGGTCGCTTCTCTTCGATACCCAATGACGATTTCTCGCAAGCTACCAAGGCCCTGTACGAGAGGGAGCTGGCCAAGGGTGTGAGTGAGAACGAAGAGATCTTCACTAGCGAAGAGGCCGTGACTACTGCTTCACAATCCCAATGGGCTGGCAAGCACCGCCCACGAAAGCCACGATACTTCAATCGTGTTCAAATGGGATACGAATGGAACAAGTACAATCAGACCCATTATGATCATGACAATCCGCCACCGAAGGTTGTGCAGGGTTACAAGTTCAACATCTTCTACCCCGACCTCATTGATAAAACCAAAGCCCCGACGTATCGCATTGAACGCGAAGATGGTCGGAAGCGAGGGCAGTCCTTTGCAGAGGCTGGAGAAGAGGACACTTGCTTGATTCGATTTATGGCTGGAGCCCCTTACGAGGACATCGCCTTTCGCATTGTCGATAAGGAATGGGACTATAGTGCAAAGCGCGAACGAGGGTTCAAGAGTACCTTTGACAAGGTAAGTTTTTTCGCCTTTTGACCTATTCCCAAATTACAATTCCTGGAAGACCACAATATCCTGACATTTATTTTCTCGGTCGTACAGGGCATTCTTCAACTCCACTTCCAGTTCAAGAGAGTAAGTGACTTGGATCTCTGAGACATCGTGGAGGCTACGAAAATTTCCGACCGCAAGAATATCGCTGACGTTGTCTTAGATCTATTACCGGAAGTAACACGGAAACCCATCATGGCCACATGGGCATTCTATCGGGAAGAGGGCAAGTGGATATTGGGTTGTGGTGGTGTATGCAGGATGAAGAGTCGGGGTGTATTTTCCAGAGCGCTGACTGCCTGTGAATTCAGTTCTCCCACGACTGATTGGGCTGGAAACATTCCCTTGCCTCTTTTTTTTTTTGATGAGAAGATCTCACATTCAATAAGCTCGCGATCTCTCTGCACTGTCCATGTGTGGATCCCTATATCAAATGCTTAATACGACCACTTATTGACATTCCGGAGCTCCCGTTGTTTCTCCACAACCGTGTTGTGTCTTTGGTGTTCTCTCCGAGGAGAGCGGAGTATCCAGAACCCCCGCAGCAGCCATTACTTCGCCTTCCCTCCATGTGCCCAGTGAAGAGGGATCAGCACTGGTCTATTTTGCGGAACGGCGGACGTTGAAAACTGTTCTGGTGATACCTTACTGGGCTGCAGCTTGCAGGTCAATCTATGGCTTCCGGCTGGCTAGAAGCAGGCCAACCAGAAAGAAACACCCGCGCTACCAGACAGGACAGCAATTCCAACCAGGAGGTGCTTTTGTCCCAAGATTTTTTTGTACTCCATATCCTTTTTCTTACTTGACTTCCTTGCCAACCCTTTTCCAGAATGGCCTCTGGTCTCGGTCTCAACTTCCAGAAAAACCTGCGCGCAGGCCTCAGACCGGGGCAGATGAATCGCGATAGGTTCTGCAGGCTGCCGCCACCAGCCGACCACCTACCCCCTCTTCTCTGCTCGCCCCCGTCAGCCCCTTAGGCCCATTTGAGGTCCCTCAAGGCTATCTAGCACCCGTTCAAAGCCTACCTGTACGTCTGCTGTAGCACTTGGTTGACCCGCCTTGACCGTGTATGAGATCATTGGCCAACCTCTGTACTAGGGAACGGCCGTTCCACAGCTTAGGTATCCGGAAGAAGATGATTCTCATAATACAAGTGTGCAAGACTGCAAGAATATGCTGTAATGCAGTTAGATTGACGCTAGCCATCTGTCGCCTCATACTATTGCCCTCTCTCTTCCTCGCGTTCCCACCCTTTTCTCTTCTTCCCAGTCACTAGTCCCGTCCATCCTAGTACACTTCCCTAGTACTTCTTAAATTGTTTCCTAAAAACCCACAGAAAAAAAAAGTCCTTAGCTTCAACGATATCTTGTTTGTCCTGCACGACCATCTGGATATGTGCAGTGAAAAGAGGCTTGTGCCGTATGTGCTGGCTAGAAAATAGTTCTGGTTTTTTTTGGACCGAAAATCTTTGAAGCTTACAGCTCCAATTTTTGCATGTCTTGCCTGGTGAGGGCATGACAGTCACCCTGGTTACTTCTATGCTGGGGCTTCCTCTATTATAGCTGAGATCGAACTCGCGGACCCCCCCCACCCCCCCCAACTCCCCAAACCTCAAACTTGTTTCTCTTTCTATCCAAGTGCATGTTTCAAGCTTTTTGCGCCTGCCCAAGTCCCAAGTCAGAAACATCCTCAGCACCTTATCTTGCACACTGTCAGGGCACCCTCTAACCTCATCACCTTGAACATCATGGACCACCACTCGTTCCTCTATCACCATCCTCTGGCGCAGATGCCAACTGACCAGCGAGAGTACGAGCAACATCGTGTCTTGGTACAAACGGAACTTTCCGGTGCCCAAGGCTTTTTCCAAGTCACTGCCAGTGACAGTGGCCCCCAGCCTTATCACCCCGGTCCCCCAGTCCAGAACTGGCCGGCATTCAGATCCAACCTGGCGCCGCAAGCTCTGATGCCCCTTCACACTGGTTTCAGTAACCCGTGGGGCGCCAAGCTACATCCATACGATTTCGGTACTTCTTCTGTCACTCGTGCTATGGTGCCTGACGAGACTTGCCTTGCATCACTCTACACTGCCTCTCACGCCAACATCAACATGCCTCCCACAGTCACCTCCTCTTCCAACATTCACCATCAAAACTCCCAAGCCAACATGCCTTCTACAATTGCCTTATCTTCCAACTTTCCCCAACAAAGCTCCCATGCGCCGAGAGGTGATGACCATGATGATCTAATGATCCAGCAAACAACGCCAGCGACTTCTTCCTTTTTAAGCCAGGAACGCTTCAATCACTCTGCCTCACACCCCGGCATTCCTACTTCTGAAAGATCTAGGCGTTGGATGCACGCAACACCCCAGTCACCACCTATCTCTGTTTCCTCAACTCAATCTCCACGTCACCCTCACTCGCTTGTTAGCATGAGCCCTGCGCCAACTGTGTCCGGCGCTGAAGGTAGCTCACCTCGCATTAGCATCGAAGATGCTAGTGATCAAGAGCAAAATGGAGAGCCTCCGTATTCCCGTCTCATCTGGGACGCACTGATGTCGACTGAGGACAAGATGCTGCCTCTTCAAGGGATCTATCAGTGGTTTGAGAAAAATACCACCAAGGCAGGCAATGAGGAATCAAAGGGCTGGCAAAACAGTATTCGACACAATCTTTCCATGAATGCGGTACGTGTACTTCCTACTTTCCTGCGGCGGTTTCAGTTTGAGAGCAGTCTCCACAAATGCTCTTACATGGAAGTTACTGGTTAAATGGAGAACTGCGTTTAACTAATAGCTTTCATTATGCAGGGATTCGAGCCTGTTAAAGTTGAGGCCTCAGGGAAAAAGGCCATGAACTATTGGCGTTTGACAGAAGAGGCTATTCGAAACGGGGGTGTTCAATCAACGACCCGGTATCGCAAAATGAGCGGCAAAAAGGCCATGAGCTCAGATCCCCCCGACCCCCGTCGTCAGCGACCAGGGGCCAAGGGTGGTAAAAAATGCGCTGGAGTCAAGCGCCATGCTGTTGACTATGAGGATGGAGAGCCATCTCACCCACGATCAGTGTTACATCAACGCAATGTCCGACCTAACCGATCTCCTCCATTCAACCCCCAATCTCAAATTCAGGTTCAAGCTCAGCCTCAACCTCAGCCTCAACCTCCAAACTTGATGAACACTGATATCCACCACCTCCAACATTACAGTATTCCATACTCACCAACGCCATCCATTGGCTTGCCTCAGTACGACGTCCCTCACATGCCGAATGCCCTCCCGGAACTCCAACCAAGCGGTCTGCCTCCGATGCCTCGCCACAATTGGCAGCATTTCGATCTCAGCAGCGTGATCGGGACCACAAACTCTTCGCCCAATGACAACATGGTTTTCTGCGATACAGCAGAAGGGGCGCCGGATTGCGCTGCATTCGTGGGGCCCTGGGTTGGGCTGGTCTAACCCAGACCCAAGGTCCAATTATCAGGACCTCATGAGAGGCCCTCTCGAGGGCGCACCGATCATCTTCAGATTGGTGTGCTAGGCACCTATCGGGGCTTGTTCATTACGACAAGCGGGGATCAGCAACCTTGCAGGTCTGAAGTACCAAAAAAAGGGGTGGGTGGTGCGGGTTGGTGACCATACAAGTGGGCGTCGCCGACTGCATAATTCTTTCTTTTTCTAATGATGTGCCTTCTCTTCTCGTTCTGTAAATTATTTTTGGATGGCTTTTTTCGATCATTTCTCGGGGCTGGAACGACCGGGCCCTTTGGCGCTGAATCAACTAGGGGAAATTGTTGCATCACTCGTGCATTGCTAGTCGGGAAACTTGTTACATTTCGAGAGCTTGGGTGTTCAGAGCGGTATCATTTTGCGAGCGGACTTTTGCTATTTGTTGTCTATGCCCACGAGGTGAAGCGTCGTCCACTGGGATTTATTTGCTTTTTTTTCTGTCTGGAGGATTCAAGTGTACCATAGGGCAACTAGCCCGCCGGGTTTCGCGGCCCACTCGATGCGGACTGGAAAATTTAGGCTTGAGAACCGAGAACCGTCTATTCGTGCCTTCTGCCATACTGTACAAGTGTCAAGATCTGTCATGGACTCATGGATACACGCTATAGTTCCTATAGTTTCTACGGGGCGGCCCGCCGCAAAGCCCAAGCTCTCGGTCCCACTTGGTTGTTAAGCATAACGAAGACGACAAATATACTCTGTCATGTTGGAATAGTCCGTTCCAATCGCCCATTATCGGGGACTACAATTCTCTACATGTTCAATATCGGCGGCAATCATACTCATAGGGTTCCTGATGCCCGCATCGTTTTGACTGGCTGTATAATTTCCTGCCCAGTACTTCACACGTGTTATGGCCGAGTCTATCTATACTACGACGTATGTTGGTGCTAGCATTGGTGGTATTCAGACGGCGGTGTCGCCTTGTAGAGAGCATTCAATAGATACAGCTTCAGAATTCATCAAGCCATCTCTCCAGAAATTCAAGCCCCCAACGTTTTTTTTATATCGATTGGTCTATTCCGTTAAAGGTAAGAGCAAGTACATGCTATCGCGTTCGGGGCCTCCCACCCCTATCCCCGCCCAGTCTTTCCTCCCAATGAATGACCACCATAGATACACCTCCTCTCTTCCTCCTCGTTCTTAAGCTCGGTCTTATTGACAAGCTTGCAGCTCCCTTCACTGCGTGACGCGGACGGGGTTTGGCATCGGGCTTTGCAGACCATTGCACTTGATTCGTGCGAAACTGCAAATCTGCAACCGTCTGACGCTTACCTTTCTAAGCTTTTCCCCACCCGACACCCTGACTCATTAGAGAGAAATCTCCATAGATCTTGTCCGCTAGATCTAGACCCACAACAGTTTCATGGGAGACTAAGGATTCTCGATAAGCCCTCTATTCCATACCTGACGGTCGACGCCGTTTGCAGTATGATAGTGGAGCAGAATTGAACTACATGAGTAGGTATGGCGATCGCAACAGATGTGCTTTTGATCTGTCAAGATGGTCTACCCCCACCATCGATAATGACGCAGGCTCGAGCTCATCGTCCTACCGTTTAGTGTCACAATCGGCTCGTGTGATCAGATCGGCAGTGGCGATGGTAGCGGGAGGGATGACTACAGTATAGTAGACCTGGAATGCGAGATTTTTATAAACTTTGGTGTTAAGAAATGATCTGAAGCGGATCAATAGAGGCTGACAGGGGGTTATATAGGAGAGACAGGAGATAGGGGTAGAGAAGCAGGGATTGTATGCCAATATTGACCCTGGAGATAGTATAATTGGTCTCCGGCTAATGAACTATTCACAGAGATTTTCCGATCGTTCACTTGCTCGCTGTAAACGCTATTTCCGTGTGCTAGTACTCCGCATATCCATCCAATACTCAGTCCAGCGCACATACCACCATAAACCTACCTAGGAATGTGCTACTTCCACTATCCTGCAGAGGCGTGGGGGAAATAGGACACTATCTGTGCTACCAGCTATACTATATCTCGTATACTACATTGTCACAGGTGACAGCTGCATGCCGCTCCCAAAGCACCGGAGGCCGGCACTTTGGCATATTTCCGTTTCTACTGTACCTGTCACGGGTCGTGCCGTCACTTGGAGCTTGGAACCTGTTGAAGCACGAAATTTGAAGACCGCTTGCAGGCCTCTATACTCATCTACTTAACCCATCTTTCTCATTGCTGGAATTTCATTATATCATACAAGATTAGTACTACTATCCGTCGTCTCTGGGGACACACCTCTTAAAGCGGACTGTTTCGCTATTTGTTATAGTACTTGAATAAATGAGCCTCCGGTGAAGACAGAGACACATTTCTTTACCTCCGACTTTGTACAATTCTTAGATTTGGAACATGGTACTTTTGAACAGGTCGACTCTGCATTATGTACAGGGTTAATTTGTGATCGCCAAAGACTTACGGTGGCTCCACAGATGTAAATCCGTAGTGCATCAGGGAGTGGGGTAAACTTTGGCGTCTAGAGGCTGGAAGATATTGTCGGGGGTTTACGATCCTGTTTCTTTTGGGATATATCGTCAATAAAATTTACGTAATGTCATAGCTTGTCCTCGGGTGGGGGAGCGTCTAAAGCTTGACCCGGCTCTCACTTTCCGGCGCTGATCGAGGACCAATGATGAATTTACCTGAAGAAATATGAGGAAATGGCCGGACCAAGACGGACTATAGGTCTCTAAAACTGCATTGCTAGGGCGGATCATTTCCCCTCCCGATGGGTTGGGGTTGTCAGACACGTTGGGTAGGGGCTTGCTTTTTTTCTCCTTGTCTTTTTGGCTGACTTGCATGCTATACCTACATCTTGTACTTGATGATCATCGTCAGCTGCCATGTTTCTTCATTTCTTTCTCCTGCTCTCTTTGATGCAAGTAGGATCTAGTTCTCGTACATATGCAGGGCTGGGCGCCAACATCAATAAATAGCCTAGCGGACCGCGGTCAGTATTATCGGGCCGCCGCCACAGCCCAAACGATCAAGGTGCAGTTGTAGAAAGAGTAGTATCTACTGTCCACCCCCAACCGGGTCCATTCCACCAAAATAAAGATGGCGATATGATATATCATATGCCACCTACGCCGTTCGATAGAGGTAAATCTTATAGGAAAAGAAACGATACGAACTACTCAAGATCTTCAGTTCTCCGATCCTTTGCCGATCAAAGAAACTTGACATCTTCCAGACTTTTAAGTGGCTAACGGCGGGAATTTTACTTTCGAGCCGAAGGACTGTGCGACCAGCCTCCGATGCAAGAATTCGCAGACGCAGACTTCCAGACACACTTTGGACTTTTGTGCGGAGAATACCTTCGTAGAATTGGAGATGGGCCTTCCCTTTTCTACCTGCTTTGAGGCAAGAAGGACGGATTTGCTTCGTTTCGTTTCTCGATCAGCCTGTAGCGTGGCACGAGCCCCGTCCGTTGGGCGCTTGCGGGATGAGACTAGCCAATTTTCTACTGAAGCTGTCATGAGGACAGCAATATCGCTGACGCTGACCTTGTTCTAGCCTCGACATCCCATAGACGCTAACTTTCAGTTGCGGAGCCCCCAAGTCTGGCCAGGTATCTGGAATGGTGTGCCGCAGTCCCGAAACTCAGGAATAATACAGTAGAGGGCAACCGATTGACCGCTCCTCAGTATGGTTCAGCTGAATATCGTGCATGAAGTAGTCCATGTCGGTGTCAGGATGACAGCTTAAAACGGAGTATGTTTGGCGAATAAGAAAGCTAAGAAATATGGTCAACAGGGAGGTCTTTGCCGATCGAGGTCGGCAATCATCCCTCATCTCTTTATAAGGCAGGCATCAAGGGTCCTAGTGGTCGGAAGAAAATACGAAGGTTCACCGTCTGCCACGTAAGGTACATGTGTAACTTGCATTAGCTGCGGAGGATGGAAGTGAAAGGATCGCTGTCAATTGGTACCGGCTGCAAGGATTTTTATTCACTGGCGCGGAGATTCGATGTGGTGGGACAGACCCGGCGACATATGCTGAAGTTTTGCGTCTATAATTTTTTTATGTCTTACATAGACAATGCTCTGTCTCTTTTTCTGTACTGTCGGGCCCATTTCATGCCTCCTCTATGTTATAGATTGACAACAGGTTTGAGTTCGAAGATCCCGTGCTTGATACTTCCGGCCATGTAACCTTAAAGTGAAAATTAGACTCTAATGGTTACATAATCTAATGACAGCTAACTATAATCTCCTCCTCCCTTGGAGCTGGTAGCCTTGTTGCCTATTTGAAATCTTTTCATGTCTTCTATTTTTTTTTCTCTCGTATCCTGCAAGCGCCCTCAAACTCTAGTGGCCAGTGTCTGCAGCCTTCAGCCTTCGCACGCTCGCATGACAAAAATACGGGGTCCTATAACAGGTACAACCCAACGTGGGACTCCTACCTAAACTGGCTCTCGGGGGATTCGGATCACCGAGCTATAGGTGCGTATATCAGGATTGTGAATGGTACAGGTAAGCTGGAGGGCTGCGTATGGAAGGGAGTCCGTAGATAGAGAATTGATATGCCACAGAGGGCGTTACGATCCACTTTCCCCGTCCGTCTCCGATATATATTCCTAGACCCCTCTGAATATCCTTGACGGAAACCCCCTTTCAAAAGTACCAATTCCCACGAGATGTACCGGGCTTGGGAATCGAATTTTGAAAGTGGCGCAAAGCTATGCCAGATGAGATCGTTACTAAGATCCGATCTCTTGAGCCATCCCAGAGGGGCCACACAGAGCCCGAGGGCGGATGCTGCAGATGGTAGGAAGTCCAGGCCCCCTTTCCCCCTGTAAGAAAAAAAATAACTAAGTTCCTGCTTGGCCTGACGGAATCTTTGATAATAGTGTCATAGGTTTCTTGCAGTATCGAAGTCATCTCCCCGGGAATAGTCCGTTGAATTGGACACCTAAGATCGACAAT